AGTTCTGCTGGATATAAGAAAAATCTGGTGGGCCCGCCAGACTCATTGGCAGGCCTGCCCGTGGTCGTTGCGACCTGTTGGTAAACTCGCGAAAGACAGTAACAGAACTTTGACGTCACATACGTTTCTTGTACGACCTCCCTCGTACGTCCGTCCTGTACGGGCCCGAGGGATGTCCTTCCTAGTGCCTCGAATGCCAGTGGACGTCTTGCCAATTGGATAAATGTCGTCTGGCTAAGAACGGAAAGTATATCTGCAGGCTGCGCCAAGTGCTGGCCAACGACTTGAGCTTGATTCTGTCCGTGTCCGGACCTCGCCACCAAGCTCGCCAAGCGCAACCTCAACAAGGACCGTAGCCTGGAAACGTACAAGGTCAGGCCGCATATCTAATGTTTCTGGCTGTTTTGATCGCAAATTGGGTCTGCATTTCAGGAGCTGTCCTGTGTACCTCTTCCTCGAAACCGACCTATTTTGTTTCCAGGAGCCCCGTTGTGACCGACGGAAGTGTCTTAGCTAATGTTCGTCCAGCCTTTTTCTGGGCCGTATTACGCCAAGGGGCGTTTCGAATTTCGGTGTAACGGGGGTGTAACTTACTTGTTACCGATGGTTCGCGTCTGAGCACTTAATAAAGCTTGTATGGGAAAGCAATGATTTTGAAGTTTCGAGGAGTCTTAACTTGAATAGATTGTCTTAGTACTCGCTGATATCTTTCTTGCGGTGATTGCAGGACGTCTTGGGAGGCATCGGTTCGGCGAAGCGAAGTACTCCCGGAGACGAACGGTTTGCGCGAGGTCAGGCATGGGGTTCGACCTGAGGAGGTGAGCTCACTTGCTCTACACGTCTCTGCAACGCAACGACAGACGTACTAAAGACAACCCTGTGATTAGCCGGTAAGACGAAATCATGCGCACTTCTTGTGGCGAAAATCCTAGTCTTCTTTCCACACAGACGGGGCACCGCGACTCGGAGTTTCTGGGAGCAGTATAAGCAGCCAGAGTTGACAGTTGGCCGATATTCCGGCCCCCCGTCTGACTTGTCACCAAGTCCGAGAGACTGAACATGGTGACAAATTGTCACTCCGATCGATAGTCAAGCCTCGCCCTGTCTTTCTCTGGCCATTATTTGATCTAGTCACTTTTGGATGGACACCTCTTCATCGAGGAACCTCGATGGGTCACTCAGATGATGCTGAATTTTTATATTGTATCTTGCAGCACAAGCGGCGGTGGTCCACGAGATTGGTTGGACACTGGGACAAGTACGACGACGGGGCGAAGCATCATTCGGGTATGCGGAAATATCCGTCCAGATACTCATTTGCATCACATCTCTTTTATCAACCTCATTGGCCTTTTTGTACACAGATTCGCCATCAAGTGGTGACGAATAACCACACACAATGTTCCTCTGTTTCAGCCTGGTCGGGTTCGTTGCAGGGTGATCCTCTTTCCCAGGCGTCAAGGGACCTGTAAACATTTGATGAGCTGACAGCCGGTAATTTTTTAAAGCAAAGCTTTGGAGATGGATACAACGAAGTGGACACTGCGCCAGGAGGTGCAGCTGCGGAGCGCCTTTGACACCCAAGGCTCGCCCTAGCATTTGTGGCAATGTTAAGCACGCTCGCGTCTCAAGCGGAGTCACTTTCTACTCTGTGTTCGCTTTATTATATTGCACACTGTTCCAACTGAACGGTTGCATGTTGTTCCCCTTTGCAGAGAGATTAGCAGATTTTCTCCGCTGTGTGCCGTGGTGGCCCGGCCGTCGAAAACCCTCCAAACGCTGGAGACGGCGCTACATGCTGCTGAGATTCCGACTGTGCAAGAGGAACCCTCAGCTCAAGCGGAGCTGCAGGCTCCTGTTTCTGACCGGGGCCTCAGATGAGCGGCCGGCCAGCCAGCCGACTTTGAGTCCCCTAGCTAGCTATGAGTTTGAACGATATTGTCAAAGCGAATACGACAAATAGGAAGAAAGAAGTGAGCTTCTGCTTTGAAATTGAATTTGCCAGATCGATATGCAGGTGCATGCGCAACTAGGTACGTGCACCTTCAGATCATGGCTTGATGTTTGCCCTAAACTAAAGCTAGGCTGCGCCCAACTTTATCAGGTAGTGTAGCATGATTCGTCGAATTGTGTTCGTATTCCCTGGCATTTTATAATGCTTTGACATCGCCTCACATAACTAGAGCGCGTCAAGGATCCACATTGGGCCGCGCGCATGCATAGCCATGAATCGCGCAGGATATCTTTTGTATTGTGCATGAAGCAGGCTGCATTGTGAAAAGCCGCCTGGGTTTAAGCACATCGAGCCTCTATCATTCTCGCTAATTAAGCACATAAAGAGCAATGAGGCCATGCCGTGATATTCAGTTTTCAAAAGCCGCGTTAGTATCAGTCATACATGCATGATGCAGAGAATACGTACTTTTGCCTCATGCATGATCGAGCTGAAGCTTGAAGCAGCTCGCTTGAAGATATAGCCTCACCAAGAGATAGAATTCCCTTGAAGTACGCCAGGCATTGCCAATATCACAATATATACTGTTACTGTAGTCATCTAGTAAACAACCATGTTCTTTTCAAATCAAGCCTGCCATGAATGACTGTTTGAAGGGTGGCGGCGGACCATGATGTACCCAAGTGGTCCCCAACAGCTGGGGTTGGTATACAGAATGCAGCAACTTCGCAACGTTCAGAAAGCTTTGTAGTACGTAAGCCCCTCAATCTTGCGGTGTGACCATAGCAAAGAGCCTTTTTAAGTAACTTGCGAGCCAAACAAGGTTGAAAGAAAGCCACACAGCACCGCACGTCTTTGAAGATTGTTAAAGCCACTTATTGACAGCCAGGGACTCGGACGAGATTGCGGGGCGCAGCGTCGACCAACTAATCACACTGGTTCTGTTTACTTGCTGCACTATCTGCTTGACAGTTAGCCACTTCAATGGAGCCTCCTGTAGTATCCGACTTGGCTAATGATTGCAGGACTTCAAGGAGCCTGAGTGCTTCTTCATGCACATCTCCCTTGATACGCTTGCAGCTTAATATGCCTTCCAACCTGTTGAGTACTCCTAGTACCTCAGCTATAGCTTTCCGGAACTTTTGTTTGCGCGCCATCCCACAAAGTAGCCAAAGAGCACTTTGCACCGTTGTAGTCATGTAATTGTCCAACATGTCTACAATTACCTGCAAGGAACCAGGAATAGAGGCGATCGCCTCCATCACCCCGGCCTCAGCCTTGACGTACCTAAGCAAGATAATCACATCCTCTTGCATGTCTTGAGTCCACTCTGAACCAGCACCCTCTTTTGGATCCAAGCACTTCACGGCCTTCTGCCAAAATCCAGGCACCGCTGTGATGCTTTCGGCCGATCTGCTGTCTTCTGCCAGGGTGCTCAACGCCCATGCCGCTTTTTCCCGAGTTGCGATGCTTGAACTGCCTAACAGATTCACCAACCCTTCAAAGCACCCTGGAACATCAGCCACAGCCTTCGCCATATCATTACTAGCCAAGTTCTGCAGACACCATGCCGCACCCTCCTGTATTTCAACGATCCCGCACTTCAAAAGGCTCACTATTGACTGAAGGGCCCCTGGCATGAGTGCATGAGTTCGCTGCAACTGAAATGGTCTGCAAACCGTGCCAAGGAATGCATGGCAATCCTCCGCACGGCCTTACTTTCATCATCCAGGAGATTCACAAGTCCCTGCAGGATGGCAGGAGCCAGCTGGACCGCAAGCTCGTTGACTCTGTACTCATCTGCCAGACTCCCCAAAGTGGATGCGGCTGTCCATCGCACGGTCTTGCACTCACTTCCAAAGAACGCAAGCAACCACTGCAGGCTCCTGGGACAAGACGCTATTGGTATGCAATTTTGCCGCTGCATCGCTAGATTGTCAAGGATGATGAGAGCAAGTCCTCCCTGTGCTGATTCCTCTTGCTTTTCGAGAAGACCTACCAGCTTTTGCAAGCACCCTGGAACTCTGCCGATGGCAACTTTTATTTCTTCCTCAGAATTCCCTTCGTATAAGAGTTCTGCAAGCATATCCAAAGCCTTCTCGCTGACGTCACTGCTCTTGCTATCCAGGAGACCCACTACTAACTCCAAGCTTCTCGGCACCACCGTGCTCTTGACGCCCAGACCGACTATTTGACTACCCCATGCAACGGCTTCAATCACAGAGCTCAGCTCATAGTCCTGACCCTCAAGATGGTGAAGTTCTAATGTCTTGAGACTGGAGAAGGACTCGAAGAAAGAAGCAATCTCAGTGTTCGGAATAGCAAACCCAAACAAAGACAGATCTCGAAGATTTGCAAAGGGCTTTGTTAAACCCAAGCGATTCAGGATGACGGCAGGGCTGTGCCACCTGCTCTCCCACAGGAATATGTGCAACACCACCAGCTCCTTGCATTCCTGGAGCATGACAAGAACGCGCTTCCAATCAATGTTTTTCGCTTCCTTCTCGCTGAAGTCCAACGATAAGTAGACCTCTTGAAGGGTGTCCTTCGCATGAAGTGTGACAGACTGAAGCACGGCTATCAGATTGACAGGTTGCTCCGCTTTCAGCGCCATCTTCCTCAACGAACCCCTGCACCCATTGCTACGTGCGTAGCGGATAAACTGTCTCTGATTCTGAGGCCAATCAGCAAAGTCCCACTCAAGGCACCCTGTGATGCGCACCAGCTCTTGAAACCTCCTGCAGACAGCCTCCAGCCGCAGTCTGTCCTGAACCTGATCTTGCAAGAGACACGGCTTTCACAACGCTCTCTCAAAGATGCTCTCAAGCAACGCATCACAAAGACGGTCGAAGCAATTCTCCTTTGGGGCCATTGGTCAGGCGTCTCATGCTCTGCTGGGTGAAATGAATGCACCTGCAACCCACCTGCAAGTGCATTGCTTTGAAGCTGACGATGAATGTCACTCTGGCTCCAGCCTTCAGACTTCTGGCCGCAACTTCCAGCCGCAACTTCAACTTCAAGCTGCTCGTCAATCTGAATGCAGCTTCAACTTTCAGTGACATCAGCTAGCGCCAAATTCTTTGCGGCTTGAGTGATCCCCCAAGCACGCATGCGAGCGCGTTTTGTGGCCCCCAGGACTGTGACTCGAGCAGGAAGGACAGGGAACTGGAACTTGAAGCCTTCGGGATGAAAAAGGAGGGACGAAGGAGAAAGGCGCTGGCAATCCGTGATGAGCAGAGCGCTTCACATTGGCAGGCCCTCTCTCTTGAAGATAGGATCTGCTGGCTTTAAAAGTGCTTCCGGAGAGGGGCCAGTAGCGCCTAGTTTGAGGGCTTTATCAAGACGCTTTGTCTTGCAGCACAAAGAGAGCGATGCTGCACAGCTCAGGCGTTTGGGGCGTTTGAACTGCGCACACTTCTCAAGACCACATCAGACAACGGTTTCAAAGAGATTGTTTCAGGAGGGGCGTCTGCCTGAAGATAAAAGCACCCCTGTCGGGTACAGTCCCTTTGAGTCCCAGCACAGAACTATGTCGTGGCTCAGCCGCGGAACGTCGAACACTGACCTCATCCGTCAGATGCAGGCATTTGGCGCAATAAAGTCTGAGAGGGTGGCGAACGTCATGCGGGAAGTGGACCGGGGCCTCTTTGTACCACCGTCTGAAGATGCGTACCAGGATGCTCCGCAACCGATTGGGTTCAATGCGACAATCTCAGGTCTGTGTACACGGGGGAAGACCTTGATTGAGAATCTTCAATTGACATGCGGCTTCCCAGGAACTTGGTCGAGAACTGCAGCATCCAAATGGGTGGTGCAGCTTTGATTGGTGACCAGGCTAATACCTGATGATTCTGAGCTGTAAGTTGCACCTCAATGCTGAAGGGGTGTAATGATTGAGTGATTGACAGCGCCTCACTTTGAAGCGACTGTCCTACATGTCACCGATGGTATTTTCCACAGGAATGATTCCCTTGAAGTTTTAAGTGGTTGCGCGTCTGAATTTTGAAATTCAAAGCTTTCAAGTGACCTGGTGTGTCAGTGGCCCCTCCCTCTTACTTCACACATGAGGAATTGCTTAGTCAGTAGTTCCCAAGTACCTCTGCTAAGGAGTCATCTCATGACGTTAAAGTGCCGGTTCGAAAGTTGCGCAGCAACTTAAGACTTCTCCCTCTTACGCCACTGAAATATTTACCAGGTCTTCAAATATCGGCAATATGAGGCTGTACATCATCTGCTTCATGTTTAGATTGCTATACTGTAGTAATTGCACAAACTCCTGCTGTCTGGGTCTGGTGTCCTGCCACAAGTAGTGTCAATCAGAAGCAGTTGCATAGTGTTTCCAACAACTTAACAGCTTCCTTGCTCTGTGCAGCGCCGCACATGCACGCGCACTGCCTGGAGCTTTTGGAGAACCACCTGAAGCCCGGGGCGAGGGCGCTCGACGTCGGGAGCGGCACAGGGTACTTGACCGCGTGCATGGGGCTGATGGTCAAGGACGAGGGGGGCAAGGTGGTTGGGGTGGAGCACATCAAAGGTGGGGGCCTGTATAAATACTGCTGTATGTAGTACCGGTAGCGGAGCTGTTGATGTAGGTTGTTGTTCCGAAAACTGAGAGAAGGAGCACGTCGAGGAGGAAAGTAGTCAGCAACTCTGTTCTCTTCAGAAGTTTCTAGAGCAAATCACGGCCAGTCTTTAATGTTCTGACTCGAAGTCTTGCAGTTTGCGAGCCGGAAGGCTTGCGGGTCCCCTATGAGATATGTTTTGGCGAACAGGGGCAAAGTCAGAAGCTTTGAGCGGGCTCTGCGTTCACACAGAAAACCAAGGAAGAATAGAAAGCCCACCCAGCCTTCTCTGGCCTTGTGCGTTTCGCCCCGTTTACAGGCCTTCTGTTCACTTCTTTCAACCTCTGTGCGCATCTTCCGCAGAGCTGACGGAGAAGTCCAAGCAGAACGTGCACAACTCGGCCGCGGGGCCCCTGCTAGAGCAAGGGGTGATCGAGCTACACACGGGGGACGGCCGCAAGGGCTGGCCGCCGCACGCGTTGTATGACGCCATCCATGTGGGGGCGGCGGCGGAAGACACCCCCAAAGTGAGCCCCGCTTCTATTCTGAAGTTGTCGGTAGAATCTTTGCGTTTCCGAACAACAATGATGGTTGTTCGGTTCCCAAACCTTGCGTTCGAGATTGACTTTTGACCGGATGTTCGTATGTGCGGCCTCTGCAGCTTGTTTTGTTTTACCCCGGGTCTATTTGAAGGGTTCTGCCCGAGCACAAGAAACCCGAGCACAGGGAATCTGTGAGTTTCCTTTTGGTGGACAGGGTACAAACACGAAAGTCGCTGATCTCGATATGCGAATTGACTGTGTATAGAAGAGACGTAGAAGTTTGTGGGCGATAACAAAGAGGACGGCCTTGCTTTTTATCTGGACACAAATTTCATAAAGACAACCAGTATTGACCTACTTGTTGGTGCTGGTGCTGTATCGGGTCTCATCACAAGCTGGTAGCTGCTTGTGGGCTGCCTCGCCTCGTGAGACTGCGCATAGCGAACTTGCTGCAGAAGAAGATGTCCAGAGTATCTTCTCTCATTCTTCTGGCCTCTTCGTCATATCGTCAGACGAGCCGCTGTTGCAACGGAAGTTCGCCTGGCATGTGCAGTGTGCATGCTGGTCGTTAGTCACAAAAAATTCCACTTGAGCAACGCTTGCTGGCAATGACGAAAGGTCTTCAGGTGGCGTTTTGCAAACATCACCAATGAAAACATCATCTGATCCCTAAGTCAGTGCCTGCTTGCTCAGTCCAATGATGGGATTGGCCTTTTTTGGGTTCTTGACTAGACCGTAGGATTGCGAGATGACGTTTCCAAGCTAATCAGGCTTGACTTCCTATCCCGATGGCAAGTGTTGCACTTTTCAAAGTTCGCAAAGCTGTATCTGTTTGCATGATGTTCCTTGTGCTCTTGTGAAAGTCGGTCTTGAAAGCGAACTTTCTCTAGTCTCACTTAAGCAGAATTGCACTTGCACTGTCTGCCGCCTGTCTTGTACCCCGAAGGGTACCGCCGAAGGCCTTTCGGGCGGTCGAAGCGACTGTCCTTTGATAAGTTCTGGACTGGAAGTTTGCAACAGGGCTACCACGGAAGTTCCGGCAGGAGCACTGAAGTGTTCATACATGCCAGTTGACAAAGAGTGACCTGTACCAAAAAGAGTGGCACCCTGTGGATCGTTTGCATTTCTGGACACGGCAATTATTCTTTGCGCATGGACAGAAGTCCAGGCGTCACGAGATACTTCTTTTTCCCATGAGCTGTCCAACTTCCGTCGGCGGACTTCGCTTACCCCTTCATGCTTTGCTCAGATTGCTGCCTACTCGTTCCTCTATTCTGTTCCAGCTCTTGTTTTGGTCCGTCTCAACTTACATCCTGATGTCGCCTGGGTTGAATCAGCTTATTCGGCCTGTTGAGGATACTCCCTCCCTTCCCTCGCCCCGACCTTGGCTCGCTACACTCGCTGATCATCTAAAGCTTTTACCCATGCAGCTGACCAGATCAGAATGCGGACGTTTCAAAAGTTGACGTCCGGATCGTCCAACCCATATGTTGCAAAGTTCACGTCCGGATTGTCCGCACCTAATGTTTCAAAGCTCACATCCGGGTCGTGCGGACCCACATGTCTTAAAGCTCACGTCCGGATCGTCCAACCGGCTAACGCCGAGAAGTCTTCACCGGAAGAAGCGTTCTAAGTTTCGTGATTCTGCTTTCTGATTCTCCTCGCTCTCGACTCAGGAGCTGCTGAACCAGCTGAAGCCGGGGGGCCGCCTGGTGTGCCCGGTGGGCAACGTCTTGGAGCAGTACCTCATGGTGTACGACAAGGCGGACGACGGGTCCGTCCGGGAGCACACGTCCAGCGGCGTGCGCTATGTGCCGCTGACCAACGAGCAGGACCAGCGGAGGCCCCGCGGGATCTTCCGCTGAGGGTGCTACTTGTAAATCGGATAGACTGGGTTAGAAAAGGGTTACGGAAAGTGTAGAAACGGTTGAGGTATGATAGATTGTACATTAGTGAGAGGAGAGGAAGCGAGTGCGCTCTCTGCAGCTCCGCTTTTTGGTACAAGGGTCTTGCGAAGAATATGCAGAGTCGTTTGACAGGAGTGTGCATAATAGGAGCTGGCCAGCTCCCCCTCGTGTCAATGATCAAGGGGTTACGGGTCTGGCAAGCTTTACTTAATGCTTGTTTTAGTCAAAAGAGAAGAATTTGTAAATATGTACATTGTGGCCTTACATGCGAAGCAATCAAGTTAGCACGACCTTCGTCTCCTGATGGGATTGTCTTCATCTGACGACCTTTCACTACTAGGCTAGGCCAGGCCAGGCCGGGGCTTCCATGTATACCGCACACTTTGCGGCTCCTCGACGGTCTCCATTGTTGAGCGCCGAAGCTGCATGGCATGCTGATAGATGGGTATAAATGGTCACATCTGGCATTCCATGTGCTTCTCGTTGAAGCGTTTGACACGCGGTACGCTCGAAGGGGGCTACAGGAGAGTTTATACCAATCAACACGTTATCAGCTAGCGGCTACAGCCACGCATACAGCTACTTCCCGTTGGCACGGCCACCATCTTAACATGTTGTCGCACTAGCTCGATTATCTCTAAGTGGCCCGTGGGCTACAATCTGCACGCATCCCTCAAATCAGCAGTTGGGGTGCTGTCGTCCAGTCTCGAGATGCGAGCTCCCCGCATGCGCATGCAACCATTGAATGCGCGCGCCATGACACGCGGTAGAGCTTGATTTGGATTTCCGGTCGCGCTGCAGGCCGGCTGCCGCGCACAAGTAATGGGTGCGAAGGGGGTTCATCCAAAAACACAATTAATTAACAGTGGCAATACATGGGGCACGCGCCGCAAGGAGCACGTTCGAGTCGCCTTGCAAAGCAACTCGCTCTTTGAATTCTCCCATCTGACATGTTCCACCTTTTTGAAAACTGCCTTCCTCAATCAATAGTACAGCCCAAAGATCACTTGAGACAGGACACATCCGCTTTTGCATAGCCCCACAGGTCGGACTACCGTCTCAATACACGTACAAGTTGCTTACGAATTGCGCATGTCCAGCACGCTTTTTGGCTCAAACCAGTCCAGCTCATGCTGCGGCAATCGACGCACTTAAGCCTCTTCAATACCTTGCATAAAGCTTCCGTTGGTGCATTAGGTGATGGCCACGACGGAACGTGATTGCTGACGCAGGTGACAGGCCTTTGACGTCTGAATACAGAAAGTGCCCTTCCAACCGGGCAACGGAATGCCATGTCAGCAGCTCGCTGACGTCACTTCCGCCTTCCGCGCCGCCAGGACCTCCTCCGGCTGGGCCATCTGCAGGACCGGCAGCGGCAACGCTTCACCGACGCCGCTGTTGTATGCGGAGTAACTGCCGCATCGGGCAATGTCGTCCTTCCATACGCCCTCGTACTTTTTGCCTTTTTGTGCATAGTAATACGTGCCCGCGCCGTTCTTCAGGTCCTGAGCCCACTGCCCCTCGTATCGGTCACCGTTGGCTGCATTGTGACATCACTTGACGAATCAGTGGCTGGCTGATGAAGCGGCACTATAATATGGTTCGTTTGACAAGTGTAATATTACAGCACATTCAAGTAATGATGCAGGGCTTCTTTTCTTGAGAGGACATCCTTGGATCTGACCACCGAAAGGCTCAACGGCTATCAGCACTTAAATCTTCGAGAGCCTCGACGACTTTCAGCACTAGGAGTCCTGAGAGCCCCAATATGCCTTTCATGTCATGACTTTCTGAGTGGCGCGGCAAGTTCAGCCAGCTCGAACCAAGGGTACCGGCCCCACAGTCAAACCCCTCTGAATGTGGACCCTTTCCAATGATGCTCGAAGTGTTTTGTAAGGCGTTGGAAAGCAGGTGCCCAGGAAATTGAGCAACGGATCCTATAACACTCACTCATCTGCAGCACTCCGTAGCCTTCCCGCATCCCCGCCGCCCACTCCCCGTCATACACGTCGCCGCCAAACCCGTCGATCGGCCGCCCTCCGTACGTCTGCCTCCCCTTCCCGTGCCGCTTACCGTTCTCGAAGTAGCCCTCGTATTTCTCGCCATACTCGTTGTACAGAATCCCGAATCCGTGCGTCTTGCCCTCTTGCCAACCGCCGCTGTATTCGACGGTGTACCTTCCGTTGCCCACGTTGACCCACATGGTGCCCTGGCCGTCGCGCTTGCCGGCCCTCCATTCGCCCTCATACTTGTCGCCGTTCCTGGACACGAAGCGGGTTTGTGAGATTTTGCAAAAAGTACTACACAGAAAGGTTTGACTGCTAAACAGGTTCGATAACCAGATTTCAGTCTGGTTCTTTGACCAATAACCGCGCTGGTTCTTTGACCAATAACCGCGTTATAGCCAGGTTTGAAACCTGGTTTACTGCTCGAGTCATAAACCAGCTTCGAACCAGCCCGTAACCGACTGTGGTTAACCGCCAAAAACCCCGAGCTTCGTGCTTCCTTAAGGAGAGTCTATCTGCTTTGGGTGTTTTGACGGAGGGTAAAACAGGGATGCGGAGGTTTTATTCTAATCAGCTGCACAGCAAGCCACAACTACTTTAATCGGCCCGGCTTGTTTTTGTGAGGCTTCTTGGTTTTGCCCAAGTGGTTTGAGTCAGATCCCGGATTCCATTGTGATTGGAATGCGTGTTGTCATACTTCGCTTAGGGACGGTTTGAGAACAAGACGGACGAGCGTGACCATTAGTAGCTGTGATTTAGCTTTAGCTCTGTAACCCTCTGTCGCCAAGGATGCCTACCGATTCCTACTGTACACTCTCGCTTTTGTTCTCATCTCAAAGAGTGTATATCTACATGAAAAAAGTAACGACAATCGTTGTGTTGCCTGGCTGGTAATTCTACAGAAGAGGGGCAGAAGAGCCTGTCTTTCTGGTCGTAGAGTCGTAGCTCCCTAGTTTCATCTAGAAAAGTGCAGATAAGGACTTCCAAAACCGCCCCGATTTGCGTCAGCAAGCAGTCCTGAACAGATTTGTAAACTGCAAGCGGACTCGGGGTCGCCCCTGAGAAAGAATAAGCGCATGCAACTGCATTTCCTTAAAAGCAGCGGCGGCCCAGATCATGCAGCACTGGGAAGCGTTTGGATCGGAGCTGTCAACGTGAAGTTGGAAGCTAGTTCCAGATTATCCTAATGACATGATCAACAAACAGCTTCAGAAGGACATAAGGGGGGCACTTAAGGAAAGCATAGAAGCTCCCGCAATGTCGAATCCGTCAAGTTTTTTCCTGTCAGCTCGGACATTCTGTTCGATCAAAAGAGCTTCAAGTTTCAGCACCACGGTTGTTTCGACATTTATCTCCTAATGCCATCCCCGAGTATTGGTTTGTCATGTAGCAATTCTTGATAGCTGACAGTTCCACGACAGCACAGATTCCCACCTGTACATAAGCGTGCCCTTCCCATCCTTCTTGTTGTCCTTCCAGTGCCCCTTGTAGACCTCGCCCGTCACGAAATACACGTTGCTCCGCTGACCCGCCTTCTGTGCCAGCCGGTCCCGCGTCTTCCAAAGCTGTTCGGTCGCTCCATCCCCCAATGACATCACCGTCGGGCCGTCATTTGGGATCCCCATTTCAGCAGCAATTGGTCTGAGACTCACGTCATGGCTTGAAGGCGCGCTATCTGGCTCTCACGTCTTTCGTGCCGGCCTTAGCAATTTGCGGTTTTACAGAAGCTGGGTTGTGTCTTTGTGAAAACGTCCTGCAGGAGACTTCTGGGACAAAAATAAAGCCCTCGGCATTACAAATCTGCGTAACGACGACCGACTGTATCAATCAGAACTTAGAGGTTGACGCAATGCTGTTTCATGTTGGACTCTAGACGGGCCACATGCATGTTCTGATTGAATAATTTATCATGTCAACGAACAAGTAGCGAACTCTGCCTGCTAGCGCTGCTGCATTGCAGTCAAAGCAACGTCTCGCTCCCTCTAACTTGCGTGACATCACATGTGCGGCCTTCTTGTGACCTGTATGATAGATACGGAACGGAATATTTTGATCCAAAGTGCCGAAAAACGGTGCCACAGCAACGCAACGCAGTGCAGTGCTTTTGCATGTTATGCCGACAGTAATTGAATCCTTGTTATCAGTGATCATTGCGAAGCGCATCCTGTACCTGAATTAAGATGTCCGACTCAAGAAGTGGCGCTGGCGGCTGTAAGGAAGCTTTCTCGGTTCTGTAAAGGTGACCGGTATTGATCAGAACACAATTTCCCGTGTACCGATTTCTTATTAGAGATAGTGCGCGCGCGACTGATGTAGGCCATCAAACGGTTGAGATGGTCTGATGGAGCTCGATCGACGGGCTGCGTAGTACCGCTGTCATGCACTGAGAGTTCTGCAGGCTGCACAAGCACAAGCAGGGCATCAGAACTGATCATGTCAGTGAATTTTGAAGGAAGGGAGGCTGGAGCTTTGAAAGGTCTTCAGATCTGTTGCAGAAGGTCAAAGTTCAGCAAGTGGTTTTGTGCGGCCTAGCAGGTTTGCCTCTTTCAATTGCGGCACCAATATCCTGTCCAATCTGCTGATTAGAACCACTCTCTAAGCCCCTGAAGAGGAAGAGCTGAGCTACTTCTGTTGCAAGTTTCGGCTGCTTCCGGCCCGCTCCCGGTTGCAATCGACAATTAGTTGCCAGTAAACTGCCTTACAATTTCGGAACAGCTTCTGCGTTCTTACCTGCAACTTCGGGAGCCATCTTCGGTGCCATCATGTCTAGGCAAAGAAAAGGTAAGTTCGTGTGTCTCTGGCCTTCCTTGTATGCTTCTGGGTTGTCAGACAATCATTCATGTAAATGTGGTGGTATGATAGAAAAAGAAAAATAAAAACTTTTCCGAGGCTTGCCTGATCTGGCAAGCTTTTTGTCAAGAGGACCGAGTAGTGGTTCACAAACAGCAGGAAGATGTAATGATACGCAGAATAGATTTCCTGATTGGAACAAGTGGGATAGGGCGCCTGCAACAGAAGAAGGACGCATTGATGGAGAGTTCTTTTAGGGTGACCAGCTTCTTCTTTCGACCTGTTCAATGGCTCTTACAACCCTAATTTGTTTCGCAGTTTACATGACGCTTCCTGCTTTTGATTCAAAACCAAACTGCTGTAAGAAGTGGACTCTAACAACCGTGAGGCTCGGTTACAAGCTGCAGCTGTGATCAGTTTGCAGCCTATGTGAACTTTGAATGAATAAGTCACTTGTTGACCACATTGGGCGCCTCTCTTCGCTGATGGAATCTGGCTGGTCTCACACTCATGCGCACTCAAAATCAGGTCCACAGCACCTTCTTATCAAAATATTCTGTGGACTCTCGTGCCAATCGTACAGTACGATGCAACGATGCAACAATAGTACCAGCACAGTCTTGAAAGCTGTACAATCCTCCAACCGTAGGCACTCCTGCCCCAATTCAAGAAAGGGTCTCGTACCATGAGTCCGACGAACCAATGGCGAGGTCAAAAGAGGAAGAGGAGGAAGACAGGAAGCTCTTGTTTAACGGGGAAGCGATGCAAGCAAACATACGGAGCGTGAATTTCAGGTGAGCTTCCATCTAACCACGATGAAGTGTGCAGCGTTGAAGCAGTGGCAGCATATGCAGTGGTTTAGAGAACTAGTTCAATCTGGTCAATTTCGAGCTCGCGGTCAAACGGCAGACTTGTCATCACCCACCAAAGAGCACTCCTTGGGCGGATTTTGAGTAAGGAATCTGAAGGTAGCGGAGACTTGGTGCAGCATTCTGGGGCACACGCTAGATTGGTTCTGACGTGGAAGCTCCTTTGGAGAATTGTCTTTGTTCCCTTCCTTTCATGCCTAATTCGGATGGCTCTCAAAAGTCCCAGAAAGGCCTCAAAGGAGCTTCGTGGCATACTTCTGAATCGCCCGAGTTTGTTGTGGTTATGGAAGCTGTACACTCTGCATCACATCGCATGGGCAGAGCAAATAGAGTTAAGGACAAACGCCGCGCTGACTGTTCTGACTGAAATGCTCTGTCCACGAACCTCATTCTGAAGTTCTTCTCCCTTGCAGTCGGACCTTTCTATCGCTAGTAGCGGGGGCTGTGGCAGGGATCTTGGGGTTAAGGGGGATTCCTGGATTCCTCTTTTACTTCGTCATCATGGCGGCACAGTCGGGAACGCTCCTCCTGAAGGCCAAGCTGAACGCTGCAGTCTACTTCCTGTCGCTACAAGCAGTGGTCTTCGACGGGATACTTCCAAACGTGTTGGTGAGTTGAAAGGGTGAACCTGCTTCGCTTTTGCTGCAGAGAGTTGTGGTACTCTAATCGCCCACAAATAGTGGAGAAGCTTCTTACTCCCTGAAATGGTTGTTTGTGTGTTGCCGCTCACAGAGGGTCCTGATCGGTAAAAAACAAGTCATTTGGGTCCGACTTTTGTGAGATTTTAGATGTTCGACCAAGTACTTGCTCTGCTGTTGAACTCTGATAACTTGGCTGTTGCATCCTGAGTACATTGCCAACACGAGCTTGTTTTGATGCTTACCTGACAGCTTCTCATTTGGCATTGCAGTTGTTTGTACTGTTTTGGACTCTCATATACGATTACGTCCACATTTTCTAATGGAAGACTTAGCACACAAGGACCAGTCGGCGTGGTCATGTACCAAGGTGTCTGGTTTTTCTCCCGGGGATGTACCTCGTTCTTCACGCTCGGAGCAGGATGGACGCTGTTCAAAAGTTGACTTTCTGGGCGTTAATCCTACCAAAGACTCATTCCAGGGGGGGCCCCTGTGCAAGTGCGTGGCCGGTCGAATTGTTTGACGACTGTAGTACCTAGGACATGCAGCTGAAGAATCTATGTGCGTGATGAATTCAGCCACATGACAGAAGCATATGACAGTCGCATGAGCTCAACGCTTGTTGGACGAAGTTAACCGAACGAATCAAAGTGTTTTCGATCGTTGAATGGAAAATTGAACTTTTCGCAGCACGCATATGCTTACGGTAGGGCGTGCCACGCGCAGTTGATGGGCATGGTCCCTTGATGCCAGGTCGCACATGGTTGGAGAATATCGCATCGATACTAGGCATTCTTTCGCACTTGTAATGTAAACAAGGCAATAAAGAAAAAGTCTGAAGCTGCCCTCACTAGCTGTCACATGAACGTAAGCATTGAGTTTCGTCGAAACGAATTCCATAATACTATACACTTGATAGTAAATGCTTGTGAATCTGATTGCTACGTGCACATTGTGACATGACCGTCTCAGGGCCGCATCCTTAATTGGGGATGTTGCTTCTATGTAGCCTGGGTTTTGAATCATGAAGGTTGACCTATTTAAATCATATAGGGTTTTGACCAAGTGATAATCTACGTGGCGAACCACGTGCATCATGGCGATTTGTGACTGGACACATCCGTCGGCGTTGGTTCTGCGACTTTCCATCGTGGCCCTCGATCACCCTGTTGCACTGCTGGGCATGACGAGGATTGATGGTGGCCCAAGAAGTTAGGTAGTTGGTTGGGCCTTCACATGAGGGCGATGGGGGCAGCCCTCGTCCTTGTGGTACTGAGAGGGTGGAGCGCAAGCACAATGCGGTCGTTCTGCAAGCGAGACTAGCCAGGTTAGCCAACTTGTGAAGGATTAGCTGTAAGCAACGCTGTGAAGGACAGCGGGCGCAGGTTTGCATCTGCCACAAAGGGGAAAAAGCATCTGCGAAATTGAAAACATTCTGGTATCTCTTTCCAGGCCATTTGCCGGCATTTCAAGCTCTCAGCTCATAAAAGTACCGCTAACCGCTGGAGGCCGCAATTGAAAGCTGTATCCCCTGAAGATGGAGGCAATTGCCACCATGTCTTTCAGCGAGGCCCTGTTGGCTGCGCTGGGGCTCACTATTCTCTACCTGCTGTGCACCACCCTTTGGCGCCTGACAAGGCCTCACAAGGGCCCCTTTGCGTGGCCCCTTGTAGGCGCCTTCCCCCAGCTCATGTGGAACTACCATCGCTATCATGTGAGCTGGCTGCCCTTTGTTTCCTGAGGCTGGTTTGCACTGCTTCACTTTTCTTGTGAGTTTGAGAAGCAGTCAGAGGAAGAGGGTCCATGGTGGTAGTTCACCGTCAGCTTGAGTGATAGACAGGTTTCCTGAATCATACACAGGGTGAGCTATTCAACTATTAGAATCTGGTGCACTCCATTATTGAGCTGTAACTTGCTTAACTCCGATAACTTATTTTGGAAACCAGCAATTGAGGGAACCAGTAGTGGGCCCAGTGTTGAGATTTATAACGTCTTTAGGTAGTCTAGTACTTTGTGGCTGAGTCACCAACATCAGGGGCTGTATCCAGTAGCTCCTCAACGCTGCAGTTTTAAGCTCAAGTAACGAGTTATCCAGCCTGACAAAAAGAGGGCACTTTTCAGAATGATGAGGACCTCCCAAAAATACGCACAAATTCCCCCAGCCAGGGGAATAGGCTGATTGTAGATACATCATTGACCTCTCGTTATGTGTTCCATGAAGCTCTGCTTTCTTCCTCAGCTTCTTCCAGAATTGCTTTTGAGAGGAAGAGGGCAACCAAACCACAGACGTCGGCTGAAGCGTGTCACTTGCTTGCTTGAAATCCTTTTCTGCTTTCAGAGAAACAACGAACTCACAATGCTGATGCCAGGGATCCCTCTCCTTCAGGACTGGATCTCTGACCAGTACAGAAGACATGGGGGCACACTCTTGGTGCCCATTCCCTTCGACTCCCTCACATATGTTGCGGACCCCCGCTGCGTGGAGCACATGCTCAAGACAAATTTCAAGAACTACCCCAAGGTCAGTGCACGAGGGGTCCAGGGACTCAAATTGTTCCCCTTCGTTTCTTCTTTATGTGGTTCTGCAAGCGGATGTCTGAGGAGAGGAAGTGGCTTTTGAAACCTGGATCTTGACATGTTTCACTGAAGTGTTTCCTTGCTGGTGCGTGAACGAAAATCGCTTGGAACCCGACCTCAGGTTTCACTCTATGGTTGCACAGGCCCCTGGTTGTTGTATGATACAAGTGCCATAGAGTTCCTCTCTAGCGTTGTGTACGGTTCCTGCCATATTCTTGCCGCCCTGGGTCTAAGGCAGAATTTGTTGAGCCAGGGCGACCGAGACCGCGACATCCTTCTGGAGCTGCTCGGGGGCGGCATCTTCAACGCGGACGGCCAGGACTGGGCGGTGCAAAGGAAGGTGAGCAACGTTTTCAATTTTCGTCGGACAACCACTTCGCCTCACGCCGCGCCCACTCATTCCCCCCCGTGCCGCACCTCCTCTCTGGAACTCCGGGCAAACCCCCCGTTTTGACAAATTCTGAGACCTTCCGAACAAACCCTCGGTGCTCAATCCTCTCCGGAAACACCCCCCTCGCCAGAGCGGTCCCCTTGGCCGACGTCCAACCCCCCTCAGGAATATTGTGCTCAGTAGCCTTCTGTCCTACAATTGCAGAACTTCGAACTCGTTGCGCTAGCTTTAAAGTTCATGAATGTTACCAGCCAGTGCGCCGGCTTCAAGTAGTACAAAGTCAGAGTCAGAGTCGTACAATAAGAGCAGGCCGAGAAAGATGTGAAGTTGGCTCCAAATATGTGGCAGATTGTGAATCTCCTGATTAGCGGAAAGTAATCTCGTAGTTGCGTTTTACCCTGCATAAGCTGTCTGAATTTTCGAAGGCTGCCTTCTCTTCATCTTTCACTTTGTGGTGATACGCAATCCTTGGGCTCATCCAAGGTAACAGAGAATGCTGGTGTAAAAGAATCAGAATACTTACAGAAAGGCAAATTCTCTGTGCTTTCTATTCTCCCAGACTGCAGTCCACGAGTTCTCAGTCAGGAAGCTGCGGGAGCACGCCACGCTGGTCTTTCAGGAGGAGGTGGGGGTTCTGGTCAAGCAGATCGATCAGGCGGCCGAGCAGGGAACCCCGGTTGACCTTCAAGTAGGTTTCCATGACGTTGTAGTATTGCATGTGCACTTGTCTGGTTTGTCTGACAATGGTCGTATGTACTGCCTCCTGATGGGATATTAGAGAAGTGCCGTATCGAGACCTGGCCTTGGAGTCCAATTGGAAACGAGAACTTATTACCTTGCACCGTGCAAAGGGGGGAATGTACAGCTGAGTAGACTGCCCTTCGATCATTTCAAGTACCTTGTCTCTGCATTGACGATGCCTGTCAGCCACACGTTTCAAAATAATCAACCCCTTGAAATTCTGGAGAGACGTAAAAGATTCTGACGTTGGATACCGCGATGGAGATGTTGGTCAGCGGCAGAACATGTCAAGCAAATCTTCGGAACTTGCATCCTAGTTTGTCTTCGGCGCTCGTCACACATGAAACGGTGGATCTGGACGGGCGGACTCCAAGTTGCAGGAAGGTCCATCTCCCGGTTGTACGACCCTCGCCCAGCTATTTTGTGTTCGATTGGGACAATTCTTGAAGCGAAGACGAGAAGCAACGAGCTTGTGCACAGAAGTTTTTGGCCCTTAACCAAAGACGGTTCTGGGCTGGTTCTGGGCTGCTTAGAATTTGGTTATGTGTCCTCTAGCCACACCTGGGCGGTAACCAGCCTTGGAAGAAGGTTACAGCCCGATTAGTGTTCCAGTAACCAAGAGTCAAGTCTGATTGTCAGGCTGGTTAGCAGCCAAAATCTCTCTGCTGATGCCATTGCCCTGCTGACGTGGTGCAGGACCTGCTGATGCGGCTGACGCTTGAGACCATTTGCCACGTGGGCTTCGGGATCCGGCTAGGCGTCCTCGCTCCGTCCGACGGATCCAGCGAAGCGTGTGAGTTCGCCAAAGCGTTCGACCTGACAAATCAGATTGTCGCGGAGCGGTTTGTCAGTCCGGTCATCTGGAAGCTCAAGCGGCTGCTGAAGATCGGGGGGGAGGGGAAGATGCGGAAAGCTCAGAGTGCAATCAACCGGTTCGCAAACTCAGTGATCCAAAAGAGGCGGGAGGAACTTGACACGATGAGGGGCGGGAAGAACGGGCTACAAATGGTGGAGAATAGCGAGTGGAGACACGGAAGCGGAAACGGAAACGGAAAACGAAACGGTGTCCTCGGGGTCAGTCCGGAAGCGTCCGACGAATCCTCTTCAAACTCGGACGAGGATAAGGAAAAGGAGGCCACAGGGGAGAAGCGCCGAGAGGGATCCCCCTCACTGGACGCCACACGCACCGGCCCCAAGGGGCGGTGGACGCTTGTCGAGAACGAGGAGAACGCCAAACCTCAAATCCCTACAACCCCAAGCAGCGAAAACTCCGAGCCGCAGGACTTGCTGTCGCGCTTCATGTCGATGCGGGACGGATGCGGCGCTCCCTACCCCGACGAGTACCTGCGTGACGTCATCCTCAACTTCATCATTGCGGGGCGCGACACGTCAGCGGGCGCGATCACGTGGCTGTTCTACGAGCTGTCGAGGAGCCGCCGCGTAGAAGAGAAGATCTTCCAGGAGCTGATGGGCGTTCTAGAAGCGGGGCCTGGGGAAGGGGGCCGCGTCGCGGCGCGGCTGACGTTCGAGAAGCTGAGAAAGCTGACATACCTGCAGGTGGGTTTTCTGATTGGTCCTTTCTAAAATCGTTCTTGTAAAGGACTTACAAATTCTCGAACACCTGCAGCGGAGTTGAATGATTACTGCCCTTCCGATTGCTCGACTTTCTGCTTGAACGTGAGGCTTGCATGCACCTTTCCCGGCCGAATGCCGCCACTTTCCTCAACCGCCGAAAAGTTTGCCCAATCCAACCCCGCCGCAGCAAAAGCAATTCGTAATTCTGCACTTTCCTGCCTCTTGGCCCCCCAAATCCTTTCTCAAATTTTGAGGCGTCATCGCCCCGACCTTCTCTCGCCCTCCTTTTAACAAGGCAACAACCTTCATATTCTGTCGATTATCACCAATTCCCGCTCCCCATTTCTGCCACATTTCACCAACCTTCTCCCCTTTCTCTCCGCCATGTGTCACCACCAAACCCCTCCCGTCGCAGGCCGCCCTATCCGAGACGCTCCGTCTGCACCCGTTTGTGCCCCAGGATCGCAAGTGCCCCAGGATCGCACGATTGTCGAAAATCCCCTCACTTGCCGCCACGTGTCACAATCATATTTTCCTCGCGCAGGCCGCCCTGTCCGAGACGCTCCGCCTGCACCCATCCGTGCCTGGGGACCGGAAGACCGCCGTAAATGCGGACGTCCTACCGGACGGCACGCGCATTGCCCCGGGACAGTTCGTGGTGTGGACGGCCTACACCATGGGGCGCCAGGAAAGCATCTGGGGCCCCGACGCGGCGGAGTTCCGGCCGGAGAGGTGGCTCGGGCCGGACGGAAGCTACCGGGCGGAGTCGACGTACAAGTTCACGGCCTTTCAGGTTGGGGGCTGGTCCTTTCGCAGTTGCCCGGGGTTGGAGCTTTTGCTCGACTCAATCGGAATGGTTGTGGTGTTCTTGGACCATGCTTTCAGGTTGTTGTCAAGTCGGTGACTTACCTCATACAACGGTGCTTGGCGCCTTGATATTTGGGCTGTGTCATCACCTTTCTTGCCGCAAGGCCTGAGCAGAGACAAGAACGGCCGTCCCAGTAAGCAGGAAAAACCACACTGCGACTGCAAACGGCGCCATTGATCGGAGGGCAGCTCGTATTGGCTTTTCCCCCTCGAAGCTTCCAACGGCTTTGACAGACTTCAACGGTTAAGATCGATCCAAGAGACATCCAACACGTTCTCTTGCGTTCCAGGGCGGTCCCCGGGTGTGCCTCGGCAAAGAGCTCGCCTTCCTGGAAATGAAAGCGGCCGCGGCGGCGCTTATCTACAACTTTCGCTTCCAGGTCGTTCCGGGTTACCAAGTCACATACGGAATGGCGCTCACTCTGCCCGTCAAAGGCGGGCTCCCGGTTATCGTGACCAAACGGTGGAACCCTTGATTGGGCATCTGTCGGAAGGTCGAGTAACGGCGGCCGAATTAGCAACTTGTATTAGTGGAGTCTTTCTCGATGAGGCCGATATAGAGCCTACATACAGAGTGTATGTATAGACGAGCGCTTTGTACGACTTTCCTCGCTTGTGTCTGTGATTAAGAGATAGAAACGCTTCGACATAGGAATACCTTCAGTGGCGATGGTGTAACGATAGACAGGAGTGTACATAAGTAGGCCCCATCGGTGTAGCAGGTTCTCCCGCGTGTGCTTATGCATCTACTAAAGAACGGTCGAGAGGCGTGTGCAGTGTACAGAACGGAGATCAAGTTGAAGACGTGTTAATACATCAATTAGCTCGTGAAGAAGCTGAGAGGGGATTTGAATAATTCGTGAGCGTCTCTCGACACAGGGTAACGCGCGGTGTGGATACCCGTTGAGAGAGACTAGCATAGTCACTCGATTTGGTATAGGGACAAGCGATCCGGGGTTCATCACAGCCGCGATCGCCCTGTTAGTTGATGAAGACCTAATTTCGCATAGGATTTGACAAACATCTATGAATAAATTGTGTTCAGATCGACACCTATCGTAAAGATCCCCGACATGACAAGTATACGTACGAGTAAAATAACGATCAGACACTTACTCTGACGAGCTTTGCATTGGCAACTGGACTCAACCGCTTAAGTTCATCTTCATGACCGTGAGACGTTTGCGCCGGGATCGGGCCGGAGTCTCTTTCCGTAACCCCAAATGCCAGTAGATGATCAATCGGACTTCAATATATCACTTGACGTATTTGAGAATCGTACTATACTTCGCACCATCTTGTAAGGGCATTGCCGAATGTTATGTGATCATATATGCTGACCCCGGCCCTCTCCATCATGCGATCATGCATCTGTTTAACCAATCCATGCAATTTCGCTCTTAAGTTCCACCCGGCCTTCCGACCAACTAATAAGTGCTAGGGCAAACGGATGGCCATCTCACGGCGACTACTGACAAACTTACGCCGCCTAGCAGTAACAAGAAGTGCGGAAGCAGATTGCATTTTGGTGGTGAAACGGGAAGCGGTAGCTGGCAAGGGCTAACACAATCCGTGTTGTCTTTACGGCAGAGGTCAAGCACATAAGCAAAAGTTGGGTGCTAAAGCACGTGCTAATTAGGCATAGGGCCAAGATGACAGTCAAAAGACCCCAGCTGGCACCAAAGTACTACAATAGTACTACAACAATGTAACGGATTGGTATTGCAGTCACTGGGGCTCGACTTATCGGTGGAACTCGATAACCTTGGACGAGGCTAGACGAAGTACGAAAGAGTACAGCTAGAAGGCAGTTCCTGTACTACAGCTGCCCTTTAGCTCGGACTCTTTCGTTTAGGTCCGTTCATGAAGTCGATAAAGGAGAGGTTCTTTGACATGGTCCAGCAGAGCGTGCGAACTCTGATGCGCTTGTTGCCTTTTTTATTTCAATTTCTCCATCACTTTGGCTAGGATGTCTTGCAGCTCAGACATACATACCCGGGCCTTCGATACACGGCCCTGATTGTTCTCAAGTTTTGCCGGAGCTGAGGGCAGGGCCTTTGAACAAACTGAACAAACTCGCACGTCCTTTTGGGAGTTGGAGGGGACCAGTTCCAGCAGGGCCACGGCCTTTATGTAGACAATACTTGTCAGCACCCGGCCAGATCTGCCGACCTGCTGTAGTTCATGTGTCCCTTCCCTTAAGCAGTAGAGCTCGTAGATGTATTGCTGAGAACCAGGCAGGCCACGTGCCAGTTCTTTGAGCAAAGCAGCACCTTGGCAGGTGTTGGAAAGCTCCACACTGGCGGTTGGGGCATCCTGCAGGTTGATTTCCTGGTTGACGTAGACGAGACCAATCCGAGGCACAAAGTATCCAACGTTGGTGGTAGCCCTGATGCGAAAAGATCCTTCAGGAGTAAAAGGCTCATCCATTCCCAGGGGGGTCCATCCTCCCCTAACTTTGAAGCGACACCAGTAGCAGCACCAGTAATACTTCAGCCAATCTATCCTCTTTCGCATGTCCGCCAGCACCGCTGCCCCACTTGTAGGCATTTCCACATCAGGGATGTCCACCCTGAATGAGGGAGACCGGACGTCCGGGTCGAGATATTCATAGAGGTCTCCCGTCACATACACTAGTACTTTCATCTTAGGGTATACTTGAGGACAAAATCTGGAGATCTGGAACAATTTCAGTGGTATTTGGACGTCCTGGTGCTGCAGGAGGTGAATCAATGTTTCCAAGGTCTTAGCGATGCCTGAGTCTGCTGAGGAGCATCTTATAGCTTGAGATCTATTCACGATGCAATCAACTTGTGAGTAGTATCACTTTTGGTCGGCCATAATATACAAGAACCTACGGCGCTTGGCCGCGGCGCCACACACCGCCGCGGCCGGCGCCGTGTGCGGCCGCGCGCCTTGGGTCATTCTCAGCGTCGGGGTTTAGGGGGGTTTACAGCCACCTGATTCACTCGGACAAAATGTGCGCGCACCGCTTTCTTTGTCGGGTGGCCAACTCCAGGCGAACAGATTGCAATGCTTGGCTGGCTCGGCTCGGGCTCGGCTCATTATTTAGCAATCTGCTCATGCATCACATCACATTGCAGAAAGCTGAGGTGGCCGGGATATAAGAGTGGTACAACTACTGTTTGCATAAGTGGTGCATTCGTCACTGGTTACAGCTGTAGTAGGTCCTAGCGGCAGCCCCAGCCCGGGCCGACGTGGCGTGAAGATAACGTGAAGATACGGGGCCGGGGAGATACGACGGCAAGCAATGATTCTCCCGTCAGACGGCTTTTCAAGCATCCGCTTTCCTTGAAGGTGATTTGTTACCTTAGAAAATTGAGGCGTTCAGCATCTGTCCCCAATGCAAAGGCACCTAGCTCAAAGAATAAAAGAAGACTATGCCACAATGCCCCTTTGAATCAAATGCACACCTTGCACAACAGTCACAAGATGTATCCACAAGCAGTTTTACAGCTACCCGAGTGCTGACAATGACATACAAGCTATGTAAATATAGGTTCGGTATTGAGAGGCCCTGAGCGCCTCATAGTTTGCTCGGGGCATACTTCAATGGAGGCTTTCAAAGAACTGTACGTTGAGAAATGCAGAGACTTCCTGTGTGAACCGATCAGCCTTCTGACCGAAGCGTTGCAAAGGGCAATTGAGAGCAGGTGCGCTGAACTTCTCATTGTTGTGGAGAGCATGGCAGTCCAACTATAATGCAGCTCCCCATGACAAAAGTCATGCGCTGCCCTTTGTTTATTGTCAAACAGAGCTGACCGGTTGGAAAGTCAGTCCGGCAGATTTCGAGAGGTTGAAGGACTGCGCACAAGTGCCAATTCAGTTGTGGTTAGAAGGGAGTTCTTAAAAAGGGCTCTGGCAGGTATGCACAATTTATGCAAAGCATATCATGCCCCGGGTTTGTTGACTTGCTGCCATTGCGTCTGACAGGAAGCCTCTGACCACTCTCAAGCTCAATGGCAACAGGAAAGAGCTGTTTTCCAAGCGGCTCGAATACATGCAGGTAAACTTGCCACATACATCAACTTGGGATCTGACCTCAGAGCTATTTCAATCAGTAGCAGCACTGTCATCGGGCCATGGTGGTACATGTGCTAGTAGCATTTGGGAACTCGTTGACTCGGACCTCTCTGGAATTGTGCAATGGCTTGTTGCTTACAAGAGTGCCACATCCGGATATTTTGCTGCAGACAAGAATACCCCGTATGCAGCCGCATTAAGAAGCCTTTGCAACACGTGTTGAACCTTTTGCTGTACCACCACTCTGCAGGTCTTTGCTCTTACGGAGGCTCTTCATGACGAAACGCAGATCGTGTCCTTGGACCTCTCTTACAACAACATTGACGATGCTGGAGCCGCAACCATAGCGCGTCTCCTTAAGGTGTGCTCTCAATAGCCTCTACCTTTCATGTTCGTGATCAGATTGAAAGCAATCCCATGTAGGAATGTTTCTCCGTCTGGGAAGCGCGCAAAAGGCAGTACAGTCTGTTCGTTTGTCAGAGACCTTATACGCTGGCGTCTCTTTATCGAGCTGATGGATCCTGTGTTCCAGTTCAACAGCAGTCTTCAGTCCTTGAACCTGGAACACAACAACATCACTGGAGAGGGTGTCAAACAGCTGGCGGCATCGCTGCAAGCGGCAGAGGGCGGAGGCCTGGCGCTGAGGTCACTGAACCTTAGAGGCAATCCACTAGAGGATGCGGGGGGCATGGCACTTGCTGATATGCTCAAGGTGCGTTCCTTTGGAGCCCAAACATGGATATCATGTGATTCGTAGCAACAGTCATGGAAGGGGATCCGAGCTTACAGCAAATATAAGTAGATTCCTGGCCAAAAGTAATCTCAGGACGAGTGTTTCCAAGTAAAGCCTGGGTCGAAGAAGATAAGCCTACAAGAAAAGGCGCGTCAATGGCAAAGGGCGACCTGATCACGATCATAGATTTGTCCGAAGCTTGACTCATAAAGTGAGGGGAAAAGCTGGTACCAATTGTGCCGTCTTGGGGCATCTTTACAGGTCAATCGAGTCTTGCGAAGCTTGGACATCGGAGACACCCAGATTGGCACCAAGGTCAGTGGCCAGTGAGATTTGCAGCGGGGCCCCGCAGACAAATGGTTCTTTGAACAAAATTTTCTCCAAGGCGAGGCTGCACTTTCCAGGCCCGATTCTAAGCACCAATAATCTTGCTTACTTTGGTTGTTTGACCACGTCGTATGGCATGGGCCCTTCCTGGTGCGTGAAGAAGCTTAGGGCTGCAGAGGACCGCTCTCGACATTATCTAGTGTCACCCCGCTAACTGAGCGGAGCTTCTGATGCAGTCGGTGATCTACATCGCCAACGTACTGCAGCAATCGAACAGGGCGCTCCAAAAGCTCAATCTCGACAACCCGCGGCTTTTCAGCCTGCAGGTAAATGTGATAGTCAAAGGGCCTAATCTTCTTATAGCATTCTTGCCACTTCATCTTTTCTTTGATACAGCTATCCAATCTGCCGGCGGCTGCTTGTAAGACGGGGTTGCACAAATCCGACATCTGATGCCGGGTTTTCCGGGCTAAGTACTTGGGCTGGTGACAAGGCCGTCAGTTCCGTGTGCAGGAAGAGACCGCGAGTCACATCGCAAGAATGCTGGCAAACACCTCCAGCCTGCAAGAAGTCAAGGTACGTTCGATTCGCAAGGCGCTTCCATACAGACTTTTGTTTGGAGTGAGTGCAACTTCGAGCGCAATGAGTCTTGCAAACAGACTTTACAATGCGCTTTGCCAGGCCGGACTTTTGGACCGCCAGGAAGCGTACTTATGAGAAGCTTTAAGTGACTCTAGAGGGCAGGAAGTAGTTGAGTGCATTCTCGCACTGTTGATATTACCTGCATTCAATTTGTGCAGCTGGGCAAGCATGCCATGCGGGACGCGGGGCTTGAGACTCTCCTCACCTACGGAATGATTCGAAACAAGTCGATCGACTCCCTTGACCTTAGATGGTGAGCGGCAGCCGTCTCGACCACTCAAGCTTCTTTATTTGCTGAGCAACTTACGAGAACTCCACTTGCTTCTGTTCTCTGCATCCTCTTCATCCCTGTTCTCTGGCCTATAATGACACTGGAGCACTGTGCTTGGACGAAGTGACAACAGACAACCTCTCTGAAAGTACAAGTCTTTGTTTCGCCTGCTGCAGTAACCAGATATCAGAAACCTCCGCCGCAAACCTTGCGCGCCTTCTCGGCGAAAGCCCAAACCTCCGAACCCTAAACCTCGCATGCAACCGGATAGGCGACGCGGGCGCGGCCGGCCTTGCAGAAGGCCTGCTGCTCACTCCGTCCCTGACCAGGTACGTCTCCAGCCTTCCACTATACCTTGCTTGAATGGCAGCTGAATTGGAAGATTGCATGTCCCCGCATCGCTTTCTGACTGTCAATGGGGCTTTTGAAGGCTTGCGCTGAGACTCGTCAGACGGTTTGGTCACCATTTACTTTTGCTTGGGGTCTTTCAGGGATTTGCTTGGCACGCATCCTCTTTGACATCATCTCGAGTTTCCTCTCAGAAAGCAGGAGACATAGCTGTAACGCAGATAAGGCTGTCCTGCAAACGTAATATAGTCGCTCGTTTGGGCCAAACCAAAGCGTCCTCGGAGCGGTCTTAGAAGGAAGAGCAGACCGTCTTTGCCCCCCCTCGTTTGTAGAACCTGGCCCGCAAAGACATGACCTTTTTTACTGCGTCAACAAGTCGTCCATCTTCTCATGCGTTTGTCCCCTTCTCCTTCGCACGTGCAGTCTGGACCTTTCTCACTGCTCCATCAAAGATTCGGGGCTGCTAAGCATTGCGGAGGCGCTTAAACTTAACCGAACGGTGAGACGAATGCAAGCAAGCGACGAGAGTGAAGCCCCATATCAAAGACAACTTGAAACAAGACCTTCTGGAGTGCTCATCGTTTCATAGCACTTCACACCCGTGAAAGCATGTTGATTCTCAGGATGTTGGTTGGACGAACTGTAGGAGATTGTCTAATTGTACAGCCGTGACAGTTTTCTGCTGGTTACATTCGCAGATTGGCCAGTTAGTCTGAAGTCAGAGCCACTGGTCTCGCTCCTGGCCTACGTGGTGTTTGACACTACTCGAGGGAGAGGTCTCGATAGCGACGATTGGCGAAGTCACACTTGGTATCCGTCCAGGTACCTCCGAACTTACGTTGGAGCAGTAATGTTGACTGCATCCGAAGCTAGTCTTACAGCTGCTTGTATGTCCGTCCCTTGCAGGTCATACACTTAAAACTGTGGGGGAACGAGTTCGGACAAGCGGCTGCCGCGGCTTTTGACGCGCTATTTAAAGACGTAAGCCAAGTTGCTCACACTTTACTCCCTTGCTAGTAAAACCGTTGACTTCCGCGGCTGAAGATCTGGCTGAAGGACGGCTGGCTACAGAGAAACGCTCCTTGTGTTTAGCCAGACGCTTTTCCTGGCAGCTGACATCATTGTTTTAGCAATCATGGACCACAGAAGATGTTGAAGATTCTGGAGCCTGCAGGCTCTCATCAAATGAATCACTCCATGTACTAGGTCTGACACATCATGATACTTTGCGAAGAAGAAGTGGCAAAAAGTGGCTGGAGCGTTTAGAGGCAGAGGCTACCATGTGGCCACGTTCTTTCTTCTCTTTGCAGAAACAGCGTCCAATACTCAAGATCGACTTCATGCTCTACTCCGTGGATGGTCAGTACCAGGTCGCACAGAAGCAGGCTCCTTCCTAACCGGCTGTTGACCCACTTGCTCGTGCCAGACCTTTTTTCGCTCCTTGTCGCAAAGCCTGGTCTTCAAAGATTTCATTTATGATTCTCCAGGACTTACGCATGCGTGGTCTCGTGATGATGTTAAAAATTGTGGATTTAACGGGTCAACTAATGCAATTCTGGAGAACAACGACGTTCCATTTCAGCGTAAAAGTTCGCAAAATGTGTCCCATCGGACTCCAGGCCACGTTCCAACCGGCCGGTCGCCGTGACGGGTTGAGCCTTGGTTTCTTTTGACCCACTTCGATTACAGTTCTTGTGTACTTTTGAATGTCTGAACTCATATTCATGAATTCGGGACAGCCGTTATGACTTACGAGGAACTATGCCGACAATGGATGGGACGCTAAAATCCTACACAATTAAAATGACATCGAGCAATGGGCTACTAGCTGCGTGCATGCCAGTAGTAAAGCCTTTCCCCAATCATCGACCTGTTCAAACCAATGATTAATTATGATTTTGTGATGTCCCCGCCGACTGTGTTAGAAAACTTGCCATCCAAAGCGTGGGCATCGAACTATCGAACAACGAAACGACATGGAAGCAAAGCAAGTGCCAGGGGAGAAGTCGTGAAAAGTACCTGTACCACCTTAGGAGAACATTGGAGTCAGTCACCACTATTCTGCACGTCGAGTATATCTTGGCCCAATGCTTGCAGAGCGCCTCAGGCTGATCAGGCTTTACAGTTGAGCAGTTAGGGGGGATATGTAGCTTAACACGCATGCATAATACGCTAATCACTGATTTGCCGAAGTTGGATACATCCTGCTATCTTGAGCATCACGAGAGAAGAGTACTACCCACGAGTAGACCTACTAGTACACTACTAGTTGAGATGCACTCGGCGTTTGCCTTTCGCATTGTACAGTATAGTAAGGGCATAGTACATGCAGTAATATCGCGTAGTGCCAAGTAGGTACGGACGTTCGATGCCGGCCGCCGGCCGGGGCGGCGGGCGCGTATGAAAGCTGGCGGCCCGGCCCGCATTGTAAGCGGCGCATATGCCGCGGCACACATTGTGCAATGATGTGGACAGTGGAATCCGAGTGTACCAATCATTGCATGCTCTTACTGGTCTGCCGGACTGTTCCGTCTCGCTGACGAGTAGGTCGGCCCGGGGCTTCATTACGGGCTGCAACAAGTTGCGGGCCTTCAGGAGTTGGACATGCAGGTAAGCATTCGTCAGGGCCTTCGTGATCTACCGGCGTAGCTACGAGACTCCAGAGGTCGGTGGTGCCCCCCAGGGAAGATGAGCTGGGGCCCGCCGCGCCCCATGCAGCGCCGAGCGGATGCCGAGGCGCCCGGTTGCTTGCAAGCCGGGCACAATGGTGTCGGGAGCCCATTCAGGAATCTGGAATCTAGCCTGGGGATTCCTTTGCCGAGGAATCTCTTGCATGATTGCGTAGATTGATATCAATGGGAGCAGGGCACAAGTCGGACCGCCATGCAGGGCAGCAATATCAAAGTTACTGCAGCTGAAGTAGGTACGTCGTACCGAACTCCCGAAGGCATCTCTGGAGCGCCCCGCATAAGATGATTCGCCTGTGCTTGGCTATCTTTCAGTCAAAGGGGATGGCTGACGTCCAACGCTCCTGGGCAGGGGACCAAAGTCGAGAGCCCATCAATGTCGATCCAACGTCACCTCACCTCAAATGCGGAGTAAGAGTGCTCACGTTCGTTTTTGAGCACGACTGGTGCACAATATCAGCCCTGCACACATCGATGCCGCCTTCCTGCAGCTGAGACGCATTCGGATCGGACCTCAGGAGAGCTGAGCACTTGTGCAGCTGATTGAAGCCCCTGTCTTCAGTCAGGCGCCATGGCTCTTCCTGGGCTGCTCCTCTTCTCCTTGGCCCTGGTGCTGGTCGGTGTCGTTTCCGCTCAACATCCGCTGAACACCCCGAACCCCAGCATCAAGTACCCGACCCAACCCCCGAGGCAGAACCCCTTCATCAAGCCCCCTGGTGCGGGGTACGGCATCCAAACACAGCGCCCCTACAACATTGCGCACAGAGGTGAGAAGGTCGAGCTGCGGCTCTCTTAAAGTTGCAATCCTGGCCCTACACTGCTAATCAAGCACCACATGGCCCTGCTTGAGGTTGGGCGCAGAATGAACAAGTTCGTCTAAGTATGGGGGGAGGCAGCTTGGGGTTCTTTGCTTCCTGTCAACAGAAAGTGAGGCCGTACTATCCTCAATTGAAGCTTCGTGAACCACCTCAAGTGACCACAGTAGACTGCAGGAGGCATCCTGTAACGATTCCATCAGGCGAGTCTTGAGGATGACTAAGTAATTTGAGTCCCGGACAGGCCTTGTTTGCAAGTCCTTAAAGTTGGACATATTCACACTTACTTGCTTGCCCAACTGTTCATGAGGGCTTCTTGTGCCAGAACTAAGGACCAACTACGGATCTTGGCTGGTAAATGTCCATGTCAGGCATTATCTTATGTCGCCCCCATCTTTCATGGCACAGGTGCTAACAACGTGTACCCTGAGGAGTCTGAGCAAGCTTACAAGGTGAGTCCTTGCATCGCACCTCTAGATATCTTTCCAAACATTACTCACTCTTCTGACATCCTGTCTTTAAATGGCTGTACGTTTGCTTGGAACCATACTATGTCTTTTTGCATGACAGTCCCTTCAATACAGCCTTTGATGATTGTTGTTTTAGGACTGCATACAGGCGAGCTGATATACATCCACAGCTCAAAGCATCATACCCCTTCTTGTACCGCCTGTTGAAACTTATGACGTCTTCTTTTGTTGGGGCAGTGATCTCCTTCAAGGCGCAAACCCCAAGAGAGACGAGCCAAGACTTCCTAACTTGCAGCAAAGGTCCTGCTAATCAGTCTGTCGTCTCCTTGCAGCTCGCCATTGATTTGGGCGCTGACTTCATCGAGTCGGACATCCAGGCCACTAAGGACGGCGTCCTGGTCTGCTTTCACGACATTGGGCTGAACCTCACAACTGATGTTTCTACCAGGCCCGAGTTTGCAAGCAAGCTGACGACATACAATGACATCACTGGTAGGGCAGGAGCTAACTCTGTCTTAGGCAATCCTCAGTTGTGTGAATGCAGCTTGCTTTGCAAGTGACTGTCTGTCTGTGGGAGGTGCCTCATCTGTCATGCTCTTTCATGAGACATCTTCAACAGCAGGACCTTTCCTTTGGAACTACAATGCTGGATCTGCAGAACCCCGCTCGTAGGCTCCTGCTAAAACCAAGTTTCTTGCACCTATTCCAGGTGGAGATGGGACCAACACTGACTGGTTCTTGGGTAAGCATCGGTATTCTCAATGTTCATCTCTTATCTCATGCTTTCGATACTGACTTGGCACCACAAGGAAGTTGAGTTGTTCGTTGCTTCCGAGGTTTGGTGCAGATCTTTCTGAGATGCTGCCAACAGTAATCAAGCGTATCGCTTAGCATGCCTCAACTGCTCAAAGTGGTGCTCATGACAAGCGTTGTGATCGCTCTTGCAGTCGACTTCACTTATGACGAGCTCAAGACGCTCAAGCTGAAGCAGCGGTTCCCCTATAGAGACCAGTCTTTCAATGGTAAGCCCCATAGCATCGGTCAAATGGATCAGGGAACAAGAGATTTGTCGTCCACGAGACTACGAATGTGTTAGAAGCTGGACAGCGGTGCAGATTGGATCAAACAAAGACACAAAGCACTTTGAGAAAGCAATATAGGTAGTCCCCTTTTGAAACATGATTTGAGCTGAAACAATTTATCAAGATCGGATGTAACCATAAGGCAAGGTTATGACGTTCTTAAAGCACAACCAACTTGGCCAGCACATTTGCGAGGCTCAGCTGCACCTGCAAAATAGTATGGAGCAGCAAGCGTTTGTCTGGGCACGGCATAGCGTGTCTCGCTTGTGCTGGCAGGCCAGTTCTCGATCATCACTTTCGAGCGGTACATCCAGATTGCGCAGGAGGCCAACCGAGTGGTCGGCATTTACCCAGGTGATATGGAATTCTCAACACCAGCTTCACAGAAGTGCTCATCCATTCAGAGACGACCGATCCATAGCAGCTTCTTATGGCCGTTTTCGCCTTCTTGCCGATCGAACGTTGCGCATAGTGATTGTTTTGAAAGGAGCGGGTGCAATGCGAAGGGGATGCAAAGGAAACGAAATGATGAAGTCTAATACATAGCTCAAAAATGCTTCGCATTTAACATGGGAATGCTGAAAGGAATATAGTGCTCAGCTATGCCTGTCCGTTTCTTGCAGAGATCAAGAGCCCTCGCTTCAACAAGGCCCACGTGCAGGTACGTTCGTTTGCAATGCCCTCGAGCGCCATGTGAAGAGTGATCACTTGGATTCAGACCGGCCTGATCTTGTCACTGGTTCCTTCGTCCGCAGAGTCCCCTCCTTCGCTCACAATCCACTGATTTTCTCTCATTGGCTGCTTCTACGATCCTCCATCCTCAGACCACTCTTTCTTGCTTCACAAATCTTATGTGCTGCAGTTTCCCGGAGGCAAGAGCTTCGAGCAGGCGGTCGTGGATCTTCTGAACCAGTACGGCTATGGCGGGCCCTACCTGACCGACAGGTGGCTGGCCAAGCCGCTGTTCATCCAATGCTTCGCTTACACGTCGCTGCTCGAGGCCAAGAAGTACACCGACTCGCCCCTCGTCTTTCTGTACGACTCGCTGGACGCTCGCACGCAGGACACCAACGAGGTAACGAAACCAAGCCTAAAATAAATTTGGTCAGGCCTCGCTGAGCTGGTTTTCAATTAAACGAATCGGGTTGAGACTTGGTCGAACGTCCCTAACCAGACCCGCCAGCGGCTGATCTAATACTCTGGGCCAGGGCTGCTTGCGCAAACAGGCAAGCTTTAGTTGCTCAGGTTTCTTTGAAATATTTCACACTCGTCCTGCCCGGCCGATCATCGGACCGTCTCGTTGTTGTTCAATAGACAGGCGTCCCATCCTTGCTGAGGATTGTAGTCGGACGCTCGCAGACGTACGCTAGCCTTTCTACGGACGCTGCTTTCGACATGCTGAAGTCCATTGGCGTCGTGGGATTGGGCCCGTACAAGGCCAATATCCAGCCCATCAATACGACCACGAACTACTACTCTGGCAAGCCCAACGACTTTGTCACGCGCGCGCACAACAAGGGCTTCGAGGCACGTAATACGAACCTAGTGTCCTCCTCCCTTTCTCCTAAGGGTCCTGATTGAAATGGTGGAGCATTGCTGGTGTGTTTTATTCTGTAGTCAAACCTTTTTGCTCTGATTGAGATCGTCCTTGAACGGTCCAGGTTGCTGATTGGAAGATTCAAGCACTCAAGCTGAAGGTAGATTCTCCGTCAGAATCGGTTGTTGTTGCGTCTCCCCTCGCAAAAGCCTGCTCATAGAATACGGTGGCCTTACCTGCGGCTTTTGTGCATCCGCAGGTGCACCCGTACACTTACCGTGCGGACACCCCTCAACTGGTCTTTGATCTCCACGGCAACTTCTTCAACGAGTTTATCTACTTCGACAAGGTCATTGGCGTGGTGAGTTATCATTGATTATCCATTCCATCAGCGAAAGCGGCAGGGCTGCAAAGATAGATATGTTGTGAGCGCTGCAATCTGCTTGCCCTTAATCGACACACTGTCTCGCCATTGTCTGCTTCTCCCGTTGGCTTCCGGACTCACACCCAATGCTTTCAGATTCGACATTTGCGCAACTATTCAAAGAACGAAGTTGACGTTATTGCTTGCAGGACGGGTTCTTTACTGACTTCACCGAGTCAGCGTTCCAGTGAGCATCACTCCCTTGAGCAACGCATTCTTATACCAGCTCTCTACATGGAATCTCAGAGTCGTTTCTGCCCATTCTCATGCTGATTATTGTTGCAGCCTTATTCTCAGCCCAGTGCAGGTGAAGCAAGGTTCTGCACAGATTACAAGTCTTTCTTTATATGGTGCAGGTACCTCGAATGGACGCATCCCATCTTCACCAAGTCCGATATCTACCAAACTCTCATTTTTCAGTAGTTACTCACAATGAAAGTTCTGACTAGCTTGCTCTGGAACATGTTATTTATAACCTACAGTGACTCAATCAAATATAGAAGCTCTGCAAAACGGAGAGGCTTTACACGGTAGCCTAGGCGTGTTGATAGTTCTCAAAGGATGGCCGTTTGGGCTGAACACGTTTTTGATGGCAATGCATGGTTGCCCACTTCCTTTTCAGCGAAAGATACGCTAATATCATCTATCTTTGGGTTTCGGCAACAGCTCTTAATGAAGATCTCCGCCACTCATGTCTTTTCCGCATGATTGAAGTGTTGAGATTAGACAGCTCCGACTCATGTTTGAGGCGCCGTCGCCTGTTGTTGATTAGCTAGCATTGATGTGTTCTACGATAAACGAGAGCCTGACCAACAACTTCCATGTTTCGTAAGCCGCATGCGATTGTGATCAGCATTCGCGGATAACAACAGTCGATAATGATTGTATAAAAGAAGGTTTTGTTTCATTTTCCATTGATCATGATTCCCTGATTCCACTCTACATGGATACATGGCCGGCATTTGACATATACTTAGTAGGTTTCTCCACCGCAAACTCGCAACTCAATCAACTCGAAGGGTGATCCATGAGAATACATCTTGTTGCCGAACATGCCGGGCGTTCTCGTATAGTGCTGCAGAACCGGAATGACTCGATGAGGCGCACGTACCCAACTTCGAGTGCTTGTACAAGATCCTGCCGCGACCAGTGGTTATAAGACCACAAATTAGGCTGGACCCATCCGGCCGGCCACTAGCTCCAGCAATATCATTTCCCTGATATGTCACTCTACAAGATCTGTCGTTAGGACCTTAGAGTCAAACCTTGCGCAACCCGGTATGTGCAACTGCACCGTCAGTACCACAAATGTTGTGCACGCATCATAGATGTAAAATTCTACCACTTGCCCCAATATACTCAAGGCAGAAAAGAACAATTTGACCTTCTGCTGATGGAGGGAGCTCCAGTTTGTCAGACCTTTTCAACGGGAACGATCTTTCGAGCTGCCACTCGAGCCTTTAGCTCCCGGACCTCTCGTCGTGTTTGTCGACTGTCTGTGTCGGCCAGTGTAGAACGTATTCTCTTTGCACGTGCCTGGCTTGCGCGCCTCTGTGATGAAACACCACATGCACCTTATCAGACAAATCATAACCCGTGATTGATCAACAGTATGATTGCATCTCGGAAACTGAGCACAAAAATTTTCCAACAAAGCAGGTCGTCTCCCTGTGAGGATCTCTGTCGCTCAAGATGCAGCTTTCTGAAGTGCAGGAAATTGATGTGGAAAAAAGCCCGACAATTGCTCGAGAGCGGTGCAAGGAAAACCATGCTGACGTACCAGAAACTATTAGCGCTTCACCTGTAGCAAGTAAAGCCGCCGCCTGAGCCTGATTGTCTCGTGAGTGCGAACGCCCATCAAAAGCTCGGTGGTGCTCGCGCGTGCCAGCTCCAAAGACACTTCCTGGTCTCCCCTTCTCTCTGCGTAAGGGAACGCGTTGGCTTAGCAACCTACTTGCATGGTCAGTAAATAGGCCGCTCACTTTTCTGTGAAGCACTCAGCTTCGGACTGCGATATCAGTACCTTCTCCGGCAAGGCTTTTTGATCCGCGTTCACTCCGTGAGGCCGGGCAGTAGGGTAAGACACAGTAAGACAAACTTTCTGAAAGAGTAGCAAAATGAAGCAATATCAGTAAAATATGCACGCCTTACGATCAGATTGCGAGCGAGGTGCAAGAAAGACACGCGTCACGTTTCTAGAGTATCCAGGCTGTTACGTTCCTAAAGGTTTGAACGTTGCTTTGCAGGCTTACCTTCAATGACGAGCCGCTTAAAGCTCTCAATGACGTCATGTACGGACTGCCGCTGCTTTGGCCGCGTGCCACGTGGAAGCTGCCCGGCTGCGGCCGCGCCCATCTCGAGCGCCTGGATGGCACGTGCCGTCTCTTCGTCCCTGTCACAATGAACGTCCGAGGCGTAAATAGAGCATCATTTTACATGGGTAGATTCCGCTTCAAACGTCTACTTTATGTACAAGGGGAAACTCAAGCATGCTCTGCTCCCTGCAACTCGCATGAGCGGCGACGGCGCTTTCCGACCCAGCCTTACATGCATTCAAAGTGCGGAACGAGTGTTGATCCTTTGCATGAAGAAGCATGCAGTCCCCCGCTTGCCACCTAAACCAGCAAACGCAAATGCCATACCGCGCTCTTCGCTGGGCGCTTTCCAACCAAACGGTTTCTGAGCTCCTAGGCATCTCTGCCACTGCTTATTCGCTTTTGACAAGTCACCAGATCGTGAACGACCAAACGTTCGACACGTCACTTCTTTCCTAGCAAGCGTCGCAGGACGCTTAAGACTCCAACATCTTCAAACCTTTAACGGCGCACCTTTTCATCTGCTCGGCTTTTGCCGTCTCCTCCGCCTCTCGGCCCATCGCAGCAATCGCAGCCGCCCGCGTTCCCGCTACTGGGCCTCTGCCACGTGGCACCGCTCCCACGGATCCGCCGTACCGGCTCAGGAAGTCGGCTTCTGCCTCGGCCGCCGCTGCGGCTCGGACAGCCTGCACAGAGTTTTGAATCAAGTGAGAAATGCCCGATTTCAATCGGGAAGATTACCTTTTGACTATTGAGGCTACCAATTTACATGCAAGAACAAGTAAGAAGAAATAAAGAATGGGGGCAGCCTTAGGCTGGATCAAGTAGCGCAGGCTTTGCCGAAGGCTGCGAGGTACGGCAGAGGGACGGCGAAGCGCTATGACAACTGCGCCTCAGAAAAATCGGCGGATGGATGCAGGGAACTGGCGTGCAAAGAAAGGGGCCAACGTTCGACTTAGCTTCCGTCATGATGGATGAAAGAATGCTCGAAATTGAGACTTTTCGCTACAACGCCGCTGCCAGTGGAGAATGTGGAATCTGGAGGAACCGCTTCCAGCCAGCTTACGTTACAATTTTCGAAGATGGCCTGGACACAAGAAGTGCACGAGTTACCGAAAAGGCCCACTGACCGGATGCGAGTCCGCCAGCAGCCGGATCTTGAGCGTCGGCATGTGCGACCGCGACCCGTCCGCTCGTAACTCCACCCACACCGCCTGCATCAGCCCGTACGAATGCACCACGCTCCCGGTCCGCACGTCCGAAACCCGCAAACTGTTTCCCTCTTTCTGCAGCGCCAAGTGGGCGGTCCCCCAGGCCCCGTTTTCGGCGCCGTCGCTCGGCGGCACCAGCTTGCCGGCCTTGTCGCGCAGGTAAACAGGGCCCCGCAGGTCGTACTTGGGGACGAAGACCATGAGCCCGTGTGGGTGCACGCTGGTAACGATAGCCTTTTCCGCTGACGTGTGGTTTTGTAAGTATAGTAAAAGGTACAGCTCTGAGCAGTCCTTCTGCGAGCGCTTGCTCGCGCGGTGCCGCTCGTTCAAATGGTCCGCGATCTCCTCCAGCTTCGGGGCGCTCGCTAACCCTCTTCTAACCGGCTCCGCGTTTCGCTCAGGGAAACTAGACGCTGACCCGTTTCTTAACCCACCGTCTTCCAGTGCCGCGATTAATTGCCGATGCACAAGCACGTCGGCGTACCGTCTGATGGGCGACGTAAAGTGAGTGTAGAACTCCAACGCGAGGCCGTAGTGGTAAAACCCGCTGGAACCCTCCAAACCCCCGCCGTTCGAGGCCGCCCCCGTGCAGATATACTGCGCCTCTGACATTGCCCGCGTCGCGATCGCGCGCAGCGCGTTCTGGACCGTCAGATCGAGCGCCCGGGTGCGATCCAACGACTGCGCGAGCGCGCGGTTGCTGCTGACGTCAAGGGGGCCCAGGCCGTACGCTTCGAAGCACTCCTGCAGCCGGTCGAAGCCGTCGGGGCGCGGAGGGGCGTGGTGACGCAAGAGTGACGTCGACGGGAAGGTGGAGAAGATGCGCTCGGCGACGGCGGAGTTGGCGGCAATCATCAGCTCGGCGACCACCCAGTTGACTTGGAGCTCCTGCGAAAGAAGTTCCGGAGTTGAGGTGTACAGCATCTAATGACAGATCCACACACGAAAATGCTCGGGGGGAGAAAACGTCTGAGGCACCGCATATCAGTGAGGATCGATTACGATGTTGTCGGTTTTCTCTCGTAAGGAACAACTAGTAGGGCTGCAAGAGGTTGCAACCTCTTGGGAGCGGATCAAGCATTGACCAACCGACCGTCTTTGACCATACCCGTAACCAAAGCAGAGCATCGCGCAAGACATCCTTGAAAAGGAGCGCCCAGGCTGACCCTCCGCCTGCGGTGTCTCCATTCTTCCTCCAAGTCTATTGTCCTCACAAGTTCAACCGGCCAAACACCTCCGGGTCCCTCACTGCATGGCAACAACCTACACAACGCCTTAAAGTTTTGAAACCCAAAAAGCCCGAAACCCCAAACCCTAGAACCTCTTACCTGCTTGGTGATGACCTTCATCGGCGCCCCGGTCGCGGCATCCGTCTCGAACCGGAGCTCCGCGCTCGCGAGCTCCAGCGCGCCCGCGGCCTCGCGGCGGCCCCGAAGGGCCCGCGACAGGGCGGCCAGCAGGGAGAGGTCCAGCTGGAGGAGCCCGCGCTCGGACTCCCCACCGGACACCTCCGGACAGTTCCGACCGTCCAAAATCGCTTGCGCCTGCGCGAAAACAGCAGAAGGCTTTTGAGAACGATGCTGCGGTCTTTGGAGGACGGGTTTTGATAGCCCTCGGCCATCCAAGGAAGGGGTCTGAATTGGGTGCTGCTCACTTTCGTGATGCGAGCTGACGAAGGACTCACACACCAGACAAGATGATTCCTTCAAAGATTTCCTGATCGTAGAACGCAGCGTGGGAGTCTGTAGAGCCTTTGTACGTTTTCAAAACAGGAAAAAACTGGAGACTGCGAACCAGGATTCGGCGTACTGCATACTCTCTTGCAACCGACTCTCAGTCTGAAACTGCTCAGCAACCTACCTGCGGATAGCTCAGCTGATGCCGGTTGTGTATAACCGTCCGCCCGAACCAGGGTCGGCCCACGATCGACGGGCCAGATGGGTCCACGTGCCAGACCACGCTGACCGCGAGGCGATCCTGGCCGCCCACGAGCGAGCAAAGGTCCTCCGCCAGAAGTTTTGGGAGCATGTCGAAGCGCCGGTCGACCAAATACACCGTCGTGCCACGAGCTCGCGCCTCGAGGTCCAATAGGCTATTGTGCCGGACGAAGTAGGAGACGTCCGCGATGTGAACGCCCACCTGTGTGGATGATGAGGGATAGAAAAGGATGCGTAAGAGCGCGCGTAGCGATGCGTTTGGCTTGAGCGTGCATAGACGTTCCCTCGCGCGGACGCTTGCTCCTTACAGCAGACTTGAATCACTTCACCAACAGATGCAGAGTGAGTTTGTAAATCGAGGCCGTCAATGAACAAGCTGGTGACAGACGGACGCATTGTTTTTACGTTCAAAAGGTGCTTTTTGTAATCAATAAGAGAGACGGCATTCATATTCTCCGGTTGATCTTTTGGAAGTCATTCGAAGTCAAACGAAACATCAAGCTTAAGCATGGTAAGTGAGCTCTCAAACTCCGGACCCACCTCAGCAGTGCCGTCGGGCAGCCATCTTACGGACAGCACGTCGTCCACGTCCTTGCTGCCCGGGGGGTCGATGCTGCAGGCCCGGTGATCGTGCCGCAAGTCGCGTCGCGCCGAGATCTCCACCCGGGGAATGCTCCACGGCGTGGGGGGAAGCTCCTGCAGCGCCCTGTACCGGGGGTACATTTTGATTTAGGAGATGCATTTTGAACTAACGTCAGCAGTTTTCTGCTGCTAAGGGGCAAAGCGGCAGCGACCAGTTGGTGCTTTTTGTATGTTCGCTGGACATGGACGAAGAACGGAGTCTTTCACTGAGACAATCAAAAGCGACATGCCAGAGGACGACAATCTACTGACTATTGTCGCCGTAGGCAACCCGCTACGGATGCTCCTTGTAAAACATCGTCCCACGTTCTTCTAAAATACCCCAACCCATCGTAAAGACTTTTCAACCAACCCGCAAGCCAAATCCAACTCGAAAAAGTTATTGAAACATTAAGCTGCTTTAAGGGGAAAAGCAGCTAAACAAGCCGCTCGAAAGAAGCACCCTGGTACCGATGCTCTTCTAAGCTCCAACTTTCAAATCTGCTCGCATACCCACCCGGTGCTGAACGGCGCCACCTCGATGCCGTTCTCCACGAGCAGGCTCTCGCTCTCCGCTCTCAGGTCGCCAATCGGGCCAACCAGGCGTGCCACGTGTCCATGCGGGAACGCCGTGTCGCGCTCCCAGCCGTCGACCCGCACGACGAACCGCTGGCCGGCCAGGCGCGCCACCTGGCGCGTTCGCAATCTCACAAAGGGGATCCGACGGTCCATAGGAACGGCGAGAACGGCCTCGGTCCGGCCGCTGTCAGTGGAACCTGCACAAGGAATGAAGGGCAAACGAGATGATTGAAACGTGCGAATGACGTAGATTCGTGAGAGTGCTTAGCGTGGGAATCAAAAGCGGACGGAGAAGCGTCCAAAACACCTAATGACTTGAATAGACTTTTGCTTCAACGAGACGATCACTTGGAAGGTTCCAAAGCGGACTTTTCCAGCAGCTGATTCAGGGCTCACTTCAAATTCCTTAATTGATTATTTGTGTCGAGCCGATCATTCACTTACTGATACGGCTACAAGAAAAGGGCAGGGCAGATGTAAGGTGAAACATCAGCGGAAGGCCGACCTTCGAACGGCTCTACAAGCAGCCTTGGCTCGAGACCCTGTGACCCAAACTTCGAAGACAGACTCACCCAAGCTCTTTTCATCGTCCTTCTGCAAACACGCCACGTAGTCCCTCGCCGCCCGCTGCACTATCCCCACCACCTCTCCAGTGGGCACTCTTTCCCCCTGCTTCTCTTCCCCCTCCGCGTGTGAACTTCCTTCCATTCCCCCTCTTTCTGCAGTTCCAACCCCAACTTTCGGCGTCCCGTTTGACTGCCCGCTTCTTTCTCCGGTCACCGTTTGCCGGAGGGAACCTTCGCCAGGTAAGCCTTCCTTAAGTAATTCGTCGTTTGACTGGGCCTCGGCAGGGCCTGTCTCCAGCTCTGCTTCGACCTCCTCTTCTTCCGGCCCCAATATCGGGTCTTCCGACGGAACAGCGGCTGCTTCCGCCACGTGGGAGCCACGTGGTCGACCGACCTTGGGGCTGCGCCACTGCTCGCGAGGGAGAAGTCGTACCTGAACGCGGCGGAAGCTTTCAAGTGTTAATACACTGATTACCTGGAGGCTATCGGATTTTTGAAACAGAAAGAGGAGGTCACTAACAAGCCATGAAGTGAAGGCTGCGGTTTCGCTTCTCCGGATTTCCCCTGACGAACTCAGCTCGCTTTGCTTCGAAACCCTCACTGAGAGTTTTAAAAGCCGTGCCTTTCGAAGTATTGCCAGGAGTCTCGTCAGAGTTGCACTATGTACCGGGGACGCTAGGTAACCGTGCCGAATCAGGGGCCTGATCAAGGAGGAGCAAAGAATAGTAGAAGAGCATCAACAGAAACTTACCGCGACCAGGTCCCCTTGCAAAGCCCGGTTCTGCAGGCGCCGCCCCGGGATGAAGATCTCGTGACGAGAGGCCTCCCCCTTGTTGCTGCACGAGGGAGACTGGATGAGACTCTTCATAGAGGAACTGACAACACGTTGGGAGATGGAAGCCAAGTGAGGAGTGCATAGTTCACAAGATTTCGGAACCAGTACGGTTTGAAAGGACGAGCAAGGAGCGGTCCGAATTCCATTTCGACAGCGGCGTAAATGCCAGCTTCAGCTGTCTCGCTCGAACGCGTCAAGGCACTGCAGCATTGAACAACAAAAAATCGAGCATAACGAGATCTCAAGATGAAACGTCGAGAAGAACAGGGGAGGTTGACGAGCTTCCAAACGGGGAGGCACAGGGATCGTACCTCGGTCGAACGAATGCTTCGTCCGGGGCTTGGCGGCTGACTTGGAAGACACCGACACGGATGGTGCCGTCCGAAAGACCGTCCTCGATCGCGTGAGCTGAAAGACGTCAGAGGAACGATGCATGTGAGTAAGCAAAGGCGGTCTAACAACATCGTTCGCAGATAGCTGCGCTTGTTAGACCTACAAGATAGCATCATGAGCGTTTGTCAAGGGCCAAAGAAGCGACAAGCTGCAGGAGAAAGCGCAGGCAATAAACACTGAAGACTAATATGCTTTTTGTCGTCACAAGTAAGTAAAATTCTGGCTACTTTGGAAAAATGCAAAAGATCTTGGAAAAGCTCTGACCTGGAAGAAATGGAGGATAGGAAGTTCCCTTCCCGATGGTTGCCCGGGGCTCAGAAGGCAAAGCTTCTGTTGCCTCTGTCCGAGAATGGTCCTGCAATAGCAAGATCCACAGTATTCACCAAGGTTTCTACTTTTCTGAACGGTGACCTCCCCAATTGTGGCCTTGCGAGCTGTCACAATTATGCATGCACGTGAAACGAGAGGCCATTTTGCTAGTTAGGGTCAAAAAATAAAGCTGCGTGGGCTGAAAATCGCGTTCAGGCGGTTTCAGTCTATGCTTCGGAAACAAGGCCACATTATTGTGCAGGATTGCAACGCAACACGCTGGTGCAAGGTAATTAGATCAGGCCACTCAACTTACGCAAGATAAATTAACGACTTCTTATCCTCGTCAATGACTTTGCAAAGCAGCGCTGACTTACCAACGCCTCGAAGAGCTCGAGCACCTCGGAGTCGTGCCGCCAGAACCGATGGAAGTACTCGGAGCCGCTCAGAACCTGGAAAGAGAAAAGAACGGTTTTTGCGATCAGCTGACACCCAGCAAAAAGGCCGCTCGGCATCAGCTCTGTGACAGGCCATCCGCCAATCCGTTTCCAGTGGGGTTCATCGAAGCCAACGAACGTCCGAGAAAAGTTGTCGGAGGCGATGCCCGGACGTTTGAGCCTTCGAAGCGTGGCCAAAGGTGACCGCTGTATTTTTCCAGTGACGTCGAGATCATCGCACGGCTCGGAACTCGCATAAATTGACAGAGTACCTTCCACATCCGTACTGGCAAATCCCTCAGTTATGATCATTTTCAACAAGAGTTTCTGTACGCGTCGACACATTTTCAGACCTGCAATGAATCTTAGGAGGAGACTGCTGCACCATTCCTTCTCGGACCGCAGGCTCACCTGCACGCCTGTCCTCAGCAGCCGCTGCCGGACGCCTTCGGACGCCTCCGTCAGCTGGTCGGACAGCACCACAATCAGCGTCCGCTGCTGCAAGTGCTCCGCAAACCACGCCGCAGTGGCCTGGATACCAGCGTCTAGCCCGTGCTTCTTCGGAGGGATCCCCCTGTTTTGGCTTCCGTTGATTGGGTGAGGAGAAATGCTTTTCGAGGGATGGTCGGGTTTGGGGGTGTAGTCCTGGCGCATGAGCCACGTGTAGAGGCAGTGCTGGTCGTCGAAGAAGGAGCTCTGGCGGCGCCGGTCGGAGTAGAGGGATCTGCGAACAATGAGGTTGTTAGAGGTTTGTTAGAGGTCTGTTAGACGTTTGTTAGACGTTTGTCAGAGGTTTGTTAGCTTTCGGGAATCCGTTTCAGGCCAGAAGTAACGTGTGGACCTCACAAACAGATTGAATCGATCTACACGTTATATCAAGCTTGCTAAGCGAAGAAGGGAATCTATGCTCCTAGTTCTAGTGATAGGCTCTGCAAATACGAAATGCTCAACGAAGTTGCTGTGATACGAGTGATTTCCCCTCCTTTACGTCACGTGTTCTTCCCGAGGATTCCTTGAGCAGCTCCCAGAAGCGTGAAAAAATCATACAGTTTCGCAAACCTCATTTGCCTAGCGGCAATCAGTTGACAAGGAGAGACTCACTTCAAACGAGGGGTCTTCCGCTGATTCACCTTCTGAAGCACCTGGGAGAAAGGGAGAAAATCTCAGCTCAAAGATGGCACGACGAGCTTGTGAGTGCATTCCCTACGATCATGGCGATAATTGACAAGAAACGTGCATGTCTTTGGCAGCTTCTGTAACATCTTTCTTATAAAGATCATGAAGAAACTCGAGCTGTGCACCCAACCAAAGGCCCCATGTCCACGAAGGTAGACCAGGGTACAGGAATTGAATTGATGGACTGGTAAAGTACTTACTTCTTTGATCACGGAGGCCAGGTAGATGACCCCAGTGAGCTGGGGTAGCTCGAGAATCTCCTGGTAGTCAAGGACGGCTTGGGCGTCTGGTATCTGGAAGCATCAAAGCAAAATGCTACTGACTTTGAAGCTTGAATCTAGGTCGAAACCTTCATTATGCCATCATTTGAGGACTTTAAGTGATGGTCTCAGAATCATAAGTACTGCCCTGAGATACTCTCCTAGGAGTACTAGTTGATCATCTGTTTCACTCAATGAAACAGACAATTTCGATATATTCCACTGGGCAAGCTCACCAAGTAGTGAGACGCCTGTCTCGACAAGGGGGGGCTCTCTTGCTGGCAGCCGCTAGGGCAATCTTGCGCCCCACAAGGGATGTCATCCCGGAGGTAGTGTTCCTCGCTTAGAAGTGAGACAGCCTGGGTGCGCTTCCTGAACTTTGTTGCCACCCTGACCTGCATCAATCAGGCAGGAAGATGTCCATGGAACGCAGACGTTGATTAGCTGATCCTTCAAGTCTGCCCTGAGAAGCAGCTGAGAAGTGGCTGCTTGCCACCGACTGTTGGACCTTGAAAAGGTTCTGAGGACCATCAGGCGAAGAAGAGATTATCGAGAACAAGCAGCAAAGACTTTGCTCCCTCTTACTACTCAAAGTAGGCCACTTAAAGTATGCCAATGAATCTTTTCTTACCCTCCCATTTGAAAATTCTGACCAGAAATCAACACACGATCCAATCACTGATTCAAGCCAGCCACCAGTGCAGTTCAATGAAGCGCTGCTTGCAATGCTGTCAACTCTGCATTCGATGACTGAGGTGGTGGAGGAGCTCAGGATCCACCTGCCGCGCCACCCATTTGCTTTCCATGGTTGGCGAGCTTGTAGTGGTGTTCGCCACCCCGCTTGAAAGTCAGCATGCATTAACATGCCCTCATCGCTCAACCTGCAACAATGCACTGCATACTTATTGACAGGTGAACCCTGCTGATACGAGGCGCCACTCTTGACCTTCCACCATGGATCCAATATGGACCCTCGAGGAGTTTTTAACGGTTCGTGCAGTGGGCTCAAGGCGTGTTCAGAACTGAGTCATGGACGGGACTATATGTGGTCTGGCTGTAATATGCGCGCACAATTTCGATTGTCATGTTGTGCCTCTATGTCCATATCCTTCCTACAGCTCTTCAACGACGTGGCGTCACATGATCAAGCACTACAAGCCTTCAGCAAGCAGCCGGGGCCCTGACTTAGCCCGTAGTCAACTTCTCTAGCGAACCCCACTGATCACGAGTGGAGGGGAAGTTTTGCCTATGACTTAGTCAGCCCGGCTGTGACTTCTTCTGGAGCACGCCCTGTAGCATATGGGTAGGAGGCCCCCTTCCTCCCCTCCCGTTGACACGTTAAGTGTTGATTCTTAGCAATACAACTTCAAATATACATTGAGATTAGCCATCTAGATAAAAAGTTGATAGATAAATAATTTTATATATTGACGCTGTTATATTGCTAGGAATTGAACGCTTGATCGTTAGGTGAGGTCCTGTAGATAAATCCGTCCAATCACATGTACACTATTTCTTCGCCCCCTGGGCTATACCGAAAGAAACCATCAAATGGTGAGTGGGACAGCACAAGAAGCTGGCGTTTAAGATGGACTAGGGATGCATATACGGGGGTCATGGGGGATGTTGTTTGGCGACATATTCAGAATATATCGGAATATATGTTTGTCAGAAAACCCTATACTTGACACCAGACTGCTGAGGACACAAACAGTAAGCATTCGTTGCATTTAGGCGTCAATGATCCTCCCTCAGACCGGATATAAGCGGAGGAAAGTTAACCCTGATCGAGAGGGCCTTTCCTTCTTGCATATATCATATTAGGTGTGCAGCGTTTTTCAAGTTTCAGAATCAAAGAGCTGAGCAGACATTCCAACTGGTTGTCATGGCGTCGTCTTCTATTGCTGCATTGCCCTCTGCAACTCTAGTTCCTTGCTCAAGGTGGTCGACCCAACAACTGAAGACAGCTCCCCATGGACTGCCAGAGCTGCTGAAACCGTGTCACTGTGTGCGGCGTCCTCGCTGCATGCCAACAGCACCCAAGGTACTCGCACATCCTTTCTATTGGTCCAATTGGTTGTGGTTACGCCCTCTTTTTCAAGAATCCTTGGATAGAGAAGCTCTGTGACGCCTTTCTGCAGCTCTCCCTTCAGAAGAACTCATTTGTTGGTGATTATGAGCTAGTGCCTTCATAACATGAATGACCACTTTGACATGAATGCCATGTGTTTTATGAACCAATGTCTCTTGGGCCGGCTGGTTTGAGTTCCTGAGCCGTCTTCAAGTTAGCCTATTGGGTCAACTCATTAGAGCCTAGTCCTACACTCCTCAGTTCGATCACATAGCGCATCTCCCCAAAGAACGCCAACCAGTTGTTCCATTCGTTCGCTAGTCCGCGTTGGCTCGATGTTTCCTCATGTCGTTCATCAGTTACGATTGCATTGGTGCGCAGGCTTCTTATGAGGAGCCTCCTCTGGGGCGAAGGGATGCTCTTTTTGTGGGGGTTGCCGGAGCTGCGCTGAGCGCCCTGGTGGGGGCTGCAGTGATGTTGCAACCGGTGGATGTGGCGCAAGCATACCTGGTGAGAAGGCCAGCTGTGGAGCGTGCCACCACAATCATAGACAAGATAGGATATGCTCCTGTCCGATGGAAAGAAAATAATTTCAGCATTTCCTTATCTGGACATGATCACACCGCTTTGGGATGTCCCATAAGTCTAGTGACGAGGCTGGCCGAGATTTTATCAATTCTAGACAGTGTGTCATGTCGCAATTGGGGAGCGCGCAAATACGATCGACTTTTCTTCAGTTATAGAGCCTCGTGCGGTCTTTTTGAGGTGTGGGGGTAGGTTGTGAAACGCACCTTGCTGAACAGAGTTTCTCAAGTGATATGAAGCTAGGATGTTGTCCAATCCGCCGTCTCCCCTGGCATCATACAAAATGACAATATGCAAACACAAGTTATTGTTGAGTCAGGACTAGATTTTCAACAATAAGTGTTCCGCTTCAGCTTTGGCTTGCACAAAAAGAAGCTGTCACTGTCATCCATGAACAAGCTACAAGGGAATCCTTGAAAGGGTGGTACTCAGCAAGGCGGTGAAGGTCTTTGTGACTTGCTGAACCATTTCTAAACACCCTCAACCTCTTTACAACAAACTGAAGTGAGGCTATATGTAAATGAGGTCCAACAAACTGAAGTGAGGTCACAGACTAAAAGTGGGGTTCTTTGATCTTGTCCGACAGGGTGGCGGCCCCTATGGCCGGCAAGTAACGCGGGGCCAGGACCTGAGTGGACAGGACTTCAGCAACCTGGACCTGACGGGCCAAGACTTCAAAACAGTGAGCCAAAACAAACGCCCCTCATCTGAAAACGCCCTCTCAAAACCCAATTAACAAAGCAGATGAGGAAAATTTGCATAGACTCAGGCTGCAAGCCCAGGCGTCTCTGTTGCATCTTCAAAGCCGTTAAACTTCTTGCCTGGCAATGGATGCTGGCAGAATTCTGCCAACGCTGCTGGTGGGACCGAAAGGCTGGAAAGTTCGTTTCAAGCAACGGCACAGACAGGCTTGAGAGAAAGTTCTGGTCTTCCACAGTTGGCCATCGCACCAAAGAACTCAAATGCAGGGAATTCAACAGTGCACGTCAGCAGGGGCTAACGATTGCTCAGCAATACTGCATAGTGACCAGTCCGCATGTCCCATTTGGCTCTGGCTGCAGTCCATCCTCCGGCAGACTACCTTCAAGAACTCAAAGCTAGCAGGGGCGAGTTTTTTTGACGCTGACCTGGCAGGTGGGCCTCATTCACATCAAAGTCGCCTCGCCGATTTTGGGGACCACACCACTCTGTTGCCTTCTCTTGGCTTGTTGCATTGTTGAAGAAAACTTGTTGATCCGAGCGTTGCCTGATGCATGCACTCCCTGGACCGCACTTGATCTGCACGGGTACTTTTGACCAAAGCATGATCTGCTGACATCGTCAGGAGTAGGGTCCCTCTTGTCTCAATCTATAACCGTGGTCTTCTTACAGGGGCTGACTTCTCGAACACTGACCTTCGTGGGGCGGACTTTTCGCTCTGCAGAGCGACCCAGGTAGGCTGAGCCCTTTTCAACATGGCACTTCGCAGGACTATAAGACACTACTTCTTGAGCCTTTCGTGGTGCGCAGTCCTTGATTAGAATGCTATGAGATTGTGAGCGCAGGATAACATGAACGCACTCTATTGCAACCATTTCACGGCCCAAGTTCTGTAATTGGCAATACAGAACCTGGATGAAGTCCCAGGTTTATCAGATTGCTCTACAGACTGTAGGAATGGAACCGCTTCTTTTGGCTTCTGCCAGAATGCAGAATCAGGTTCGTTTTCAAGACTGCGGTCGATAATTCCAGACCAGAGAGTTCTCCATATATGAACGTGTCGCTAAGTTCGTACTCTCTTGAAGCGCTTTTGGGGCCGAGCAGGTGAATCTTGCTTGGTAGATTACAGACTACGGAAAGTCAGAGGCGCGTCCAGTCCTAGCAACCCTTCATAAGCGTCTGCTCGCATCCTTTTCAATTCAGTTTTCCTTGGATCCCACTTGGCAGGTCAATTTCACTGGTGCCATCTTTGAGGGCGCAACTGTGACTGGCAACACCCAATTCAAAGGCTCCAATGTAACGGATACAGGTAAACATTCCAGCCTCTCTCGCTCAGACGAGCAAGAGCGGCAGCGTTCTGAGAATCATGTCCATTCTATCACGAGAATCGGATGCGAGATCGGGAAAGGTTGCACTTTGAATGACTTCTCGTTACTAAGTGCAAGTCTTATCTGACGCTTCTATTCCATTTTTGCGGCCACGATTGATAGCACTTGTTTGTCTGATCGTTGCGCTGTGCCGTTTGACGAAGTCGCAGCTCAAACAGTGCGTCTATCCAAGCCTCTCTTCTCTCTTGCTTACGAAGGTTCTTTCTGAGTAGATGGTACTCTCTTGCCGTGCAGATTTTACAGATGTCGGGCTTCGAACCGATCAGAGGAAACTCCTGTGCAAAATCGCTTCCGGGTGAGGGCGAGATCGTTTGGCCCCTGCTCATGTGAAAATCTGCGCAGTTCACATTTGATTCCCGAGACACTCTTCAAATGAGAACGTCGCCAACATTCCAAGAGCAGAACCCGGGAACCGCAGAGTCCGTTTGACAGTCTTGCGATTGCCGATGTTTCTTCACCCGATGTTTCTTGGCTGCATGCGCTGCTTTCGGAGAAACGTCGAAATCTCCCCTTTGGTGCTTACTCAACGCATTGCGGTCGATTTTGCAGGACGAACCCAGTTACCGGAGTGGACACAAGGGAGTCTCTCCTTTGTGGCGACTAGGTGCACGTGTTGAGTTGACATAGTCAACAATTTTGTCACAGTTTGGGAGTTGAGTACAGTCGTAGCTCAACATAAAAGCCATGACAGGCGAGCTGTATAGCGAGTTGAAATTCGAAACTTTTGTAGCACGATCGAGTGCATCTGCAAGAGAAAGCTAGTGCATGGCGAAGGGTGTGCGCGCGCAGCTGGAATAAGATCATTCAACGGGCACCGTTGCATGCCAATGGACGCTGCATATCAACCTAGCTGTGCAACAGGTTTGCACATCAATTGGTCATAGTCGATGGCAAGGCTAGTGCATATGGCCGCAGTTCCTACACAGATACATTCCCCAGTACTCATTGTTGCCAGGATGGTCAATATGTACATAAGTTTGCCTGTCGGCATGCATGGATGGAAAAGATACAATTACATCTCTTGCCAATATCGAAAAATGCTTTGAGTAGCATCACATGTCTCGAATTCGCGACTTTATTCTGGATACCGTAATTTGATGCATGGGGCACCTGATGACATCAATTTCCTCCGAACGCATGAGCAGTTACCGGATCTTCCTGGTAGCCACGCGAACTGAAGGCTAAAATCTGAGCTTACTGGGATCGATCTGTCATATGGCGCGGCTGTCCACACTATCGGAGGGGTTTGAGGATGCTATGAACATTCAGGACCGACTGAGGCCTGCAGCAGACGGCCATCGAACCGGACTACTAGTGGTAAAACGATCAGCGTACCCTATCTTGATCAGCGTGCGAGCGATGCCCTTGAATCTGTTGCCTCTACTTTGGCTTCAGTATATGACAGCGGGTTCGACCAGTTAACCAAATTCTGGAGGACAGCTTTGCCTAAGGAATCGGCTGGGAATCATGAAGCCGTTTTAGGAGCCGATCGACATTCTCTTCGATGGCCGGTCGCCCAGTGCTTCGTCTGCATCAGACGTCATTGCGATTTCAAAGAAACTTTCCAGATCTATAAGGACTGGATGAAAGCTTTGATGCATGCAGTCCTGCTCTCGGATGTGTCAAGTATGATAGATTTTCAACGGACGAGCTGTCTCTGCGGTCACAACATGGAGCATCTGAGAGTCGTTTATTCGGGGACAACTATGAGGAGGTGAGAAGCACACTACCTGACAAGATTTGGAGCAGTAACGCGCCACACCGCATCTGCCACACCTTTGGAAAGTCCCCTTGCTCTCTTCGACGAGCTTGTCTTCGCACCCCTGTAGATGCAAATGACGAACATCAAGATTCGAGTAGACTCTGTTTGGAAGCCGCAGTCCTTACAGACAAGAAGGTGAAGGCCGCCAAGGCCGCCAGTAATGCAAAGCTAGCACGATATCGATTTCAGCTTACATAACACCCGACGTCAACTGCTTTAGGTGGTCCCTCAACTGCGTAAGGTGAAGCTGCAATAGCCTATTCCAGCAAGTTACCCGTTCCTTTCTCGTTACCCGTTCCTTTCTCAAAGAGCTTCCTACGTCGCCTTTCCGTGATGCTACTGGGGGATGCGTCAGCTTGCTTTCGAAGTCCGTTAGCGTCAGGTAAGCTTTCGGGATAGGCTGGAAAGGCTCGGGTCTCGTCGCCGTCATAATCTACAAACGTCGAAGGAATACGACGGGTAGAGCCAGTCGAAAGACAAACAGAAAAAGAGCTCACCGGATTGCTGCAGGCCTTGAGTCCAAACTCGAGCGCCTGTACCTCCCAGAGACGCCGCACCACTCTCTGCGTCGCTGGTACCCACTGCTGCTCCGCCGCCTTGTCGGGCAGCGCAGCCTGGAAAGTGAGAACGTCCCGGAGCACCTTGGCACATAGGGCGGGGCCGTTGGCCCGGGCGCTTCGGAGCAGGACCTGCCTGCGGAGCTTTGGCTCGGTGGCTGGGTCATCGAGCGTTTCTAGAAACGCGTCCAAGATCGAGGAAACGTTGCACATCGCTTCATTGAGGATTTCCTCCCCGGTTGTGCCGATGTAGTCCCTCAGCGGAGGTCCGTCGAAGGGCCCGAAAGCTCCGAAAGCTGCTATCATGGTGTCGCGCACTGAGTCGAGTGTCTGGATGACTATCTCGAGCTTTGGGAGGAGCGCTTTTTTGATGGGAGCAGCGAGGCAGCAGGCTTGCAAGACGGACAAGACGCATCGAGGGATGCCGAAGAGAATGGAGTAGCTCTGCAGGACGTGTTGAAGCTTGTCAAGACCTAGGCTTAGAAGGCCCCGCTCGTAGAAAATTCGCCCGGCATTCTGCATACAGACCGCACCAATTCGTGGGGATTCCAAGGCGGGGTCCAGCGGCTCGCTTCCGGGGTGCCACAGACACTCGCTCGTGATCGTCACGCTGGAAGATCTGAAATAGCACGCAGAGCTTTTCAAGCTGGTGAGGTTGGCCCAGGCGATCGACGCCGTGTCGGAGAACGGGTCCAGCTTGATGGCAGAGACGGCCAGGTCTACGTAGTGCATCTGCATCCGCTCTGGCAGCTTCCTCCGGTCCCAAATCTCCGTTTCCTTGAGCAAAGCTAAGACGGAGTTGTAGACATAGGACTCGAGCTTCTCGTCCAGCCCCACGAAGCCTGCGTTTCGGTCCAGAAGTTTCACAGCAGAGGTCCACTCCAAAAGTCCCACGGATGTTGTAAGGAACGGTCCTTGCAGAGATGGCTTCTTCCTTTTGTCTACCGTCAGGAACAAACTCCCAAGAACGTCGAGCGCACGTCGGACGATCGCGGATCTTTCGGCCGAAAGTTTCTTCTTCGCTCCAGCTTCCAAGCTGACTTTGGGGACAGTCAGGCCCAATGCTCTCAGAGTGACACTTGCTGCGCCTTCTGTGATCAACGAAGCTGCTTGCTCGGCCGTGCACTTTCTGAGCTGCTTTGCCGCAAAATCTAGCAGACGTCCCGCTTGCTCCGCTCCTGAACGCGAAAGTTTCACGAAAATCTCACGAAGAAGCGCGGAGTCTGCTTGATGCGTTGGATCGGGGGTCTTACTCAAGTCCAGTTTCTCTGAGTCTCTTTGGAAGTACTCCGCCGCTTCCTTGAAGAGCTCCCTTTGATTCTTCATGACAGTCATGTGGCCTGGAGAGAACTCAGCAGTGTCGAAGTAGCGGAGAATCTTTGGTGGTCAGGATCTCGGAAAACACCTGGGAATTTCTCTCAATGCCTGGAAACGCTCTCAGGTCGTGCGTCACGATGGCTGCCAGCAGCCGAGCGTAAGTGTCTAAGAGCAACTCGAAGAACTTAGCACGTCGACACTGAAGAGCTGGTTCTTCTGTTACTCTGTCACAGGTTTGGTCCATGAAGAGCAGGAAGTCTGAGGCCCACTCCCCAACATCGACCGCCAAGTCCCTCAGGTTCTGCACGGAGTGCTCGGCATAGGCCCTGAAAATAAGGGCAGCTTGCTGTATGCTGAAGAAGAGAAAATATATGTTGTCCCCCCGCCAGTGGCACCACGCAGTATCCCATGTTCGATAAGAGATTGCAATGAACTGACGCAGGAGCCCGGCTTGCCGCGCAGCCTCGCGGAACTCTGCGCTGCTCTCGAGAAGACTGGCTGTGATGTTTGTGTAGTAGGTTTCCGGATGCTCCTTATCGAGGTCTAAATTCTGCGCTGCGCCTGTCTTTGGCTCTGACAGAATCCTCTGCCCGAAGTGGAAGAGACGGGATGCGATGTCACAGCGCCCGATCTGCGAAACAGTTTGACTTGATGTTCGCAAGAATAGATGTCCTTTTCACGTTGCAACAAATGAGAGGTATCACCTGTGGAACTATTGTAGGAGATGCAAAAGCTTTGCAATCTCGATCTGTACGGTGATACCAGAGCTTTTCTACGTGACAGTTGAGCGAGTTGCAGAAAAACTACACACATATCGAACGGTTGCAACTCAAAGAGCTGCATAATCCGCATGAGAAGAAATTGTGGGGTCCTTCGAATCAGCTTGTCTTTTACGAATGTAGAAGTCTTTTTCCTACCTACAACGTTGTTTTTCAGATTGGTGCTTCAATATCGCCAAGAAGAATCTGAACTTTCAACCAGAACGTCGATGTCCATAGACCGCTAAAAAGGCGATAACGTTTGGGAGAGAGTACGGAGGAGTTTACCTGCAGGGCAAACTCCGGGACGGTGCTCAGCTTTGCGATGCATCTCACGCAAGAATCTGGCAGTTCGCCACTTGACGAGACGTTATCCATCTCATCTAGTAAGGCGGACAAAAGATTCTCATCTCTCAACATTTTCTCTACCTGCAAACATATAGAGACGGCTTTGTATAGAAAACCTGCGAAGAATTGTGAGAAAGAGGATCCACATACAGCTTTTGGAGAGTCTGAATTCAAGATGAAATCAGAACTGATGGACTCTGACAGAAGCATCAAGCTGCCAAATTAGCTTTCAAAGGCACTAAAGTACGAAGACGTTAGACAGGGGAGCTCAGAGACACAGATTGTCTTGGTGCTGTTGCAAAACCCGTCCGAGTAAGGTCTTGGGATCACGTTCAGAGGTCAAAATGTTAGTAGAAACGACTGGAAAATGAAGGGCAAAGGCAACCTCCTACTTACCGTCTTGAAGCTTTTGGACGGCTTCACTCTCATCTGGTTCTGCTCTTCTTTGGATATGGCGTCCTCAGAGGCACCAACTTTGCTGACCATGCGCACGAAGTCAGGCACAGCTTCGCAAGCCTTCTTTGCGCAGATCTTTGCAGGGTGCCTCAGGCCCTTCTTCAGATCCTGCAGCGAACAAAATTGCGGCATGCATTTCTGTGTAATATGCACATGAGCAGAAGTACGGCTTGCTTATCAGTTAAAGAAAGCCATCGAATCCAAATCTCAAATACGCCTGCCCCTTGAGCTGGCATGTCTGGCTACCGTATGTTGCATGAAAAGGCGTGAAGTTGACACGAGCTCGAGCGATATTGCTGAGAGGAGTTGACCCAAAATCTTGTTCAAACTCTCTTCTTTGCTCTGGGTTGAAGCTTTCAAGAGTCCGAACATTTTCTGTTCCGTTCTTCGAGCTTCTTACCTTTTCTTTCTTCGACATCTTTGGCCAATCAGCAGGTTACTAGGTGGATCACCTTCTTTTCTTGTTCTGGTGCCGTGCAGCAGAACTTGACCGTTGAAAGGAGCATGCATCGCCTTCCTTCTGCCTCTGCTGTCGTTCCGCTTGTTTACAGTCGCCTTGAATAGTCCGCCAACATCTACTGTAGACTACTGGTTCCCACATCCTGAAGTCAGCAATTGAGAGCCGAGCGGTGTTGACAATGCCGTTGGACGGGGCCACTTGACGAGTCTGCGAAGCCTCTCGCACTGGCAGTGGATGTGCATGCGGGTTAAGTGAATCATCGAGAAACGCCTTGCACGTGAAAATCGCCTTATCGCTTCAGTCAGACGTTACTAGAAATCTTAACCTGGTGTCTTCGAACTGAAGCCGGGCCGGCGGCGGCAGGTAAGACAATACATCCTCATGAGCTTAAAAGACTCTTGATTTGGATCTTTGGTGGGTCTTCGGGACTGGTGAGCCTTCGGCTGCAGCGACGTTCGAGCGTGCCAGCCTTTCTCAATTGGGGGGTCCTGAGAAAACTCATTCACTTCTGCTTCTTGTCATTGCATGGCTAAGGCCAGTGCTACTGTTTATTATGTTGCTAAGGCTTAGTACTCCAAGCCTCTGACTTATCCATTGCATCGTGAGTTTTTCAGTCCGGTCGACGTACGACCGCTAGTTGAGCGAAATCCAATATGTTGTCGGCCCATGTTTCCACGTGTGTGAAACCTTAACCTTTTCAGATTGTAAAGCTTGATGTTTCGCTTGAGAACCCGAATCAGGTACTATGTAGTTTCACGCCGTTGTCTGTGAACGAATAAACATCCGACTGCGAATCAGTCAAGTCAAGTTGATTTGAAGTAGACGCACCATGATGCTCGAGCTGCATGGGCTGGCAGCACCTCTTGCCAATCAAGGCAAGCTGTCAGTAAAGTCGCTGCCCCTAAAACTATCAGCTCCGCGTAATGAAAGATGTATTGAGCCAATCAGTCACGAAGACTTGCTAAGTAAGCCTGTGACCTTTGGCTTTGGGGACAAGTCGGCTTTGTTCAACCATATTTGCAACATGAGTGACTAAGATCAGGCCATGTGCCATCATGCTCATTTAAGACGCGGGTCAGATATGATTTTGCTCAAGTCATTAAAATCATTGTTCTCGACTCCTCTACCTCTTCGGCACCCATAAAAGGGCATTGAAATTTGTAAAGATCCCACCAGAAGATTTAAGTCCAATTAAGAAGCGAATCAATCAACAAGTCACTCTAGCCCGCTGGCTGAGAATGACACTCGAAGCACGGCTGTCACTGCTCGTCGTTTGCAACAAGTTCACCAGTCACTACCCGCGTGCGCTGTCCCACTTCCCAGGCTAAAAGATCTCTTTTAACCGGCATCCGTCCGCTGAGGGCACCGTTTCCGATTGTGTCCCGGCTGGCCGCATATGCTGCACCTCTGAATGATCAGCTCCTTCGGACGCTCCGGACACTCGCGCACACGGTGGTCGGGGAGTCCGCAGATCTCACACAGCGTCCGGCCCGGGAACGCGGCACTGTTCGGACACTGCCCCGCTTCGTGCCCGTACTCCCCGCACTTTTTGCAGCGGAACGGTATGCGCACCATGCCGCGCTTGGGACAAGAGCCGCCCCGCCCATGGCCCGGTTGCCCGCAGATCGGGCAGGGCTTGTTCGTGCTCTTCACAAAGCCTCGCTCCGGGCAGAACCGCGAATTGTGGCCTTCCAGGCCGCAGTAGCTGCAGTGCATCACCCGCTCTGAAAAGGAGAAGGGAGAAGTTCGGGGGAGTGGCAATTGAAAAGAGTGGCCTTCGTCAGAACGGGATTCGGGTTCCGAAACGGAGTCATGATGAGCATTGCGCAGAGCAAAGAGGCCTCAAGCTTCATAGGGGTGTCAAAGGAGGAGAATGCAAGGAAGAGGGGGAATGAAGCGCAACTTAGAAAAAGCATCAGCTATAAATTCTTTTTTTCGGGAAGTCGAAGTAACACCTCGATAGTAGACAATCGCGGTATCTAGGATCCAGATTGAAACATATACAAATGGGCTTTGTATCATCCGAAAAGCTTCTTTCCGGACAATCCTTTCGTTTCATCGTGTCCTTCTCTTGAGGAGGGGCGTCATCATGATGTAAGCAGAATCGGAAACGGCAAAACTTCCCAGATGAAAGAGACCGCTGGCTCTCTCTGTGATAACGGCTTGCCAGCTCTGGAGAAGTCTCCTCCAATCGTTCTTGCAATCTTACAAATCTTGCCGTTCAAAAGTAAAGAAGCTCTCCAATCTGAATACGCTTCTGTCGTCTGGACTTCGAGACAAGATCAGCATCTCCGCCAAACTTATCGAGCTAAGTTCCCGGTCCTCACTTCTCGGTGCCCAAAACTTCTTCGCAAGCTCCGACCAGCGCTCCCTTGCGCCCGGCTCCTCGAAGAACTCCCGCCGTAGATCGGACAGCTTTTTCCTGCGTCCGAAAACATCCGTTAATAAGAGGAAGAGCCACGACTGGCATGACTCACATCAATCCATGTCATTCCCGCACAGCAGAAAATCAACATAGGACCACCCCTAACTCCTACAAAAGTCGCGAATGAAATCAGCCGACATTTCTATCAATCGGGGAAAAAGGTTAGTGTCGGCTTCTCGATGCTCTCACGGGAAGGCCGACGCGAAGAGTATGGACGCAACTCAATATCCAGCGGGTCTTCGGTCTTTGTTCATACGTCACTATATGTGACCAAGGCCCATCTGGGAACTCGTACAGCTTCAAGTGAAGAGCACATAGCAGCCCTTCAGTTTGCAAAGCCCTATTTCTTCTTAACGTGTATCTTGCGACATTGAAACGCACGGCTCACCTATGCGACGAAGTTAGCGGAGAGCGAGGCTTGCCCTGTACAGAAGAAGGAAATATATCATTTCTTGGTAAAAGGAAAACTCTCCGCGCAATTCAATGACTTCCGCTGGCAATGTTCTGATCGACTCCTAGAAGTTCAGCTCTGAAAAGATGAACAGCGAAGCGGAGAATTGCAGACACAAGAGGAGTTGGAGAAGCGAAGGGTTCAAGTTGAGTGGGCACACATCACGGGATGACTGTGCTAAGTTCCTGAAAACAACAATACGAGATGGCTACGCTAAGCTTCTGTAAACAACCGACAAAGACTACCTCTCAAAGAATTCAAGTGAACAAGTGAACATTGTCAAATCCTCCAATAAGCACACACGCCGAGCGACTGTCTTCTTGATTTGTACCTGCATGGCCCGGCTGATCTTGGCACGGTGCTCCGGCGACTTGGGCCTTCCGACGAGCCAGTGCGTCTTGGCAGGCGTGCCATTGGCTGCCGCGCGCCCGTTTGCACCGGACGAGGCCGACTGCATCCGCCTGCAATGAGCAACGCACACTGAGGCTGCAGCTACTCAACACGGAGGTTGACACGAATAGACAAAGGAAAGACGTGGAGTAACGTACCTTGCAGAGTTCTAAATGTCGTGCCCCTAGAACAGTGGCTGACTGACCTGTGGACGGTTCTGCTAAGGGTTTGATGGTTTGGATCCGCGTCGAGCAATCTTCTCAAAAAAACCGGTGTCCCCACGTCAATGGGATTCATTAATGCCACGATCGAGGACAGGCGCGTCCAATGCTGAAGTAGAAGGCTGGATGACACCACGACTTGATACAGGTGCAAACAAGCGTCCTAACAGAACTGGAGCTCCCCTCTTAGACTCCCCCTCTTTCAATCAGAAAACCTTGACTCGCAATCGTGACGGCATTTTCAGGAGGCACTGCAAAGCGGCACAAACGGAATATATCTCGCTGATTCGGTGCTGATGTCAAACGGTAGATTCTTGAAAATCACAGCTATGCGGCAGACCCACTGATGACCACACCACGACCACCACCGGATGATCAAAGAAAAGGAGTTCGTAAGCACTGCACCTTTCGTTCTTAATTATCCGGTATGCTTCCAGCAACGAAGGGCCCTCCTCCTCTAGTGGCTCGTTCACTGCGCTGGTGCTTTGTGCAGGGACTTTCGAAGGACTGCAAACGAGAAGCTAGGTTAGGGGTTCACCACGCTGGTACTCTGTGCAGGAACTCTTAAAGAATTGAAAACGCGAGGCTAGCCAAGGGGACAAATCGACTCACCACTTACTTCATCGTCCAAGAACACTCGAAGTGCAATGGTCGACCTGTTGTCTTCGAACTGACAAAAAATCTAAGGTTTGCTGACCACGAATGTGCGATTTGGAATCGTTGAGATTGAATGAGGAAGAGAAAGGTTTCCTTCACCCTTTACGATAGCGGGGGGAGCTGTATCATGGACTGCCCCTAAGAAACGTGCGAGGCAACAAACGACCGGGCATAGAGCGTGAACTGATAGACATCATAAGAGCTACATGACCAAAAACTCCCGCTGTCACTCACGCAGGTGTCTTCGGAGGCTGCGATCTCTTTGTTTGCCGATATGTTGTGCCACTTCCATGGCAGTGCGTACACGTCTTGTACCCCTGAGAGCGAAAGAAGCCACAGCACCATCATGAGCTCATCGAAGGGCAAATCAGGTTGATATCGACTAGACCTTCTCCCGTAAGCAAGACATCGCCTCGTCCTCTGGCTTACAAGTACCTGGCTCGAAAGAGTTGCCAATAGAAATTTGCCACATAGAACCAGATTGCACATATTTCAAAAATCTTTTGTATCTTTGGACACTTTTCCAATGCACTATCCGTCACGCATACTCAGGGGAAAAGTTGCTTACCACGCCTTTGCACGCTGGGCAAGCGCCTGGCGGCCAACCCGAGTCGCACACGTCACACACGAGAGTAGCAGTCCCATGGCATACCGGACACGGCTCCACCACCCATTCCGGGCCAGCCGCAAGAGTTGCGCTCGTGTCCGCCATCTCAGATTCATCCGCCGTCTCATACCCTGCTAATAGTCCCGACAAAGGACTCCTCCGCAACCTGCCACCGCTCTTGCCGAATTGACCCCTTGGAAGCGGCCTAGCTATCGTACTCAAAGGACTGCTGCGCACTGGCATCTCTGCGTCCTCATTATCTATGCTACCCGCGATCACGTCCGGCTGGGGGTTTCTGGTGAAGCGCAGCTTTTGACGCCCCTTCCCCGGCTCGCTTTTACCAAAGATGGCATCAAGGGAAGTCCCAGGCGCACGGCTCTCAAGAGCAGAGCTCCTGCTGCTCGCAATGCCCTGTGTGTGCTCTGCCTCCCTAGTTGACCGCACGTCCCTCCATCTAGTTCCCTTGGTGGCAGTGTTGATCAATCTCGTCCCCCGTTCAAGCAGAGTGTGCCCCTCTGAAACCCCAGAGCCTTTTACCTCAAAATTATGGACATCATTTAAGTCCACTGTCGCCATTGGTGATTCATCTTTGTCAGCATCTAATATTGAGCTAGCCGCTCCATAAGAGCGATCGCTCCATGTGCGTCCCGAGCCTTCCTCACTTGCCCCTTTCTTTCCCGACCGGCCAACTTCCAATTTCTCCGCTGAGGGCTTCCGACCAGCCAATAGTCTTTCTTCAGGTTCTAGACCAGGAAATAGCTTTTCAACCTCAACAGATGGAGGCTTCTGCTTTGACCCGCCTGCCACCACAACTCTCTCAGGTGTTGCCTTGGCATGGCAGGCGATTGATTGAAGCTGCTGATTCTTGGCGCATGTCAGCTGCCTCCGACCTCTGAGCTGCTTTCTGATCGTTTCTTGGCTCCTTAGTCTTGGCGTACAACCCTCTCTTCGAAAGGAAAGCAAATCTTGAGAGATATGTACAGCTACAGGAGTAGAGCATGAATAAGGAAACCGCAGCTGCTCGAAGTGTGCAAAAGCGGAGCACGTGCTGGACCGATGCCTCCCAAAAGCACTACTTTGATGCACGCGACTTCTGGCGCCAGTCTCCAACCACGCCCCTGTGGTGGTGCAAGCAGGGACACAAGCTGGACTCCTCAAAGCCATGGCCCTCCTGAAATGCCAGCGAGCGCCTCACGTTCATGTAGAATCAAGTAACGCATCATGCCCCAGCATCATGCACAGCTCGTCCTTGTCCCCTGCAACGCTAGCACGTACCTAGTCTCTTAGCTGTGATTCTGAACTTGAGTCTCTGAGAACAAAGAAAAGATGTCCAGCTGATGGAGATAGCACAGGCTGAGAAAGGGCGAAATGGCATCTTTCTTGCTATCGAGGTTCTTCGTTCCGTGTGAATCCTTTCAACATGAGGCACACGTGGCCGTGGGCTGAGCTGGTTGACCAATTGGAAGGGAGCAGCCGTGTATACGTGGCCTTCTATGTCACCAACTTGGACGCATTTACACTTTTGAGTTCCTGATGATGACACCCAGCACTGCAGCAGAGCCAGCCTAGCTGAGCTACTGAGCCAACCTTCCTACAGTAGTATAAATTATAATTCGAGGTCAGCTCAATTTTCAAAGCTCCAAGAGGTGCACTTGCCCACCATGTGTGTTGTCGCGCTGCCCTCTCCTCACTTGCATGCTGGAACTTGAGGATGTCTTTAGTATTATTAGTCGCTAGGGAGTAGTGCAGGTGCCAAGGTCCTCTGTGCTCTTTCATTCTGGATGGATTGTTCGAATTGCTTAGTGTAGTTGCGCGTACATAACAGTGGGCTTCTTGAAATGGCTCTCTATAAGCACAGAAAAGAGGGCCTTGGAAGGTGAGTTGTTCCGCATTTTCTCAATGGTGACATCGTCAAACTATGATTTGTAGATCTTAAGTTGGAGAGAACTTGCATGTTCAAAAGTACATCCACTGCCACCCTAATTAGCGCTTAGGGACAAACACGTTGGGCCCCTTAAAGCTGAATGTTCAGACTTGGCGCCCCTGGGCTGGGAAGTAGCGCCAATCAGTCTGCTGTCTAGGGCGCTTTCTCATTCAATTCCAGCATTGAATGCATCTGCAAGCGTCCGCTTTTGATTGTTATATCTTTCTGCATTGCATTTCATCTGTAAAACTCTCACTATTTGATCAAGGGGAATTTGCAAGCCACTTTGTCTTCAATTTCTGGCTGCTTCTGCAGGGGAACGGATAGCGAGCCGCTGTTTGGACCCTCCCCTTCTGAAACCGATCTGTTCCAGAAGCAGTTTGAGGATCTGCTTCTGCAGCAAGAGGACGCCGAAGGACAGAACACTCAAAGACCATTTCTGTATCCTGACATACTTGCATTCTTCTTTGGGGTCGTCGTTCAAGTGTAGCACAAGTTACATTTTCCATGGTATTTTCTTAGCACTGATGCCTTTCTGTTTGTTCACATGTGCTGGATGATTCCTAGTGTCATCTTGAGTTCCAATTGCTAATCGCCAAGCTTCCTTGACCAAAAAGCTTCCACAGCAATGAGCTGTTGGACATCACATCAACCATACAAGAGGGCGTCAGTGCTATCGCAGACGTAAGTCTCACCTCGAAGTTGGAAAGTATTGTCTGCAAACTGCTTGCCAGGTTTGTACGACGACGGAGTAAAATTGTGGGCAGTGGACATCCAATTTGGTGGCAGACAACTGTAATTGATGTCTAGTAGTGAATCCTTGCACAGTTTCGGTGAAACTTCCACTGATGCTTTTGCCGGGAGACACTACTCGGGAGCCAGCAAGTGTCGCCAGGAACTTGATGTGAAAACATGTTGGTAGACTACTAACTCTTATAGCGCTTGTGCGCTCCAGGACTCTTTCACGCGGTGTTTCAAGGAGAATCATCCCGACCCATGGAACTGGAATATCTACTTGTTCCCAGTATGGTGCATGGGCGTCCTGCTGCGATACCTCATTCTCTTCCCCTTAAGGTAAGCTCGAGACCATCTAGATGCCTCCTGAGTCCGAGTACTCATTCGTCAAGTATGCTGCACTTACACAGACTCCGCATTCCCTTGACATTGTTCTCCAATCTTACACTGTGACAGAAAGAAGGTCAATTTTTGGAATCGATTGCCCTCAAAACAGCAGCTTGCTGCCTGCAGGTTGATCCTCCTGGTCCTGGGCTGGGTTCTCTTCTTCCTCATCTTTCTGCCCGTGCACTTCTTCATCCCGGACAGCAAGTCGAAAATGAGAAAGAAGTTTGAGGTGAGTGACTTTTTCACTGGCAAACATTCCCTATCTACTGGAACACCCGTACTTTGTTTGAAGCAGCATTGGGGCTGTAATAAGCCTCCCGACGACGAATCAACCCACAAACACCATAGCCTCTTGGCGTGAGTTTTGAGGAGTGTACATCTGCGTAGACCAGTAGGATGACGGTCGTTTCGAGACCCTTCAGAACCTTACCCCGAAGCTTTTTGACAGAAGATTGTCTGCATTGTTCCAGCTGCCTTCTTTAGTGAAGCCTTTTATTGCCTCCAGAAACGTCTCGAAGTCAGGCCCAGGCTTCCGACATCTTGAGCTGATCAAATTTTCGTTGACATCTCATTTTTGTCATGCAGAGGCTTCTCATTGAGTACATGTGCAGCGTGTTCGTTGCATCTTGGACGGGCGTGATCAAGTATCACGGGCCAAGGCCAAGTAGGGGCGTAAACAAGGTCAGTGGTGAAAACATTTCGTAAATACGCCCATGCGATGTGCCCATGCCCATTATCGACCGTCTCAGCCAATCCTTCTGGTCGCATCAACCTAGGCTCAACTTTCCAAGCAAACCCTTCCTGTGACTCCCAGTCTCATAACGTCTCAAAATCCATGCAAAGAAATTACTGCTTTGACGGAAGGCTTATTGAAATTGCTGATATGGTTATTCTACAACACTCCGTGTCCTGACCTAGCAAGGGCTGCTGCATCTTTCCGAATGCACTGAGTAGGTTCGCTTGCTGCTCGATGCAGGTTTGGGTTGCTAACCACACTTCGATGATCGACTTCCTCATTCTGGAGCAAGTCACTCCCTTTGCCGTCATCATGCAACTGCATGGAGGATGGGTCGGTAAGAATCTACAAACTGCTCGACACAGTCTTTCTGATGCCCATCTCTGGCTCTGAATTCGGGGATCGGAAGACGATTTGAGAAAGTTCTTTGACCCTGGAGGTCACTCACCGGAGGCATCAATCTGAAAACTCTGGCGGGACCCTTTCCTCTGAGCTGGTGGCTGCTGGAAGGGGGGATGCCACTGAGCGACAAGCTGCCGTCTCTCTGAAGTAGCGACCAGAATCGGGATAGGTCTGTCTTTGAAGCTGGAAATCAAGAAACCGTTTAAACTGCCGTCTCTCAACTGTGCTTGTTGTAATTTCCCACCCCGGGTTCGGAATAATCGGAAACCACCAGCTAGCGTCTAACTGGTGGAATGGACCGACGTTAACTCCGTTAGGCCTTTTCACGAATAGTCACACCGGCACTACCGGTCTCTCGAGCTCTGCGGCTGCTTTTTGACAGCAGACTTCCGTTGGCCTCCCATTTTGTGCACCTCGCCACTTTTGCTGCCGTGCTGTTCGTCTGGAGAACAACTTTTGTCTGGCCATCGCTTCAGGAAACGAATTCCCCGCTTTTGACACTTGCAGGTTTTGTCCAGACCCGCATTCTGGACTGCCTGGGATGCATCTGGTTCAATCGGACGGAGGCTAAGGACAGGGCGGCCGTTGCAAAGAAGTAAGGGGCAGCCCTTGTGCTGCATGCCTCGACGAGAGGTTTGCAATCTGTCCAACTGCGCAAGTGATGGACCAGCACAGTAGCCGAGTCGAAACGAACCACCAGGACTAAACCGTTCCGTTATCATCGCAATCGACCGGCGTTTGTGACGGCCTGTAGGAAAAATGACCAAAGCAGTCCGCCTTCTCAGGATGAAGATCGACGCCGTTTATCATTCATCAGAGACATGCCCTGGTACAGCCCGGCTCAGGCAGCATCTCCTGGCCTTATAGCAATTTCCAGTCACAACTGATCTGAAACCTAGCAAAGGAGTTCGTATTTGTCTAGATTAACGGCTATCTTATCCCAATAAAAGACGTGCCATTTTGCGCAGTATATCAGTTTCATTTCGAGCTCTAGCAATTCGGTCGCCTGCCTTCCACTCCAGTCAAACCAACGCAGTTTGTTTCATTGTTTTCCCCATACTCACCAAGCAAAGGATCTCACTTCGGTTGACTGCCCCTTTTCCAGGCTGGAGAAGCACGTGCGCGACCCTGAGAGCAACCCGCTGCTGATCTTCCCGGAGGGCACGTGCGTGAACAACCAGTACTGCGTCATGTTCAAGAAGGGCGCGTTCGACCTGGGCGCCACGGTGTGCCCCATCGCCATCAAGTACAACAAGATCTTCGTGGACGCCTTCTGGAACAGCAAGCGGTGGGTGCCCTGCGAGTGTCTCTGCAACTTTTTTGCAAGCCCGGGAGTTTTACATTTTGTTGCTTATTTGTCTTTGAACAAGAAACGGGGAGAACGGATTGCGGTTTACCTTCGCGTTATGGAGCTCGTGAGAAAAACCTCGACTCAAAGCATAAGTGCTGGGGAATTACAGGTCGTAGATGGAGAACTGGTCGGTGACGGTACGCTGGGAAGCGTGGGTCGCTACGTTCATGTCCGGCGTGCTTAATTTACAAGATTGTGAGCTCCTTTTCGGGAAGCTCTGGGCGAGCCACATTTGTAGAGCTTTTGCCAGCTTTCCTGGCTGCTTTTCGATAGTGACGCAACCCTACCGTCTGTATCAGAGGCTGACTCAAAAAGCCGCAGATATATGCTTCCGTCCCCCTCCAAAAATCAGCCTTTAAACGACATATATTGATTCTTTCATTGCTCCGCACGCCGTGGCGCTGGGCCCGCAAACGACACTACAAAACACCCGCAGTGTCCCGCTTTCCCAGAGTTCTCCCGCTGACGCAATCCCCCCGTCTTTGACACCCCTCCAGGCAGTCGTTCACAATGCACCTGATGCGCCTGATGACGTCATGGGCGGTGGTGTGCGACGTGTACTACCTGGAGCCGCAGGCGCGGCGCGAGGGCGAGTCGGTGATCGAGTTCGCGGAGCGCGTGCAGAGCCTCATCTGCGACCGCATCAACATCAAGCGCGTGCCGTGGGACGGCTACCTCAAGTACTACCGGCCCAGCCCCAAGCTGACGGAGAAGCGCCAGCAAAAGTTCGCGGAGAGCATCCTCAAGCGCCTCGACGCGCCGCCAGGTAGGGGCGTTTCGTCCCAGTCGATTGGGCATCGATACTTGACGGGAGCATCCCTTTCTGGTCTCGTTTGGCAGCTTGTCTTTGGCCGAGGAGTGGGAACACCGTGAGCACGTCACCACGTTGTTCATCACGTTTTGTGGTATCTGTGGCAGCAGGCCTTGTTTGAACAAGGAAAGTGGATGTGGGCTCTGTTCCTATGGAGGCTGTCATTAGAGAGGTTCGGGATCTGGCCTCATCTGTGTATGCACCTTGCTTTAGTGAGCTGGAACATTGCGCACGACGGTCCGTCGAATTGCTGCACCTAGTCCGGAGAAGCACGCCGCGAGTCCCCTTTGCGTATGATATCCTCACCGTATCCCACCAACCACCCCCCGATCTCACGGTCCCGCAACTTCTGCTTCTCTTCCTCTTTCTGATTGGAAAGTGCAGCGCTCTTCGAGCCCATAGCACCAACGGAAAAGCACGGTAGAAAAAAGCCCGTTTTAACGTCGCTCGCCCTTAAATGCTTGCGGTTAATTAAGACCAGCGCTCTGATGTCACTATCTTTCTTTCCCTCAGGACGGGCCAGCAAGTCTGGGATACCGAAGGTGCCCTCCGGCCGTTCGCTCGGCCTCCCTCCGAGGTCCCCGCCCCGGGACCGGCCCGCAAACGGGGCCACCCCGGACGACCCTCTGTCGAAAGCGTCGCTAGCGAAGTCCAACGCCGCATTCGAGGTCGGCACAGGTAAGCACCAGAAAAGATGTTTTGTCGTACTCTTGCGAGCATTGATGTAGGCGGGCCCGTGGAACTGAAAGCGGCTCCAGGCGGCCCGCAGAACTTCGCGATGGACGAAATCGCAGCGCTACCGTCCGATCTGAACATAAGGACTCCAGTCTGCAACGTTTAGTTAGGGGGTCGCAAACTTTGGCAGGACAGGTTCCAAAACCATGGTTTTAGACAAACCGAGCCTAACCAAGAATAAACGAAAGATCGCGAGCGTTCATTTTTTGACGTCAAAATCTGGACGGCAGCGCTGCAATTTCTGGTCGTCCCCCAGCCTATCTGTGGTTCTGCGGTCTGCCTGGCTTTGGGTTTCTCATGTTTGTATCGAGCAGACCGTTTGATGTTCCCTGCCAAAAGGACACGGCGTTTATCCAGATTCGGGAGGGGGTTGCGTGGGAGCTGCCCTCTGTTGACGAAGATATTGATTGGTTTCTGGTTGCAGGGCCCGACAAGGATGCTGGCACGGGGACAGGTACAGCGCTAGACTACAAGTGAGATGAGTTGAGCAGCAAGTCGCCAGCGGCCAAAGGGCTGAGCAGAAGGCAACAGGTCGTCCATGCACACCAATCGCATTTTCGCAAGTAATGAGGGACGAGCTTTCGCATTGTTGAAACTGAGTACTTGCATCAGGAGTACTCGAAAGGTCGCAGACATACGGATGTGTACAGTCGTCAGTTTTATCCAACGCTTGACAGAAATCTGCATACCGCGCGTTTCATACCGCCTGACACCCTCCCAACGGGAACGATTGGCGGAAAAGGATTGCGCGTTTATTTGACTTTAGCAAGGTTCTGGTCTGAGGTGTATTGACCACGGTTCCCTGTCATTGTCATATAATGGCATGAGCGCACGTCATGTAAGCATTTTGATACTTTGAAGGAAAGTACTAAGCTACATTGAATCAGAGTAAGACACAACCATGCAACTGGCATTTGATAGTGCGGCTCAGTATAAACTCGATCATGTGGGCCCACAGCACGTGCAGCAGGCTATAGCTTTATCCCGGCCCATGGCGGCATGCATTTGTCGAATGGTTCAGACATGCTGCAGAGGCGACCATCTCCGACGCATCTGCAACTGGAGAAACTCGATATTGTCGAATAACCGCACTCATGCATGAATTTACTGCGCCACCATCGATCTTAAGCGCGGTTGAGACCCTTCTTAACTCAGCAATGTGCACGGTTGATTCACCACTGATGATTCCTGTGTACGCATCAAGCATGCAAGTTCATGCAGGCGCGCTGAAGTACAATCGAGTCAGACCTGAAGCAACGTACGACCACAGTGCTTCAAACGCTCTATTTTATGATACAAGTCCGTCAAGTGCATGGGTCTCGAACACCAGCTTCTTGCAAAAGGCCCTAAGATGCAGACCGGCCAAATGACATTGACTAGCTTTCCAAGGCTGTAAACCAGGCGCCCAAGAACTCAGGGACGGAAACTGCTGCCCTCAAAGCTAGGCTCTAAGTTGATATCGAGTCAAGTAACGTTTGGGACTTCTCAAGTCACCGGGGTCAAGTGTGTTCGGAACGGCCCTTGTTCCGAACACACGTTGACTAACGTCACGTTGAGAATTTATGCACCATGACATGCTTGTAAACCTCGCCTGGTCTCAGGACAATGGGCGGGAAACTCGGCTGATTGATGGCATTTGGGAAGCCCTGCGTCTCCAAGCAGAAAGCGGCGTGTTTCTGGTACCTGGCACCTCCTTTGGCTGGAAACGACCCATCCAGAAAGTTGCCGGTGTAAAATTGGACACCTGGGGCACTGTAAGAACACGACGCATGGGAGGGAGATGAGAATCGGAAATGGACGTGCTTCGTTGAGACTGAGAAAAGATACCTGATCAGCTGTGCAATGCTTCATCAGGGGTAACGACTTCGCGTGCTGAACAGTGCTGGACGAACAAAGTGGAGCTCCAGACACTCAGCTATCATCTGAAGCCCAACATTCTCGAAGCAACTGGCAACACAGGCAGCGGACGTTTCTGGAGTCTATGTAAAGGTCAGAACCGTCACATTTGACATATACGTACATCGAGCTACATACAGCGAGGCCCATACCAAAGCATGTTCACCTTCTACGACTCTCGCACCCTAAAACCCCAAATGAAAGCCCCTCGGCCTCACCTAGTGAAGAGGTCCACTTTCCGGCCGGATACGGGCTCCTTCACCGACACCGCATGCGTCAGCTCGCCCCCTGAGCCGCTCTCGAGGACATAGTTGTGATCGTACCCGCCGGGGGGGGCGGCCGGCACGGATGCGATGCGCTCACCGATGGCATGAAAGTCGAGGAAGTCGAAGGGGGTGCCTGCAACCTGAGAGCAAACGGAGGCAGGATAAGTTACGACGCAGGCCCGGAACTCGTGACACTGCGGATTGGATAGACCTTCTCAATGTAAGTCGGGGCTGCATCGCTCGCCAGGCTAAGATAAGACGGTGAAGCAAAGCAACTCCAAATCAGGAGTATATGTTTGTCTTCAAGGAGAAGAAGTTGAAAGCCAGGTCCCAACAAGCAGCGCGGCACCAATGTTTTTGGACTTGTAAGTCTCCATGGGCTTGGACGCGGAAGAAGCTTTCTGAATTACGCTGCAGTTTCGTCTGCGGCCTTCCACTAGGCTCCTTCTGGAACTAGGATGGCAGATGGGAAACTTCAAGCATACAACAAAGGCCTGTATCAACGGCCTGTCTCAATGCGGTACTCCCGAACAGGTCGGTAAGTGATTAACCAACCAGTCCAGACACGTTCGTTTTCTTACAGGCTTCAGTTCGCCAGTTGGAATCAAGTTGTCGTCCACTGGAGTGAAGCGGGCTGCGTTGATCTTCACACTGTGTCCCAGGATGTCTCCAGTATCGTGACCAGCCAGGTTCCAGTACCTACACAGAACAGGAACAAGAGCGCCAGGCGTGAGTGATCAAACAGATTACGGGCTGAAACAACCATGGAAGCAGCGAGACCGTCTTGTGCACGAGACAAGTTTACCTGTAAAGGCCCGGAACCTACGGACGGTAACATGCAACGTGAGGGGATAAACGAGGGACTCTTCTTGCAGATAGTATACCGCTTTCAACAACCCTTGTCCCAAGGCGAGAACAGCATCGGCAACGCGCTGGCAGAGCCACTGAGGTAATCGTGTTTAGTCGGCTTGAACGAATCACTCCTTTAATCGTGCAGGGACCCGTATCAACGGCTCTTTGTGGAAGCGGCCGGTGTTTTGACGGGGAGTGAAGGCACATTAGGTCGGTGAGGGCCTCACGTGTGCTGCGCCAAGCTGACGGGGGTAGCTTTGTCTCGTGCTATGGCCTCCATCTCCGTCCTGAACGCGCCCCCCTCCGCTAGGGTGTACGTCACAGAGACGTCCAGGTCGCCCGGAAAACCTGCCCACCAAAGGAAGGAATCCATGAGGCTTATTTTATACCAGCTGGTTGATCATCACTGGCGTTTGCATTCGGAAGCAAGTCGCCAGAGTCAATAAAGTTCAAATAGAAGGAGTCAGCCCACATCTAGGTACGTCTCGACTTGTACGCGGACAACCAGTCCACGACTTTGTCACGAGCTCAGCCAAGGTCTACTTAGGTGGAGATAACATTCGAAACAGCAAAAAAAAGCGGACTTTTCGGTTGGATCTGAACGAGGTTGTTGGGAACGTCAACGAATCGATGATTGCCCGTCGGCACAGAGAATCTCATCATACAGGCCACCAGACCCAATGAAAATTTCGACATACGGTACTACTTGTTTCACTGCAGCCAAAGCTCAAAATCGACCAAGCTCCGCCTGAACGATGGGATACGATTCTGAAGCCCTCCTAAGGTGTCTTCTCACCTTCCTCTCCATCTTTACTGTGGTAGGTCAGCTTCACAGACGGGCCGTCTGCTGACTCCGCAACTTCGCCCTTCCACAGCACTTTGTCGAAACCCTTCACCCCGCCGTGCAACGCGTTGGGCACGTTGTTGGCAGCCAGCTGGTACGTCTTCCCATCGAGTTTGAACTGGGCGTTTGCGATGCGGTTTGCGACCCGGCCGACGACTGCCCCAAAGTAAGGGGCCACTCCATCCTGGGGAAGAAAACATCTATGTCAAATAGCTGATGTCAGGACTTAATATGTACAATCCAGTTTTCCTCAGTGAGCATCAACATGGACAACATGTCGGCCTGATTTGCCCTCTCCGAATCTGAGGTAACTATCAGATCTGACGTAACTGTCGGGGAATAAGTTTCGAGATCAGCTTCCCCAGAGTCAGGTGATTGTCACAGATGGACCAAGATGTGCACAACGAGTAGTGAAGTAACTGAGCTGATCTTTGATAGCCATCAGGATGCAAGTCTATCATGAAGCAGTGGGCTGAGCAAAAAATTGCCAGAGAGCAGCTCGTAATGAAAGCAGGACGGGTCACTGTCTCTTACCAAGTAAGGCTTCAGCTCTGAAAAGCCTAGGACAACATCCGCAACCGCTCCTGCAAAGCACAGTGATCTGACTAAGAGTCTTGCAATCAGCAGTCCCCTTCTTAGATCCATCCATAAGTCTTGTGCTTGGATACACAACAGCGACTCATCTCCTGCTCAAAGAATCCTTAACTTAATGTGCATCAATCGCTGGTTCCTTAACATAGTCATTTAAAAGTTACCCAACTAATCCAGAGTCAACCTGAAACTCTCACCACTCTTGTCTGGTACCACGAACTTGACAATGATTGCACCAAAATTGATCACGTCCACCTCGTACGGGCCATGCCGCAGCTTGTACAGCTGCACCTCTGGGTGGTCCTCATCGAACGGTGTCACTGAGACGAGCATCCTGCCAGCTACTGCAGCGCGTGACGCCAGCACTGCAGATACCCAGAAGACAAGTACAGTCTTCAAAACAGAAAACGAGTGCTACTTGTGCTGCTTCCATTGAGAGGCGAAGAGTTTGAGTTTCGGTGGCCACTCCATGGTATGCATATGATATAGGAAAGGGTGCTTCCGTAGAAGGTGTGCAGCGTTGGTTGTACATTGCAAGTTGGACAGCTGAACCAGGACATTCAAAGCTGCAGCTTGCTGCTATATTCACATATGACGATCTTAATCCACCGCTTCCTAAAGCTGAGCTGCGAAAGCAACGTCTGTGCTGCAAGCACCAAAGAGCCCCAGTGCTCATTTCATTTTGACTTTGTCATTCACGTAGAATTGAGCAGAAGAGGGAAGATTGCGGAAACCGCCAGCTTGCCTGCATCTCAACGACCTCACCTGCTGGATCGACAGTGAGTGGATAGAGGCCCCGAATGAGGAAGGCGATGCTTGCAAAGCACACCAGCCAAGCTGCAATAGGCACCGCAGCTGCCTGAGATCTAGCCAGCCTGGCTGCTCTCCTTCCCATGCAGGCAATGTCCCCCCTCTATCGCTCCTGCCCCCTGCTCTGAACCCTGAAAATCAGCACAGCTGGACAAGCAGGCTATAGGCATGTATCCTCTTCAACCCGCTCCTCTCTCAAGCTAGACCGACCCAACGGAAGCTTCGCGGAACCACAGGAGGGCGGAATGGCGGAGCGTCCAATGAAACGGCAATGCACGGCTCAGGTCAAGAACTGAAGAAGCTGCCGGTTCTCGAGCCAAATCAGAAAGAGGCCGGTAGGCTCCGGTTCCGCTTCAGCGCCAAGGACTGGCGGAAAACACCCTTAGTCTAATAGGCTTCTGCTTGGGTTGACACATCATTGACAATATCAGCTGTTGGGAAGCTGGTGGCAATTTTACCTGGCACGCCCTTGCTTCTTCTGTTTCTTCTGCTTCTTCTTTTCGCTCCTTCTGCTTCTTCGATCAGTTTCTTCAACCAATTGGTGACCCGATCGCTTTGACGAGGATCTTTGGTGGATGCAGCATTTTCCTGCGGTGCTTGACTCACCAATATATGCATGACCGATCAAGAAAGGTCGTGCAATGGTGTTGTAACTTGCGATCAATCAGAACAAGGGCATTTTGCAGAAGCAGCTGCTGTTTGGGCATACATGCTGTTCGAGCAAAGAGATCGATCCTTCAGCTGGTTGTAAGGTCAGCAAGCTGATGGACATAGAGGCCATTTGCGCACGAGTTGTTCATGGCAATAAGGCCTTAATGCTGGACTGCCTTGACATGGTCAGATGATCAGCCTCTAATCAGCAGGAAAGATGGCGCCAGATCAGAGGGGCAGCAGCCAGACGTGGTTGAACGTTGCACTTGCACAGAAGCTAGCGTTCTCCGCATCCTCAGCGGTGGTTGCGGAGACCTCTACTTATCCAATAGGTAGGTGGCAAACAATCTTCTCCTGTTTCTTTAGCATTCCTAGGTGAAAAACCTCATAGTGCTTCCATCTGGGGCTCAAGAGATGCAACAGATTAATGGAACAGGACAGAAAGCTTGGAATGAGCGCCACAGCTCTAGTCAATCTACAAAGAGCAAGTCTCTACCCTGCTGTTCCAACAATCTTCCCCCCCGCCTGATCAAGTGGTACCACGTTTGCAGACATCGTGAAGACCAGGCTTCAGCTGCAGGGCGAGGTTGGCAGCCTGAAAGGTGGCGCAAACGCCCGTGGGGCTTTCGGGACTGCCGCTGGGATACTCAGGGATGAGGGCCTCCAGGTAAGGTTGATATCGAATAAGTCCTCAGCTTGTCAAAGAGGGCGTCTCTCAGCTGGCTCTTCATCTGGCGAGACACAGAACTTCGAGTTTGACTCTCTGCCGCTACAATTTTGAGCCCAACGATGTGTCTGAGCGACCAATGGACCACTAAGTAGTCGCTTGGAGAACACGGTCCGCTGGTGTCCGCTTTATTTGGGTTGAGAGAGTTCGAAACAGCATATGCACGTACCAAGGATCCCAGGGGAGTCGCAAGTTCGCTTCGCTAAATCTGTGTCGCCATCTAGAAAGAACAAAGGCTCTGGCGGTTAGTATGACGGACCTAGTTAGGGTCCGGATAAGCAGCAAGCCAGTCTTGAGACTGACTCGATAATGATCAAAACTTATTCTGTCTTTGAAGTGGCTCTTACATACCAAACAAGAGACATTGTTCCTCCCTCATGTCCCAAGTTCTTCCACATACTTAGGTGTCTCCTAAAGGGACAACCTCGGAGCACGCTCAATGACTCGTACGTTCAGTGCCATCCCCTGTTTAGCTTCTGTCCCATGGACAGAAGCCCAGGTTTAACATAAATTCATTTCTTCCAAGTCAAATTTTGTATTCAAACCAACAGTTTTACTCTTTCCATTTGCTTTCTGCAACATTCACCAAACGACCTACACCACACCTTGATTCACTGCAGGGTTTATACCGTGGTTTATCCCCCGCTGTTGGACGCCACATCTTTTACAGCAGTATACGCATTGGAGCTTATGAGAACCTGAGGGGCTTCTTCATCGAGCCTGGCCAGGACGCCTCCTCAGTGGGGGTGGGAACCAAGATGTTGCTCGGAGCGACAGCGGGCGTGATTGGGCAAGTCGTAGCTTCCCCAATGGACCTTGTCAAGGTAAACACACAAATCTTGCAACACATCTAGTTGCTCGACAGCGGATTTGACTGCCGGTGCCGACTGCTGGCCCTTGGTTTGCTTGCTTCTTTGATGTTGTAAAAGACTTGTATACAAGCCGAATGAGAACATCGAGGAAGTCATTCCACGTTTGTGCTTTGACGTCTCCAAGGGAAACTAGTCGAGAAAGATTATCGTACCTTACCGCTTCCCTGGTCCTTCGAAGCACCGCCAGTTGTTTGTCAGGCCTGCCAGAAGTACAGGAAGGACCAGTCTACAATGTTTGAAAGTTGAAAGATTCTTAAAGCGCCAGCGCCTCCTTGTCAACTTTGCAAGCTGCCCCCTCCTTGCAGGTCCGCATGCAAGCCGACGGCCGGCGGGTGATTTTGGGCGAGCCTCCTCGGTACCGCGGTCTGACGCACGCTCTCACGACCATCGTCCGAAAGGATGGGGTGTCCGGACTTTGGCGCGGGGTCGGTCCGAACGCCCAGCGGGCCGCACTGGTTAACTGCGGAGAGTTAGCGGCGTATGACCAAGCCAAAACCCTGGCCCTTGGGTACGGTTTAAAAGATGGGTTAGCGGCGCACACGGCAGCGAGCGTGCTGTCCGGACTGTCCGCGACGCTGTTCAGCTGTCCAGCGGACGTGGTCAAGACGCGAATGATGAACCAGGAACGGCAAGGAACCGTCAACTTGTACAGGTGGGGGCTCGTTGATTTAGTTGCACAGACTATTGCGCGTGCAGTTCGTCAAGTGAATTTGCAGGTCATCGAATCGGTTTAGGTTCTCGATAGGTTCTCGACTCTCGAGGTACCCTGTGACCCGTTCAAGATGCAAGAATAAACGAGGGTGTCTTGAAATGATCTTGCTTCTGCCATGAGGGAGGCTTGACTTTGGTCGAAGACGTGAAGTCTTGCTGAATGATTACGTTTAGGCAAACCATCAAGACGGGGGAACAGTAAGGAGAAAGATTACGAGGCACTCCAATGTCCGTCCCAATATCCCTCGTGACACAGAAATGCATTTTCAAAGTGCTGTGTTCTTAAAAGAGCCCGTTCGTACCACGACAGCCGACTTCACCTTTCTGACTGCCTCCACTTCTCTCATTGCAGAAACTCCCTCGACTGCCTCGTCAAAACGGTGAAGAACGAGGGCCTCTTGGCACTATGGAAGGGTTTCTTCCCCACGTGGGCACGCCTCGGGCCGTGGCAGTTTGTGTTCTGGGTCTCGTACGAACAGCTGCGGAAGGCTGCGGGTTTATCAACGTTCTAAAGTTTCCAGACGTGTTGAAATTCGTCCACTGAGTGAGTGTTTTGGTGGCCCGACCCGAATTGCATTACGGATGAATCCACCAGCCAAGGATCGAGAGCGACTTCGTCCAAGGTAGATGATGAAGGAGGCACGCGATTAGATTCTCAAAAGTGAGCCATTTTTCTCTAGATGCACGTAAAGGTCGGACGATAGATCATTTTTGGTCAGTTTGCCCCGACTTTACAGACCAGGCGGGTAAGATAGAGATACTGGTATAGCATATTGCCATATTTGAGATGTCGAACACTTCAAAAACGGTTGCCAGCACAAACAGTCAAAATCTTGACGCGATAATACGACTTTGCATGGTCATGCAGAAACGTCGCTGCATGACCATCATGCCCCCCACGCTCGTACTCAAAAGGAACTTTCAGAATCCTTGATGATCGCCGCCATATGGCGGCATATGCAGCCGGACAGGGCCGCATGTAAGTACTTGGGCCACAAATGTTCGTATATCTTGTACATACAGCTGTCGCGATCCGGCGGCCGGCCAATCCATTCATGTTGTCGGAACTGCCCGCACGTGGATTATACATAATGGCACGCACCGGGCCGGTCGAGGGATCCTGCGGGGCTGGAGGCTACAGTTTCTGTCTGAGATACGCGGCAACGACATATCATCCTTGCGAAAGACGAGACACCAACTTAGTCATCAAGTAATTACTGTATTGAATTTCAAGTGCTTAAGAATTTCGGACGAGCATCAACGATTGTGTGACGGTCAGCTACCACGGAAACATGCACACATGACTTCGTTGAGAATGAAGGACGAAGCATTCCAAGTTAAATGCTGCGCATACCAAGTGTTCTTGCAGTTATATACAGAAATATCAACGTCACTATATGGCAGGGGAGTCTAGTATGTTACAAGAGTTGCCACTCATCTTTGTTGCTTGACTCGTCTTCACCTTCCTCCTCGAAATCTTGAGTCTCTACCTGTGCACTTGTGCTTGCTCCTGATTTACCTCTGAGGTCGACCGTGAACATGGGTGCACCTCCGGCCGCCTCGGTCAACGTCGTCACGCGATGACACAAGTCTACGAACTCTCCTGCAAACGGAAAGCAGACGTTCGAGCTTCTCTTAGAGACCAATGCATAGTGTTGCATTGGTTAAGTCGTTGAGTGATGAACATAATCGCGAGACGAGGCATACTCCGCAGAGGGAAGGCTGCCTACGAGGTTCTTTTTTTATTAGCCAAATAGCCACTGCAGCTCAGTCTCGGTATGCAACTCACCGTGATCTCGGCAGTAGAACCCCAGAGCAAGGGAGTTGTCTAGGGAGTCAATCGGCATCCGCCTTATTGTGCTGCATCAGAAAGAAGTAAAAGTTCCAGATCAGCATACAAAATATGGCCGGACGACGTTCTTTCAAGAAAGGCAAGCAGAGCCTTCGCCACGGGCATCGGTGTGCCTTTAAACAAACTCTTCGTCTTTGGGAGACGACCCCCTGATCGCTTGCAGCAGCGGCAGTTCTCGAAACTTAGCTCACCTGCAGTGGTACGAACTCGTGTCAGGTTTCTCCTCTTGGCCTTGCAACAGCACCGCCTGCAAGACACAAGAAGGACGTAATTGAAAACTCTGCATGAGTTGCGGCCAAAACAAAGTGCCCCAGACTGGATTTTGAACAGCTCAGAAAAGCAGGCCAGATGTTATTTCGATTCAAAAATGGTTTACCCGAAGGATGAAATCGTGTGCGAAATGACGTTCAAGAAAAAGCAGGCCGTTTGTTGTCTTGAACCCAAAAATTCGTGCTACAAAGAGGACAGATTGTTTGCGACTTTACGTTCAGACAAAGTGGATACGGTCCAGGAACAACTGAGACAATGAGAACCACTTAGTCGCAGAAAGATGGGGCGCTTCGTTTGAACCAAAAGCATCCCAACGGCTCTTGCACTGATGCAATTATGAAGAAGAGGGGACAGCACTGGACACACAAAGCTCGTCATAACAACGGCGTGTACGTGAAGTTCGACGATGTTGAAAAGGAACCATGCGTGTAGAAAAAGCCGTCCTTCTTTCGTGAACAGCGAAGCATTTAGGCAGATGGTTCAAGGTGATCATTATTGTGTCAAAGGTGCTTCTCGTGAAACACTGGTGAACTGCTAACGAAATCGTTCGAAGCGGAAGGGACGACTCACTGGTTGGACTTCGTGCGGATCTAGGTAGAAGACCTGTTCCTCCTGATATCCAATTATGTACACAGATGCGCCAGGCTTTCCCCCAACGATGCCGACACTTTGCGGGAAGGTGAGCGCGGCTTTCAAGGAGGGCAGATACCTGGATACCACGACTTCCAGAGGAATCAGAAGGCGTCGAAGATGGAAAAAATGCACTGTGGAAGTTGGCTCAAGGTTGAAGTTATTGTTACCGAGAATTTGCATGTGGAACCCAGTAACTGGCCGTTCTATGAATCAATTCTTCTTTCCTTGGTTGAATAAAGTAAGCGCTTCAGGAGCTGAGGCCAGCTCGAGGGGGCCTTACTCACCGACACAGACCCTTTAAAGGCAGGTTCCAGACGTTTGTGGTCGGTAATCTTGCGCTATGCATCAACCGAACCAGCCGCACAGACATGTGGAAAAGCATCTAGACGTCTGGCCAAAGAACCTCAAAAATTCTTTGCAGTTTTCAAGGATTCTCGGGAGAGTTGCTGTAAATCTTGGCGGAAGAAAGACCAAACGCAGTGTATGCTACAGTTCGTTTTACCAAATGACGACAGAAAACATACCGGTAATTTGTATCGTAAATGGCTGAAGGCATGCCAAGAGACACCCCCGACGTTACAGCGATTGTCCTGATGGCCTTGACACTCAATCAAGAAACAAAAGACTCCCGCTGCTTACCGCGGGTTCACTTTGTCCACCCCCAGCACCAGCGGCACCAGGATCAGCAGGGGCGACCAGTGCTCAGGCGCCTCTGAAAGAAGGTCGCTGTAGCTGGACTCCGCATCAGCGCCAGCCCGTCTTCGGCAGAGGTCGGCAACATCCTCAAGCCCGAGAACTGGAGCGCCCCCACGTTCACCGTCCGCTTCACCTGTCAAGGACGAGGAAGCAGACGTAAATCAACACGAACAAGACTAGCCTGCTCTAGCCTGTATTCTCAGAGTCTCGAAATATCGTTGGGGACGAATGCAAGACAATCAAGAGGGAGTGGTATACTTGACCACTTTATGAGATGCACACGAGTTCTAAAGCTGCTTTTCAACGTGGGCAATCTGATGGCTCCTGCTCACATGTGACGAGCACTGCAATTATGTGTCAGGATATCAGAAGAAACCATACCTTCACTAAGTCCAGAACAAAACAAAAACAGTTGCAGCTGTCCTTCTTGAGATGAATGCAACTGTCAACTACGAAACATGCCTTCGAAACATCACAAAGCTACCTGACAAGCAGACAAGGAGGGAGAAGTTGCATACCTGAGACCACGCACACGGCAAACGGAAACGCATCTTTGCTGCTCTCAGACTCAGCCAGTGCCTCAAGTGACCGGCAGAGGGTGTAGGGCCCCAGCCACGCTCCAGGAGTGACCCCATGCGCTGCCCCCGCTAACACGATGTTGTGCAGCGAGAACGGACAAGAGGGCACTTGACAATCCCCAAAGCTCCTAACAAGTTGTAGGTAGTCTGGCGAGGCAGGCTGCCGAGACAGAGCGGAGGTCTAGTTATTACGCAGCGGTTGAGATGGGGCCCCAAATACACAACCTGACCAAGGCATCCTAAGACGTAAGTTTACCTTCCTGAGAACGATGAAAGACTACAATATAAAGCCGAAAAGATGACGCTCAAGTTGTTGCCCAGGACCTGTGTCAAACAATAGAATGCTCCGGCGCCAGTTCTTGAACAAACTGCAACTTTTGAAAGACCACGTCAAGGATCTAGACAGATCAGCATGAGGTCTGGGGAGTGGGCTCAAACGTCTTACACTCTCAGAGGACCATCGCCAGTCTCGTTGCAAGTAGTGCTGAAGGAGAGCCTGCGCAGATATGTGAAAAGCACAAGTTAGGAGCCACAGAAGGTTGACAACCTCCTGAAGCTTGGGGTTGGTCATTCAAAGCATTGCAGCAGCCATGGGGCACTGTTTTCTTTCTCACCTGTCCGAGCATCATCTGGCCGCTTCTGATCATGCAGCCCCAACCCACGTCGGCTGTGAGCTTTGAATCGCCAATTGCTTCAAAGTCTGCACAATCAGCAAGCTCAGTTTTAGCTATTTAGGGTTATGGAAACAGGCCAGGCACAGCGAGGAGCTGCCAGCACATGTACCAGCAAGATGACAAAGCAGGCCACTGGCTGGAAGGCAAGACTTATTGAAGGAAGATACAAACACACTGTTTGACGCCAGCTGCTCACCTTTTCTGTATGTGAACCACAATCTAGAAGCAAAATCTGCCAGAATGCTGTCTGCCACCTCCTGCTTGAGTGTGGTTCCATCGTCTGAGCCCTCATGACACAGCCCCAAAATCCAGACAGGACTGCCACAGGGCGGAAGACCACTCGACCGCCCCAAAAGTTCGTTCAACCGCCTCATGTGAAAGACGTTGTACGCCGAATGATACACCCTTGCTAAAGTAAGCGCTAAGTCAGATCTCCTCTCGCACTTTTCCACAGCCCGTACGCACTCCTTTGAACAAACGTCTGACTCCTTTGACAAAGCCTCCTTCAACTGTTGCGTGCTGCTTTCAGGCTCGCCAGAGGGCTCTTGAACTCGTGACAAGCTCATCTGGGCGTTGGATGATGGAGCGTTAGCGCACCATTTGCTCGATTTCAGGGCTCATGAAACAATGGGCCAGCCGGAAGCCCAGACAAACAGCTTGAATCAAGCTGACGTGGCAAGTGTGTCGGGAGTCGGGACTCTCGAGCAATCATCTACCGAGTCTTTGCTCACTTTGATGGACATGAACCGTTCGATGAATCATACTTGAGCAATATGATTTATGAACCGTCGATACCGCCATTCTTCACCTGGCAATGCACCAGTAGTTCGCAAACTTCTGCAGTGCGTGCTTCTGCGCCTCCTTGGCGAAGTTCTTTCACCAAGCCACTTGACAATGACATCACCATGTTTGCAGCAGGTCAGCCGCCGGGTTACTGGTTAGCAGCTGGTTAGCTGCGGGCCAGCCGCCAGCTTATTGGTTAGCGGCTGGTCTGCCGCCAGATCATTGGTTGGCAGCTGGTTAGCTGCAGGTCTGCCGCTCGGTTGACGATTGTCCAGCACTAGGTTAAACGCCTCAGTACAAATGGCACGCCACGAGTCATTATCAATCGGTCTGCAGGGAAGCTCTACCACACTACCGGGACACAAAGCACACTCGACTCTCCTATCATGGACCACATCAAGACCACAGTAGTATATGGCAATGTGGTTATCCTCCATGGTCGCAGTCATTAGTGAAATCTAGCAAGCGATTCGCAACTAGATTACTTAGTGAGAGAGATTCAAGTGTAGTGTGCGAAAAAGTGAACCCTACTTTGGTAGTCTAGTGGTAGAGTAGCTTCTCGAATTCAAGGATCGAACTCGTGACATGTCTGTACTGGCCCCCGTTAGGTCCATGGCGAAAGCTACGTACGGCCTTCTAATTAAAACTTATGAAAATTAAGCAAGCTGCAAGCTCCTCCGACTCGCATGCACGGTCCTGTGTTCAGATGGGAGTCCTTCGCGCGCTCTCGCTGGTGTTTGCAGAAGACTTGTAGCACAATGCCAATGGGGCAGGATGGCGGCATTGGGAGCCAAACGCAGCAATCAAAAGCATTTCAAATTGGACAGGTTGAGACTTAATGCCACCATGCAGCGTGTCACAGTCTGAACAGGATTGAAGCAGAGCTAAAAGAGAGGATGGGCAAGAGTAAGTTTCACAAGTCGGAGAAGGCTGCGCGAACTCTTAGTTTTTTCCAATCCAACTCAATTGCGCCAGCATCAAGCAAGGTAACACCCGAGAGTAGCTTCCTGCAAGATGCTGTTGTGGCACGGCAGCTCCTATCAACAGCTGTCTGGCAAGGCAACTTCGATACCCTGATCGATCAGTTGGAAGTCCTGAAGACAGGTAAGATGCATTGCTTGAAAGAGGAAATCCTTGATTCGCTTGTGTATCTAAAAACCTCCAACACATGTACAGGTGTGTGCAATCTTGAGGAACAATACTACGATCCTGCCAAGGAACTTGGCAGAAATCTGCTTTAAAAGTCTTGGCCTATCATGAAGTGCAGAGACCAGAGAGTTGCACACAATGGCGCGACCCCACTGCACAATGTGCTTGTGTGATTCTCTTGTCCCAACTTTGCTTTTCCATGCGCTCTCTGGGTCTTCTTCCCTGCACTAGGACTGCTGAGCTACAAACTCTACCCAGAGTCAGGCTTGGTGGCAAGGTTTCCACTGACTACGTCGTGCCAGTGTACTGAGTGTTTGATATCTCTATTGCGCATGCAGGTGATGAAGCCCGATGCCTGGCAGCGCTCAACAAGCTCACCTCAGACAAAGCTCTGCTAGCATCTGTGGCAGCAGTTGAAAGCTTGACGGAGCAACTTGCCAAGGAGCTGCACAACCTCATTCTTGCCAGAAGCAGTGGCAAGAAAGGCAAGAGCGGAGCCACAGCTTCGAATAGAAAGAAGACCTGTGTTTCAACAGAAGCAAGCAGTCCAGTCAGCAATGGAGTCCAGCCTGGAGAGAAGACGACCACCACTGCTGCCTCCGAGGAGCCAGTGCCTGTATGCAAAAAGGAGAATGACAAAGCGCTTTCAGCGCAGGTCGATTGCTGTCCAGAAGAAGAGGAGGTTGATGACAGGATGGGAGCTCCCAATTATTTCAGTACAGCTCGCGAAGCACCGGAGGGATCTGAGCCTGAAGCATCTGCAACAAAAGACAACCCCCTCAACAAGTTACTGGAAACACAGGGATGCACCACTGCGGATCTGCAGAAGATCTGCAAGCAATCTCCCGTGGAGCTGGTTTCCCAAACAGTGGCTATGCCAGTAAGTACACGTGTTAATGCCAAGCTGCTAAAAGCGGAAGGGCCTCAACCTAGTTCTTGACAGAGAGCGAAGCTGGATGTACAAAAAGTAGAGACAGTTGTACAGAATATTTTCTGTTTATGAATGATCACCAGTTGGTCAGTCTAGATTGTCGGCCTACCGCATCGCCATAGGGACAGTTTTCGATCGACACTTTGTCGCCGAAGGTCAGGCTTTTGCTTCCTCATAAAGCATTCAGCGGTGGACAACCCCTGAAGCAATCCTTTTTTTCTATCTTGCAGGGTATTTTGGTGCCATCTCCGGGTCTGAGGCTCCTTGGATCGTCAAAGGCTTTGGCTCTGATATCAGCTCCTGAGAGCTTGGAGATTGCTCCCATCTTCATTGCCAGCCGAAGAAGGGCAGATGTAGCACACTTGAATCTGGCAGTGCCATGGATGCTAGCAGACAAGAAGCATGTGGTGCTTTTAACAATCGAGCCCTCAGATGTGAGCTTCGAACCAGTGCCACTGATTCTCGCTGCTTTTGCAGTCGGTCATCTTGAACCATGCCTATTTGTGTTTGTTGGTCCACATCTTTCTGTCGCCTGTCTTTCCAAGTCGTGTACCTTCTATTTCAGCATCATTTATGTGATTTTAAAATGCATTTTACCTAGAGGATGTGGATTAGTCAAAGGCTATAGGATCTAAGAAGGCAGCTTAGCTGATCAATATATTGCTAGATGTTGGGGAGAAATTTTTATCTGATGTTGTGCTCTTGCTTTGTGCAGGAAGCAGCATACAGGAAGTGGGCCGAGCAGTCCGAGAGGCACATCCTTGTCGTGCTGCCAGAAGATGGACGGGGCATCGGATACGCAAGACGTTGGATACAGGATGTTGCTGCTCACCTGAAGCTGAAAAGATACTGGCAGGTAAGTCCCATTGAGAACTTTGCAAGCTGTGCTCCTGCCGCAGTGACGTCTTGGGAAAACTCAATGGTCTGGGGGCGGACACAAAAAGCTCAACACACGTCACATCTTCTGCCGTTAGCTAGGCAAGTTCTTCAGCAGAACTGATTTCGCATACATCAGGGGTGTTACAGGGAGAGGAGCATCTATACTTGCCGGCCAAGATTGTTTTGGAAGACAAGCATACTCATTTGCATTCTTAGTATTGAGTATTAGGAGAAAGTTGTCCTGTCCCTCTTTAATGCAGATGGACGATAACGTTTGTGCCATTCGAGACCAGGACGAGATCATTCCTGCCCATCGTGTCATGGAGCTCCTTCAAGGCCTAGAGCCCCGCTCTTTGATCAGCGTGGTGCATCCTTCCTGCAAGCTTTTCGTGTGGTACCCGGTGAGTTTTCCAGCGTGCTTCTTCTTGGACCATGGCCATCTTCTACAAAGCAAACCTTCTGTTTTTTGAAGCAGCTTCTTGTGCCCTTTGGTGTTTACTCTTTCTGGGGTGTATATTTCAACTCCACCAACAGTCGATGAGTGCTTTGCAAACATTGTAAACAGTCGGCCAATGTAATTGTATCTGTGAAGAGGTTTGTCGTCGTTGTGAGAAGGCCTATGCTGAGCATGCCTCACCTGCTATCTGCAGATGGTGCTTCTCTACACACCGCTCAAGTCCCCACGTTTTAAGGCCGTGTTCAATGAGCGAGAGCGGGTGGCTGACGCAGAGTGGGTGGACTTCACCGAGCAAGTGCACGCTATCGACGGGCCCCTCATCCACGACAAAACGCCCTGCTGGCTGGTTCCTTATCAACCGGGCTATGTTGGCGGATGGGGCGTTCCGGATGTGAACGGGGAGTCCGCCCTGCCGTTCCACAAGTACGAGTCGCGCGAAGAAGTCGCGCTCGGGGCCAGGATGTGGTACACCCGTTCCTGCTTCTTCGGCTCGGGGCACTTCGACCGGGAGGCGATCCAGAAAGCAGTCCCCAACACCGTGCTTCAAGCAGTCTACGCCCTGCTCGACGTTCTTGTAACCGTGTGCCACGAGATCTGGGTCGAAGGCCGCTACCACACGCTGGTGCCCTGGCCGCTCCATCCCTTGGTCGAAGCGAGCCTGAAGCTGAACGGTCAGAAGTGGCCTAGCCGTGCCGTCTACAACCTGCTCGGGATCTTCAAGGATTTGCGCAACGTGGCGGCGAAGGACCCGGCGCTCCTCAAGTGGTGGTCGGAGGTTGGGTGGCGGCTGCTCGACGGATCGGAGAAGTGGCAAACGAAGACTAGCAGCCCGATAGTGTCGACGAAGGGAAAGGCGGGATCCCAGTCGAAAGCTGCGTCCTCTAGCCCGGCGAAAGTGGGGGCTGCGGCAGCTCCTCGGAGCGGTTCCCGGGGGCAGAAGACGCAGACGGATACGGACAAGGCGGAAAGGGCAGAGCCACAAAACGGAATGGAGAGAACTGGTGATAATACCGGAAAACAGGAGCAGACGAGCGCAGGGGCTGAAGGAGGTTTTAAAAAGGAGGATGCTGAAGAGAGGACGGATGCAAGCAAGGCCAAAGGCGTAGAAGCACAATCAGGAGCTGGGCCAGGGGTTGCACTCAAGAGTTTCGAAGGTGCAGTCACTGAAGTCAAGGCCCCAAGAATAGCCCGAAGAAAGGGGAGAGTCGGCTCGGACGTCCAAGTGGCCACCTCCGAAACTCCAGGCGTCGGAACCTCCACAGAGAAGGAACCGGAGCAGGATTCCGTCAAAGCTAGTCCACCTGCAGAAAGCGTGACAGTGGACGATTCCAAGCCTGTAGCGGAAGAAGCTGTTTTAGAAAGCAAGGAGCTTGCGGTATCCGGGGCCGTGGGGAAGCCAGTCGAGCATCCTCCGGGCTCCGCTTCGGGAGTGCTAAGCGAGAGCACGATTGCGGGGGCAGTCGAGGCCTGCCAGCTGTCAGCCGCAGCGACTGAGCTCCTCTTAAGGTCAACGAAGAACGTCGCAGGCCTTGTCGTCACTTTCCTGGAGGGCGAAGGTTATAAGATGGCCTCGCAGAACGGGACGCAGAGGGTCACGGTGGGCGATTCAGGTAGTCAATATGCGAGAGTTGCGCACTGGAGGAAGCAGATCACGATGAATTATTGTTCTCGCATCAAAGCAGCTTCCCTGGCTCAATGCAGCCGCTGAATCTGCCCTTTTGTTATAGCGGCCCTCCTGCCTCAATGTGGCCGCTGAGGTTGTCCCATGCTGTGTTGCGTCTATGTAGACGTCTAGATTTGGTTTAAAAGTTTACGTCGATTGTCGATCTTAGTGCCGCTCCTGGAGTGCACCCAACTTGAAAGCAGCTCGTTTCGCTGGTTCTAACATCGCCTCCTCGCTTCTGCAGTATCGCGCATACTCTTCAAACTCTCCCCGACGGCAACTTCGCCGGCACTTTGTACACTGCTCTTCCTCACCTTGTCCCTGTACGCTGTGGACGTCGACTCCGACAAGGGACTTCTGCTCCAATACTGCAAGCTAATTGCAAGCCGAGCGGGCCTCTTTGAGAGCTTGTATCTCAGCAGCTTCATCTCTTACGTCTGTATCGCTGCGGTGAGTATGATGGATTTCTCTTTTAAGCAGTACCGAAGCTGCAAGCCATATTCATTGTGAATGGGCAACTCATCGCTGTGCCGTCGATTCAAAGTGCACCATGAATCTTACGCTACCAATCAAAGAAGCAGCGTCGCTTTTTACATGACCATCGAGCCAAGTCCTGCAGACTAACCTTATCAGTTTGTCTCCTCGTCTTTTCAATTAAGCTTTATCCTTGCGAATAGTTGCAGTAGATAAGGCTCCCTTATGTCCGTGGCCACTCGTAGTCGTACAATCTAGTCGATATAGTGGAACACTTCTGGGGTCCTCATAGACCGCTTGTGAGAGTTACTGCACGAGTCCTCTGGTCGCGGCAGTTGTCTGAGATTAGCAAGATGTGTGCAGGCTGCGAATTTGCGGGAGGTCATCATTCAGCGCGCTACAATCCAAGCCCTGTCCAAGCTGGTCTCCTCCGCCACGGACATCGACGGGATTCACGCCTTGCCAGCTGTCATGGGGGCGATGGCTGCTCACCCTCAAGACGTCCAAGTCCAATACCTGGGTTTTTCCTTCCTCGCCGACCTAGCGAACATGGCCTGCTCAAACCGGCGGTGGATGATGGCGGTGCTTGGAGCAGCCTCTTCAGCGACAGCCGCAATGGTTCTAGGCCGGGGCAACGAGAGCATGCAGAAGAAAGGCTGCCGCCTCATCCGGATACTTGCAGAGTCTCTCCTGTCTAAGCCGGATTCGACGGGTACGGTGACGGATGCAGCGAAGACGGAGCAGGAAGATAGATCCAGAAAGGTTTCTGCTCCTGCACTCGTGCCGCTGCATAGTCCTGACTCTGCCTTAAAGCGCTCACGAAGGGGGACAAGATTCATTCAGACCTTCGACGACATCTTCTCTGCCGTTCGGAAGGCGTTGGAAAGTTCTCCCGGATCGACCGAACAAGTGAAGAAAGACTGTCTTATGAAGCTGATGGCATACACGAACAGTGAAACAGCGGAGCTGATTTTCTCCTCTCTCAGTGATTACGCGTCCGCGGTGTTGACCGGCCAAGTCGAGCTTCCCCCTTGGCGCGAGGCCGTCTCAGCAGTTTTCCAGGCTCTGAAGTCGTTCCCGCGATCAAGGGCAGTGCAAGAAGAAGGCCTCGCAGCCTTGGCCGAGCTGCTTCAAGGCCCCTCCTGCAGGGCCGTGTGCCACACTTTCCAGATTCTCCGGGATTTCTCCAACCGGGAGAGCGCATCCCAGTGCTTCATGCTGGACGATCTGAGGGGGGTGCTTGTAAGAGTGGCTGTCAATTTCCCTCAGGATTTGCAACTTCTAGGCTCGTCGGTCAAGTTGCTCAGGCAACTCTTTGAGAAGCAAATACCCAAGTTCGTAGCCTATCCCGTCACAGCCGTTTCCTACTATCAAGAGGCCCCCCAAACCAAGTCTTCTCCCTTCTTCGTGTCCACGTATGTGCCCACGACTTCGCACACAGAGCGGCTGCCAAGGTTAGGCCCGAAGTTTGCCCCGTGGATCACCAGCTTTGATGGCACTGCTTGTAGCCTGTCAGCGCCCGGCCATCCTCTTTGGACAGACAGCTTCCTCGAGTTCCCTGAGTCGTTGATGACCCGCCCCTTGTCTCAGTACTGGAACCAGCACAGAGCAGGGCTGAAGTCAAAGAAGCAGGATAGAAGTCAGCCGGCAACTCCGCCCGATCCCCCTGTGCTTTTCAGCAATCTCTGCGAGGCTGAAGCATACTTCAGCTCGGAATCGTTTGCGATAGCGCTCCAGAGCATGCAGCCTCACTGCAGGGCAATGGCAGTTGAGTTCGTCAAGCTGGTAAAGTCCTTAGTGGCAGCTATAGCAGCATTGGAGGCCGTTGCAGTACCACCTTCGGAGGCCGCGAAAGACGTAAGTTGCCTCTTATTTGTTTTGCCGGAGGTTTTCTAGCGTTTGCGTGATAACCTTAGCAAGAGTCTTGCCATTGCTTTTCGGCAGCTTGCCTTTTGTGCCTCCAATTTTTTCACTCTTGATAGATTTTTTTAGAAAGCGGCAGGACAAGTAATATACATCGAGGTGGGATAAAACTGTTCTGAAATCTGGTGAGTTTGATCTGGTGCAGCCTTCTCGAAGCGCGGTTTGCTCAGTTCATCTGTGCAAAACTTTCATGGCACTTGCAAGTCTTCGTCGCTTTCTCTTTGTGCAGGCTAAGAACGAAGAAGTCCGGCTAGCGGAGCCCTTCTGTGCAGAACTGGACCTGGTGGAGCCGGCCTGCGTTCTCCTGGAGGCAACGGAGAATGTTCTGTTCAGCGCAACGAACGAATTGAAGATTGCCTTGAGCAGCGCGGCTGCGGCGAGCGAGAAGGCGGCAGGCAACGAGAGTGCTCGGGAACGGTGGCAAAGCTTCGTTGACGCCACGGAAGCAGGGCGGGATGAGCAGCGGAAAGCAAGGGACGAGCTGCGCGAAGGTGGGAAGGCTAGCGATGAAGGCTCTCCTTCGAACGATGAAGGGCAGGCACGATCAGAGGAAGTTGAGACGGTGCCAGGGGGAAGCCAAGCGGCCGTCGAGGGGCCTGCTAAGGAGCCGGGCTCGAAAGAATCAAGAGAAGAAAGCAAGGAGAGTTCTGGAGAAGCTTGCAAGGCGCACGCACTGAGCCCTGAAGAGGAGTCGCTGTTGAGTGAGCAAGCGGCAGCACTCGTTTCAAGCCTGGCAGACCTCTGTCAACTTCCGGTGGCGCTTCGGAAAGCTGTGCAAGCCCTTAGGCCTCTTCTGACAACAGCACGTGCCGCCGAAACAGTAGCTTTGGCTGCATATGTGCTGTCCTCAGTGTACTCAGCTTGGAGCCGGTTGGAGCCGGCACTAGTTGGGGAGATGCTAATCGACAGGCCCTGGTTCGCGGCGTTTGTTCCACCCCGGTGTGAGAAGCTGCTCGCCGTCAGTTGGAAGGAGTCGGGGGTCGTGGAGCTCTTCGAGATTCTAGAAACCTGGGGCGAGACGGAAGAGAAATGGACTGCCGCACCAGAAGATGCAAGACATCAAGTGGTAGCAGCCGTCCATGCTTTCGCGTCCCTTTCGCCGACTTTCTCCACTGATGCATCGGAGCTCCTCGCATCGGGTGGGTTGCCACGTGTGTTGTCAGGAGTGGCTGCTGCTTTGCATGTGATGATGGGCGAGCCAGACCAAGACACGCAAGACTTTTGCACGGGGGCCATGATTCTTTTGGCGAAAAACCACCCGCGCGTCCTCACACGGGGTTTTGCTGGTGCTTGGCTGGAGGACTTGGTGAGTAGCCTTCCTGTCCACCGGTCTCAGAAAGTGCACGATCACTTCGACATTTGTATATTGGAAACTGTGAAAATAAGAGAGATTTCTGCAGATTGGCAATGGTGCCCTGCTAGCTCGTTTGGTTGTCGAGCATGCATTATAAGCAATGCAGACTCCGAACATTGCTTCACACTGTTCGTTGCTTTCATTGAAGGTCAAGGTTCTTGCCTGAGAAGTCTAAAACAATCATTGCAACTCGGCCCCTAGCTATGCACCCTTCTTCAGCATGTACTTAGGGGGTAGGGACCCATTCCAACTACCTTTGATTCCCTTGCAGGAATCTTGTCTGGCGGTTCTGAGGCTGCTGACGCAACCTGCCGCGGCCGCGGACCGCAGCTGGGACGTTGTCTCCACCTTCCTCGACGTTCTTCGCACCAAGCGCAGCGACATCCACCGGCTCGTCAAGAAGCTCAAGCGCGGGAGCAAGCAGGGCGCCAAAGACCTGCGGGACCTGATCCCCGAAACGCCCGCAGATGTGCCGCTGACGCTGCTGAGGCTGCGGTCGGAGAAGCTCTGGGAGGGGGGTCTGAGCGGGGAGGGGCGACTGGAAGAGCTGTTTCCACTGGAGGAGGTCGCCTCGCGCCTCTTCGAAGCGGTCCAAAAAGCGGCGGTCAAAAGAGCGGGTGGAGAAGCGGCCGGGACCGGTGGCAGCCCCGAGAAAGCGGTCGAGCGGCTTCAGGATGCGGCCGCCTCGCTTACGTCATCGACAAACGGAGGGAACAGTCAGCCAAACCAGACGGCGGCCGAAGCGCCAGCAAAGCTTTCTCCCAGGGGGGACAACCGGTGGACCGCCCTACAGCCGCTGTTTGACAGCTGGGCTCAGCCGGTCGTTTGGGACGCGGCCTTCGAAACGATGGTGATAAAGTGCGGGGAGGAGGTGAAGGGCGGGCCGCCGCTCGGGCTGTTCCGGACCTGCCTTCTGGAGTGCATGGATTCGGAGGCGCTGGTGTTCGCGCGGGAGCTGACCCAGAAACTAGCCGACGAGCCTTCCCCCGGCCGAAACCTGAGGGCGCTCTCCCAGCTGTTTGCCGTGGTCGGCCACGCGGCGCGGGACCGGCCGGAAAGCGCTGCGGTCTTCATTGCGTCTGGCCTGGTATCGGAGATCGGTATAACGATGACCCGGTTTGCGCCGGGGGGCGAGGCTTTCAGCGGAGGTGAGGAAGTAGAAGGGGCGGAGGAGCGGCTGGGCGATCTGCAGAGGGACGGGGGCTTTGCGCTGTCTGCAATTCTGAGCAAAGCAGCGGCCGAGCGGAAGAGCGGGGAAGCAGGAGAGCGCCGAGTGCTGACGCAGCTGCTCGAGAGCTGTGAGGACGCCACCTTCGAGGTCCTGCAGTCGGCTTACTGGAAGTACACCCCGGCGGAGCTCCCGGAGGGGGCTGCGGAGGCAGGCGTTTCGACCCCCCTGGAACGAGCAGACTTGGGGGAGGGCGGAAAGGTGCGGCCGAGGAAGGACGTGAGGGACGCTGCGCGCATGGGGCTGCTGAATCTGCGCGCCCTTCTCCCAGAAACTTCCCCCAAGTTCAAGGCGATATCGAGCCTGTGTCTGGCGCATGATGCCATTGTCGCGGATCAAGCAGAGGTGGGAGTCTTCATCTGATCGTTCGACGTGCGACTTTGTGCAGCAAGACACTTGTTGTCTGCCTGTCCACAAACAGCAAACGGCATCTTTCTAACACTGGGTGTCCGATACTTCCTGCCGCTAGTCCAGAATCCTTCTTTCCTGAAGGTCCTAGACTTCTACGGTGCTGGCAAAATTTCGAGCTGGTTTTCCTTTTTTTTTTAACGTGGACGCAGACTCCTTAAATGGTCCTTTCTGTCTGACATCAAGACACCGTCAAGTGCCCTTCGGAAAGCTTTGACGATTCAAAAGAAGCCATGACTGTCGATCACCACTCCGTTTTTGTGTTGTGCAATGCCACGTTCAAACTTGTCTTCCCAATGACAGTATCTGCTTCTCTGCAGGCGATGGCGCTCGTGACCCGGGCTGACTGCCTTCAAGAGGATGGCTTCGACCGCTCTGCGGCCTGGTACTGCGACTTCTGGAAGCGGGACTGGTTGCTGCCCTCGGACCTGCCAAGCACGGAAATCGAAACCCCCTCAGCCGCTGATCTGGAGCCAAGCAAGGCGACTGCAACGGAAGCAGAGTCCGTCCCTTTCGATGAGACAACCACTGTTCCTGGTCCGGAAAGCGCAGTGGAAGCCACAGCGGAGCCTGCCGAAGCGGGGGGAAGTGGGGGATCCCCTCCGAACCAGAGCGCGTCCGAGCGCGGGGTTTCTTCCATAGTCAGCGGAGGAGGGCAGGATGCCGACGCCCGGGGCAGCGCCGAGCTGTCTGAGCCCCAGCAAAAAGAGGTTTCTCAGGAACAGGCACTTCCTCCCGACCCGAAGCAACTGCTTATTGCCCAAGTAAAGGGGTTCGGTTCCGCCGCTGTGAGAAAGGAGGCCCGTCTTGGTGAGGAACAGAAAGCATCCGAAGCAGAACTCAACGAAGATCGGCAAGTGGCTGCGGTTGGTCCTTCAGAAAGCAGTCCAGGGGGGCTAGATCCAGAAGCACAGTCTGCTGGTGCTGCTGGCGGGGGGGATGCGATCGCGCCGTGCAAAAAAGCGTCCAAAAAGAAGAAGAAAAAGAAGCAGAGCAGGCAGGCAGCTGTGGAGTCCAAAGAGGTTCAGCCGAAACCTTCGGAGGGCAGCAACGTGCCCTCGCAGCCCGGAACCTCGGTTGACCAAGCTGAGAATCCCCAAAGCCCTGAGGCGGCCTCTCCCAGTGAGCTGGAAGCGGGGTGTTCACAAGAAGCCAAGCGGGAAGAAAGTCAATGTCTCTCCTCCGGAGCACCAAGGGAAGGGGCGGAGGAAGCAGCGGTCAGCTCGCTCCTGAAGGAAGCTGCATCAATTCTGGAGCAAACTGGGGCGCCGCTTTCCCAAACGGCTCCACGCTCGAAGTCGGTGACGGAGTCTGCTAAAGCGATGGACGCTGTGAGGGAACTCGTGAGTCAGTTGCCACCTGCAGAGCGTCCTTTGCAGACTGCGTTGGAAGAGCTGATGGCAAAGGTGTTCAGCTTTGCCACAAAGTGTCAGGAGCTGAAGAAGGAGACTGTCGAGCAATTCGTTCCGGCAGTCGGTGCTTCTTCGCGCGCTACTACAGAGACCCAGGGACGTGCAGAGGCAGACGGTCAAGGGGAGCTTGTTCATAGGAGCCGGTTTGAGGGAACGAAAGTCAAGTGGTTTGAAGGCATCCGCTTGTTGCTCGACGAAGGCGAAGAGCTGCTAGAGAAACTCCGACGCTTCCTTCGGGACCCGTCTTGGGGACCAAAGGTCAAGAGCCATGAAGTCATCCATTTGTCGCTCAACGAGGGCGAAAAGGTGCTGAAGAAACTCCGGCGCTTCCTTCGGACCTTAGCGGAGGGAAAGGGGAAAGATCCGGTCAGTCTAGCGAAGGCGTTAGGAAATTACTTGAGCGGAGGGAGCCTGCGGGAAGGGGAGAAGGAGCCGGAAGTGACTCAAGGAAGCGCCAAAGGGAGTGCGAAAGGCCCAGAAGGGAAGAAGGCAATGGCGGGCGTGGAAATGGTGTTCGAATTCGAAGAGGGGGCAAGCTCGGCAGACGACGCTTTGAACATTGCCCCGTTCGTCTTTGGAAGCGCGTCGGAGTCGGTCGCGCGGGCTCAGAAGGAGAGGGTGCGGAAGCGGCGGACGCAGAAAGGAAAGAAGGGTGGCGCCGAGGAAGGGGAGAAACGCTCATCCATTCGCGTGCTGCGGTCGCCGGGCCGCTCCATGCAGCTGGCATTCTGGGCCGAAGGGAAGCACTTTGCGGTGCAATTGCAGAACGGTGGCAAGGAGGAGGCAGGGCCGCCGCTCACGAGCTGCGCTTTGCTGGAAGATTTAACGGGGCGGAAATGGACCCTCCCACAGAACGTCAGCAGCGCCCTGGTGACGGTGTCGAGCGACGGCGGCGCAAGGGACGGCAGCGAGACGTACCTCTGGGAGCCGGAGAATGCGCGCGCGGGCCGGGCGGAGTCGGTGCGGAAGGTCTCGGCGGAGGAGGCGGAAGCTTTGAAGGGGGCGGGAGATATGTCGTCAGAAGGCCAGGAGCTGGGGAGCGGGACGGGGGAGGGCGCGGTCGAATCTGAGGACGCAGCTTCGGGCGGGAGGAAACAGCCAGCGGATGATGAGATGATCGAAGGGAGCGCCGCGCAGAAACCAGAGAAGGAAAGCGTGGGGTGTAGTGATGACGTGGCGGCGGTGGCGGGCGCTTTCAAGCGAAGCGGAGTGGAGATGCTGCAGCAGGGAGTGCCTGTGAGTGCAGACGGAGAAGAAGCGGGGGCTGGGAAGGATGGGAGAGGAGCGCAGGAGCTAGGGCGTGGAGAAGAGCCAAGCGTTCAGGTCGAGGGGAAGAACGGAGAGGCTTTGCAATTGGGAGTGGAGGGCAAAGAAGCGGAGGCAAGTTGGAACTCCGAAGGAAAAGAAACGGCCGGCGCGGAAAGGAGGGGCCTAATCGGGTCGGACGAGATAAGCCTTCTCCAAGTTACTTCGAGTTCCGAAGAGACGGGCGCTGTTCCTGGCGCAGAACTGACGGATGGCGGAACAGGGAGCCTCCGGAAGGAATTCGAGCGGAGCGACAGCGCTACGGCTGGTAGATTGGGGGCCATCAGCGGAGTGATGTCTACGCTTGCAGGATCTGCCCACCGTAAGGATCGCGCCCTGGCTGAAGATCGAGGAATGGACAGAGTTTTTGAAGCTTTTCTAGTTGTCAAACTTCTGCTTCTGCCCCGCAATCTTCCTCCTAAGTAGTTTTCACCTTCAGGGGCTTTCTTAAATTCGGGTTTTGTCCGAGGAATTTCAATGAATATTGCAACTTCTAAGGTCGGCGATACCAGCAGCATGCTCTGAGAGCACTTTGATCGAGAGCATGTTGTCGTTCACAGAGATCCACTCTGCTGATCTCTGTGTGTGTTTGCTGTTGATCCTTTCGTCAATTTGAGCTCATAAAAAGGGACTTCGGTCTGCTTCACTTCTTCGGTCTTCAACTGAGAAACGTTTAGGACAAAGTCTATACCCAGCGCCATCGGTTGGAAGTGTCGCTATGTCATTTCGTGTTCAAATGGCAGGCTCTGGTTTAGGAGGAGCACTTCAACTTTTCAGCTGGTGTGCCTTCCTGTTTACTTCGTTGCTCATTGATTGCTCACGACACACCGGTTCTCTGCAGAATCGTCTTCTGAATCCGACGTCAAAGGAGTCGCTCCCGAGGCTGTAGAAGACCCGCTACGCATGTCCGAGCCGGCGCAGTCAACAATTCAGAGCGAAGAAGACGTTGGCGAGCCAGCAGAGCCTGACGAGTTCGCTGTCCTGCTCGGGATGCTGAAAGGGGAGGGGCCCGCGGCTGGGAAGTCCTCTCTTCTGGAAAGCGGGGCGTCGGAAAAGCTGCAGTCGAAGGGACCTCTGATTGGAGAGATCGAGAAGATGGAGAAGCTAGCCGAGAAGACTTTGCCAGTGCCCCTGACGGAAGAGGTGGTGGTTGTTGCGCCGGTTTTCGCCAATCCGATGGGCTCCGCTCTGCTGGTCGAAGAGAGTCCCGGGGTGGGAGGGAGTGCTGACGTCGAAAGCGGAGGAGCTGACGTGGCAAAGCGGGATGCTGAGAAGACGGAGCTTGGTCGGAGCGTTCCAGGGGGTCTGAGCGGAGCGGCTGAATCTGGTCTTGACCCTCTCGAACCCTCCCGAGAAAGAGAGCAAACTCACCCCGGGGCTGGAGTGGTAGAGGTACAGGAGGGCCGGTCAGAACTGCCAACTGGAGGAGGGGAGGGGGAGAAGGGTGAGCTCGGACAAGCGGCGGCCGATCTTCCTGAACCGGTGTCAAAAGAAGCCAACGGCGGGGAGGGGATAACGGCTGATGTCCTGAACGAGGGGACCGGAGAGGTGAACGGAGTCCCAGAGACAGCGGTTGAGACGTTAGTGGAGGAGTCTGGCAAGGTGAGCGGAGGGGCAGAGACAGCGGCTAAATCTGAAGAAGCGGAGTCGGGAGAGACAAGTCGGGGGTCAGAAACAGCGGCCAATGTTTCGGCAGTGGAATCTGAGGAAGCGAACAGGGGTGTGGAGTCGACGGCTGTGATTTTGCAGCAAGGCCCTGAGGAAGGAAAGCGGAGAGGAGGGACAGGGTCTGAAATTCTGGAAGGGGAGCCGGGGGAAACGACTGGGGGACCAGGGACAGCGGCCGAAGTCGTGACACCGGAAGGCGAAGCGGCGGAATCAGCGGCTAACCGTACGGAAGCGGAACCGGAACAGGCGAGGGCGGCGTCGGACACCTTTTCGGACGTACCCGACTTTGTGTCCGAGCCTGACGACGAGGCCTGGTTCGACGCGACGGACGAAGAGTGCGACGAGCCGTCGCCGCGGGTGGCCAAGGGCAGAGCGGAACTGTCGCCGGAAACGGACGGAGCGGAAGGGCGGACTTTCGAAAGAGGAGCTGCGGGGAAGGAAGCGGAGCGGGGCGAAGTGGTGAAGGAGGAGGTGGAAGATACGGAAGTGGGCGAAGCGCAAAACGCTACTGGAGACGAGGTGGTCGAGAGTGCAAATGGGGTTGCTTCAGTGGAGGTCCCAAAGGCGCAGCCGGACGGTGGAATGGAGCAGAAAGCGGAGCCAGGAGAAGTGGAGCAGAATGAAGCTGAGGGGAAGACGGTGGGACTGGAAGAAACAGCCCGTGAGGCTGACGACGCGGCGAAAGAGAAGGTTGGAAAGGACGCAGAGAAGCGGGTTGAGGCCCCAAAAGACGCAGAAAGGGAGGTGGAAGGTGACGAGAGACTGTCAGCTGCGCCTCTGTCTGATCTCGCCAAAGCAGCAGGGTCCGTTGGCGGAAGCAAGGCGACCGGAGAACGGAAGACGGAGTCTGAGGGCAGGGAAGGCGCAACAAAAGAGGAGGGGGAAACTAGGAGGGCTGCAAAGGGATCTGAGGTTTCAGGCGGGACATCTGAAAAGATGGTTGCAGTACCTCTGAGAGGAAATGACGAAACGGCGGCAACCGGCGCTCAGGACGGTGAGGGGTTGGACGGTGAAGCTGGGCGGGCGGCAGATACGTGGGCAGTGGGTGCGTCAAAAGGGGTTCAGAATGGCGGTCCGGATGAGAGGGGCGGGGCAGATTCGGACGTTCCGGACTTCGTCTCCGACGAAGAATCAGAGCCAGAAGAGAAGCCGGAATACGCGGAGGCAACGAGCGGCTTGCCAGCGGATCCGAAGGCAAACGGAACGGAGGAGCGCACGCTGCCGGCAGCCCCGAAACTGTCACGGAAGGCGGACGCTCTGCCGTCGGCAGAGCTTACAGCAGTCATTCTGCCGCTTCCAAGGAGCTCTTCCGCCGGAATCCTGCCGCTTCCGAGGAGCGCTTCACCCGGAGTGCTCCCGCGGCCCAGTTCTGCGGCGGGAGTTCTGGAGCGCCCTAGCCCTCCTGCGATTCCGGTTCCGCCGGCTCCGCCGGTCCCAGATGACCTGCCGGACTTCGTCTCCTCGGGCTCGGAAGCGGAGTCGTCTGAGGAGGAGAATGGCGACACCACAGCTGACACACGCGGCCTGTCTGGTCGCCTTTCTCGGATGCCGGCACCAGCGGTTGGACTTCTCAAGTCACTGCCCGAAAAGCGAGTGAAGGAGCCTATTCCGCCGGGATTGGAACGCCCTGGACGAACCGGAACGGTGCGAACAGGCGAACGGCGGGAACAAGTCAGATTCGCCGCCGAAGTGACGAGCCCGCTGGAGCAGCTCCGTCAGGGGACGTACCAGCCCCCGCGCGTGCGCACGTCGTTCGTCGCCCAAACCCTCGAAAACCCCGCGAGTCCGCCCCTTTCCCCGCCACCGGGCCCCGAGCCGCCGGCCTCCGAACTAGAGGAGGGGGATTTTAAGCCCGGGGACGATGACGTCAGCGACGCTGACTCCGAAGGGTGGGTGACGCTGGGCAGCGAGCACGGCGGCGGTCACGACTGGCGCCTCGCACGTGACCTGTACGGAACGTTCCCCTACGAAGCGGGCTATCGCAGCCTGGCCACTAGCGCGGAGAGCAGCCTGAGTCCGCCGAAGCGGCCGCTGAGACTGAGCCAGCAGGCCGCAGGAGTGGCTGGCGGCGGAGGGAGCGCGGGACTCGAGAGGGCCCAGGCTCCGGTCGGCGCGCGACTGGGATCGGTACAGCAGCAGAAAATCGGACCCGGTCTCAATCAGGTAAGAAAGCAAGCTAAAAAGGTTTTGGTCCGCAAGCTTGTCCTCGGAATCGAAGTAGGATTCGCGAACGGTGGACGTTGCCTCCTCTATCGTGATGGGTTTTCTAGGGCGTTCATTCCGGCAGCTGGTTTTCTAAAGCCTTGAGGTGCACACTTTTAAAAACGGTGCTGAGAGCTGCCCTATGGAAGGGCATCGCCTTTAACTCCATTTTGAAGATACGCCTTTTGCTTGACTTAGGTTGCTGTTGACTTAAAAGGATTGACAAACGTTTCCAAGATCGCTAACGACCAGACAGTGTGCCGCTCCCTGCTGACCGCGTTCCGCTGCTCTCCGCAGGCTAACATCAACGACGGATGCTGGATCGACGTGGTACCGCGCAAGAAGAAGGCCCAGCCCCCTTTGCGCCCCGGCCAGGACGTGCGCATCATGGAGGCCCAGTACTTTTCGGAGGCACTTCCGGCAGCGCCCCGCGCGCATGCCAGGAAGAAAGTTCGTGGCGGCAGGAAGGTGCCGCACAGGCAGGCGGAGCTGAGGCACGCTCGATTGATGTCTGGTGAGAATCTTGAGATCTTGCGGCTTTACTTGGGCTAACGGATCTTGGCTAATGCAAGACGAAGTTGAGTTTAATAATGACATAGGTTGCTGTGCGCTCAGTCTTTGCGATAGAGGGTCGAGCGCAGGAGTGGATACACTGCCATCAAGCTGACCGTGGTGGATGGATATGCTGGGTGCTATGTGGGTTCCTGAACTTCTTGACCTCTTGTTTCCTTCCAGCCCAAGAGGCATTCTTGATGTTCACCTTGAACAATAAGAAACTGCGCTGCTCAAGTTGCGGACTCGCTTTTGCGCAGGTACTCAGACCATCGCCAACTCTGTAGCAATTTTCTGCAGGTGCTGCACAGCTGCCTCTTCCCCCCGGCATTCAGCCCCATGCCCCGCGCCCTGCCGCTCTGCTCCACCCCAACCTCGGCCTCGCAGCCGCGTTCCCCCCGCTTCCCCCCCATCCAAAACGCGCACAAGCGCGCCCCCAGCCGCCTTTGAACTCCCAAAATCCAGCGCGCACCAAGGCGAACACCGGCAGGCAGTACGTTCCGGCCAATACCACTTGGGCGGACATTCCGGACCCGTCCGATTCCGCAACGGACACCGGAACCCCGCTGGTTGGACGCCCCACGCACTCCCCGTTGGCTACTGAGGAACCCCTGGGAAGGAGGCGCGCTATTCCGGACCCCAAGTATCAGTTTCCGACTGAGAGACTGGCCCTGCAAGCGGGGCTGCCCAATGAGATCACTCGACAGGAGCCCCCCTCTCGCGTGGCACCTCGCCAGTACGCACCGTCCCTGCACGGGCCGTCGGCAAAAGCGCGGCCGGCAGCGCTCGGCGGGTTCCTGGGGGGGCACGTGTCGGACAGTGGGCGCGCGGAGCAGCCACGTGCGACCCGGCAGACGGCGCAGTACTTTTCGGACGTCGAGGGAGCGGGGGTGGACCCACGAGTGGTGGAGCTGATTTGCTCGGCGGCGGACGTCCGAGCTCTTCGATCACAAGAGCGTGCAGCCGCCCCTTCCCAGCTAATTGCACACCCGCAAGTTCCCCCCGTCGGCAGACCCCCGAGGAGCCCCCAGAAGCAGAGGACCGACGCCGCCCAGATCGGCCGCCGGGCGAACGAGCCGGTTATGGTCCGGGCGGAGAGCATAATCAGCGACGAGGGTGCGGGTCGGCCACAAAAGGCGGCGAAGCGGCGGCAGGCGGAAGAGGAAGCGGACGACGCGTACTGCTGCATCTGCTTCGAGAACCCCAAGAACGCGGCGCTGTCGCCGTGCGGGCACCTGCTGTGCGTCGAGTGCGCGGGGGTCATGCACAAGACTAGGAAGACCTGCCCGGTGTGTAGCAAGAAGATTGAGAGCGTGCTCAAGCTGTTCGACAGCGCGATCAGATTGCCAGCTCATCTGAGATAGGCCGCGTAGTGGTTCTGGCTTGAGTGGGCAGTAGACGCTCTTTCTGCAGTGTGACGACAATGATGGATTCTCGTGTACATTGGGCTGCTGCACGCAAAAATCTTTCGCATGTACTCTGGGTCAGATGGAGATACAGTATGGTAATCCACCAAGCGCGTTCCTTATTTCAGGGAGTCGAACGAACACATACGTAACGGCCTGATTTCCCTAGCTGTCTAACGAATCTCAGGCGTCAACATAGCGCGCGGAGCCGCATGCAGGCCCTGCATGATAAATTTGAACCCGATCATTGCGTGGACGACATAATTCTAAGCAATATACCCTATCGAAAAGGAAAGCGGACCATGTAAGTGCTAACTGTACATGCTGATCGGGAAGCATGCCAGCGGACTGCATGCTCTTTGACAAGTTCACTGAGCGCGCGAATACAATTTGCCTAGTTAACTTACACAAACACCAAAGGTGTGGACTCGGATCCGGTTGGGCCTGACGTACTATGATATGGGGGCATGCCGCGCGCAACGTATACGTCGTCCATGGCTATAGGCTGATATATTAGATTAATGTAATTACTAAATGAAGGTACGTACTTAATTAAGTCCGCAAGGTATACGGCATTACTGCCGTTTAAATCTGACGATTGCAGCTTGCATGATCTTCAGTGCAGGGATTCTTTATACCATTCCATGAAAGTATGTTTGATAAGATCAAATCATGTGGAGTCTCGACATGCATCTCACACGAATAGATGCGTCGGCGTCAGTGAGTGGCCACCCCGGACCGACGGTAAACATGTCAAACATGCAGGTCTGAATGTTGAGTAAAACCATCACGGATCCCTTCAGTTATCAGACACGGTACGTGCTGCCGCGATGAAGTCAACTTTCATGCATCACCCAGACGTAGTCCCCAAGGCTTCAGGTGTAGATCTGAAGCGCATTCGTCATGATCACATGTTTAGAGACACGTGTGCAGGCTGGATGAACGCAGCTGTTAAGAGAGAGCCGCAGAGGCAAGCGAATAGGCATAAGCAACCTTTGCTCAAAATCGCTTGATGTCCTTGGGTGGTCTGAAAGGAAGCCCTGGATGCGTTTCTGGCGTCGCATCCTCGTCTTCCTTCCACATTTTGATCGTCTTATCGGCCTCGCATGTCACGAGGCGGCTTCCGGTGACATCATACGTCATTGCAAAAATGCCCGCCTCGCTATCAAGAGAGCCTGGAGAGGTCAGAGCGTAGAATGTCAGTGCGATTCAAAATCGAGGTGAGAAAAGCATAGAAACTAAATTCAACAAGTGTGGCCAGTCGCTACGATCGAAGCAGCGGCCTATGCGAATACATCCTCAAAGCTCTTCTTAGCCCCTCCACGCAAGGTGCAGAAACCACCCAACAATAGCGAACCTCTTCAAATGCAAAAGGCCGGTCCTACATCCTAAAAGATTTGACAACTTGCCCAGACCGCCAATAAACGGAAAAAATGGCGTCAAAAGCCGAACCAGAAGTCACAGACGCACCCGTCCAGGACCGAACAATCTTTCTCCGCGACTCATTGACAGCAGTGACTAAGCGCCTCACCTGGCTGCACGATGGACTGGTCCTGCTGGAAGTTGTGGCCGCTCTTCCAGTCCCAGTACCACATGCTGCCGTTGTCGCCCCCCGTCGCCAGCACGCCGTCCTCGTTCACCGCCATGCAGTTCACGATCGTCTTCTGCTGCGTGCTGCGCAACCAAACCGATACAGCGGCGCCAGTCAGAGGCCACTCACCCATACAGCTTTGCACTCTGACAACGGGAACGGAGGGCTCCCTTTACTTCAAAGGTCCGCAGAATCTTATGACAAGCCCTACGGGCCGCTTTCAAAGGTCGTGTACCGCACAATAAACAAGCAGAAAGTCGGGTGTTCTTTAGGTTCCTCCTGAAAGCGGGGATAAACAAGCCCGGAGTACTGATCTGAAATGCAATCAGAGGTAGTCACGACTGAGAATCTCAGCATAAAATAACCCATGAGGTATTCAGGGTGACAGCAAAAGAGCTGGTAAACTCACAGCATGTTGTGAAGGAACTCCCCTTGCGGCAGCTTGAACTTTTTGATGTTGTCGGCAGATGCAGAAGCGAAGGTGTGCCTGCGGATTTTCGAATAGTGAGATGCGAACGCTATTCTGACGTGTAACTTAAAACAACATAACGATAAATAAGATACGTGAGACAACATTCGCAGACTTGAAACAGGTCAGAACTGATGCGTACTGCAAACACTGGTGTTTTCGGCAAAGCTCCTGTCGGGGACAGCCCCCCAAGACCGAATTGTGCACATCGAGAGTAGACACTTGCGAGAAATCTGTCACCTGTGAACTGGATATTGGGCCTTTTGGTCCTTTGATTGAGTAGGAAACGTATGCAAACAACTGAACGACCACTCATACACGCGGCATGCAAAGAACAACGAGCTGAACGCGGGTGAAAGCAGGGGGGCTCACTCGAAGGGGTGCATGGCCAGCGCTCTGACCGACTTTTTGTGGAAGGTGAGGGTGGACATGGTCTTGCCGGCCGCCAGGTCCCACAGCTTGACCGTCGAGTCGTGGGAGCCCGTGATGATCTGGGGGTCCTGCACAACCAAGATAACGACCAAAGAAATTATCAAAAGGTGAGGCAAACAACGTTGGAGGTGATCACCGTGGAAGCATGACGAAGATACGGAGCTTCGACAAGGTTGAAAACGTCGACATCTGCTCCAGCCAGCGAAATCGAGCCTGCGGCTAACTGCTTTTGTGCAGTGCAAAGGGCAGTCCCCGAACCACCGTACTTTCAGCTGAACAAGGTTTCGCTGCAGGCAGCATGGGTTCTTCCCTGACCAAAAAACGACCTTTCTAATCAGGTAACAGCAGGAGACCGCACCCCTGGAAGACAGTAATAGAAGTGCATAATCATCTTGAGGGTAAGCCCATGCGACTCACAGTAGGTTGTGTCAACACGGCGCACACAGTGTTCTCGTGGCCTGACAGACAGAAGATCTGCGCTTTGGTGCGCATGTCCCACACCTGCACCAAGAAAGAGCGATCGCCGTCAGCAAACGAACCGTTCGCATAACCCCAAATCTTATCAAAGTGTACCGGAGAACGAAGCAAGCGGACAGTACGAACGCTTCCTGATCGAACCAAGCCTAGCGCTGTTGAGCGGGTACGAACATGGTCAAAACACTACGTCAGGTTTGTTGATTTTGTCCTGTTTCTTTTCGTGAGCCAAATGCATTCTGATGATGCAGTTTCAACCAGAAAGGTAGTCAGGAAAAGTGACAGGAAATGTGACTCATCAGGGTGATAGAAGCAGAAACAATTGCACGCAATGGTGAGCTCACTCGGCACGCCGAGTCTCGGCCGCCCGTCATGAGAATGTCGAGCGTGGGGTGGAGGGCGAGGCAGTAGACGCCGCTGAGATGGCCGTGGTACGAACGGATGACCTGGACGGCGGAGAAGTTAAGAGTTCAACATGTGGCAACATTCAGATCCTTTTCTGAGTTCGCTGTATCAAGGATCAGCGCTTTGAAAAGGTCAGAGCGTTTCTTAGTTGCAACTACTCTAAAGGGCCAGCATCTGGAAGATTGTAACCGATTCTTGCGTGCAGATTTTCAAGAAGGGGGGCTTGCTTGAAAACGAATATGAGGACCTCTGCCTGGACTTACGATGAGAGGGTGCCCTGATAATGCAGTGGACCATACAGATGTAAGATCGGGAGCCGACACCACATTGCTTTGCCTCGCAGAAAAAAGTCGCTCGGCTCGACTCAATGCTGGGGATGGGAACGGGCTTAAAGAACAACCATCTCGGCTTACCTTGTTGTACTCGAGGTCCCAACACTTGACTTGCTTGTCGTCTCCCGCAGAAAACATGTACGGGTGTCGAGAGCTCACAGCAAGGCCTGCAGCAGCAATTAACTGGTAAGCCCCTCTTTGCCTCTATGCTTTTCTTGCCTCTATACTTTTGATCCAAAGCGCTCCCGCTGAAGAGCCCCGCCTCAGCTACCCATTATCGAAATCTTCATAAGAATGGCATATTCATCACTTCCAGGAACGGGAGAGCAGATCAAGACTCCCACACAAGCGGCTTTCTCGCTGTTTCGGTATCCCGTAAAAGCTTACCTCGGACTTGCTCGATGTGGCCCGTTAACGTCAGCTTCAACTGCCCCGAAGCGGTGTCCCACACCTGCAAAAAGACCCAATCACTGCTCGGCGCTTTTGGAATAAACACTTTTCACTTCCAGTCGGACCAAAGACTTCCGACATGTCTAGATGGTTCAAGCAGTCGACTGAATGCGCGCTGCACACTTGCGGCACACTTGCTGCACACTTGCACACTTTGACCAACCCCTTTTAGAACCTGAGACTTATCTACGGCTTCGACAGTCAGAGTACCATTGAAGGGCGTGATAAAGCTGAAACGTTTTGGCTTAAAGGAGACCCTGGTTCATAAGAAGTTCCCCGCTTATACACTGTCAACAGTCGGCACAATGTAATTATCTAGCAAGTGTCTGTCTAGCACAAAAGTGGCACTAAGATGCATGGGCGCTCACCTTTATTGTCCGGTCAGCTGAGCCCGTGACAAACCACTCGTTCCCCGGTTCAAATGCTACTGATCGCACCCACCCAAGATGCCCCGAAATCACCTGCAGGACAGATCGCAACCTCAGCACTGTCGCCAACCAGACTGGCGAGCTCCGAGTCCGCAGACAAAATATCTTGAACGTTTCGAACTCATACTCTATTGCTGCAAGTCGTTTTACCACAGTCTGAAGCAGACTGCCAACAATCTGCCGCACAAATCCAGGCAAGCATACCACTGCTCTACTCTCGACTGGGGCAGAATATGTGAGCACTCGTTCTTCCTCGGCAAAATCCTATTGTTTTAGGAACAAATTTCCAACTGCGTGCAATTGCAGTCACTGCCATCAACGCTCAACCACTCACCCGGTACAGTTTCCAGGGCGGATGCCACACTGGCTTCGGCCATTTGCTCGGCAGCCGCTTGAGCACCTGCGCGCTGAACTGGTCTTTCGACCCCAACGTGCTAAGCGCCATGTTTCCAGGCGCTTTCGGCACATCCGGCGCCGCCGCCTGGTGAATCACCAGCTCGTTGCCGGGGCCTGCCGCTGCCCCCGCAACGGGGGGGTGCTTAGCTCCCGACGTGCTAGGGACGGCAGCCTCAGCGGCCCCCCCGGCCGGGCGCCGAATGTCGGCTGCATGGGGGGGTGCGGCGGCGGCGATGTCTTTGGAGGGGACCGGGAGCGGCTTGTCTTTGATGGCAGCGTACTCGTCATTGATCTTTGCGGAGATGCGGGCTTGCGTGCTGGGACAGGGAGGAATCAGAATTGGCGGGTGAGATTCTGGATAGTCTCACGAGAACAGGGTTTGGCGCAAAAATTGGACAATTGAGCACTCGGGGCTCTGGCACCAGGCTGTGCTTTCCCGGGGAAACAGGAGGTGGTGCTTATTCATGAGGTCTTATCCAGATTGCGTACCACCACAGGCACTGTGCTCAAACTGAAGAAAGAACCCTAGTGTGAACCTGCTTAGCAGCGTAGACCAGACCCTGCTGAGCAGAGGCCGAATTCCGCAAAGACCATGAACATAACAAACGGAACAAAGGTCTGAGACTCTTCAAGATGTGGTAAGCAGGTAAGGGGCAGCAGAAAAAGGTGCAAACAAACATTTTCAAAGATGACAGAGCTCTGGAACGAGATGAAGGAATTGTCACCACAAATTTTCTATGTTCATTTAACAGGCACGGACCATGATCCATTACCAACAAACAGAATGCGGCACCAATTAAGGGTAGTTTCTTGTTACAGTTGGACAATTCCCACAGGAAAGATGGATCCATGCCTCCACGGCTGCTGGAGCAAAGCCAAGGCTGATACATGGCACCATTGATAAATTCTTGGGTGAATGGACACCTGAGGGCATCCGGAGCTGGCCGCTCTCCTCGATTGGAGAGGAACAACTCGTAGGTCCGCTTCAACGACTTTTGATACAGCTTCCGCAGCGAGTGTGGCTCAACATCCTCCGCCACCGCCATGCCTGGCATCGAACGCTCCTCCGAAGCGCTTCCCAACCCTCCCGCTGGAACCTGACCGCCTTTTCCCCCTCCCTGACACTTCGTGACCCCTTCCCTCCCTCCGGCCAACACTGATTATGCGCGCACTGTCGCCACTCTCCTCTTGGAACAGAGCCTGGACAGAGCTTTGCTTTGGCTTGGCCAACTCGTTATATCGTCGTCGAGTGTGTGTGTGTGAGCTTTGCAGAGTTTGCTGTGGTCGCGGTCAAGACGCTGTAATTGTAACTGGCTGCTGGTTTAGTATAGACTAAGAAAACTACAAAGGTAAATCTGTTCAATGGCCACGTTTGTAGTGTCCACGTTGCAGTGTGCGAGGAGCCGCATTCTGAAGGCGGTGTTTTCAGGGTTAAGTCAAGTTTTAGTTCACCGAGTCTAACCAGTTTTTATAACTACAAGTTTTTGAGCAGCTTAGGCTTGGCAACCACATTTCCTGCTTTTCTTCAATGCTGCCTTTCTTCCAATCCTCTTCCAATCAGGTTGCCAGCACCTCCGCCTTAAGTTTTTCCATGTCACTTTCCCCTTCCTTGTCAGGCTCTCTACCAACTGCGCATTTCAATCAAATTGAGGCACTTCTTGGATCAATCAGGCTCTGAAGTTCAGCGCTCCATCTTTTCATATGACTACCTCGGCGGCTCCCCTTGGCACCCCCCTTGCGCATGAAGATGTTCTCAAGCTCCAAGCGGAGCTGGCGGAGATAGGCATCCTGCAAGAGAAACTGATCTTGCTCAGACAGGAGGTGAGCTGCGCATCCCCTTGAGCAGACGTCAGTTTGCAGTGCGAGCTTTGGTGATGGTGCAACGCCTCAGCCTACAAGTCTCGGGTTGATTGCAGGGTTGCAATGTCTGCTGCCCCTTTAACTTCCTGTGCTGCTGCAACTCCAGCTGGATTGCTGTAAGACGATGTTGCTGATTCAGAAAGTTGCCTCCTCAAATACCTGGAAGGAACTTGTAGCACACCATGCGCTTGAGTAAGTTTAACAACAAACATACTTTGGCAAACAGTTGGAACATCTATCCCCCAGTCCAGGTTGATGACTATTTCCCTGTCGCCAGTCGTGCTTCCCCACTGAATGAAGCATACCTTCAGTGGCCTTCAACTCGTCGAAACAAGTACTCAAGATCGCAGCCTTACACTCCCTTGCTTTTCCTGCAGCTTCTCAATTTGGACAGGAAACAGATTGCGAATCGAGAAGCACTAGCTGCACTGCAACGGCGGGCCAGAGAGCAAGAAGCCACCAGAAAGGGCGCCAGCAACAGTAGTGGAATATGCACATCCTGCGGAGCTGAAGGAGGGGGCATGCATGAGCCTGTGTGGTTGGCGGCGGCCCCTAGCAGTGCCTTTGTGCTGCTGCCGCATCAAAGGGCAGTCCGTCAGCTGGAGCAGGGTGAGTTGGCTGCTGGGGGTTTAGCGGGGTATGCCCAAAGGAATGAAATTGCTTCCCGAAATGCTTGCCAAAAGGAAGGATCAGGCTTTGCTGAGATCGATCTGGGCCTATCCTTTAACCACCGGAATCACTTTCTCGAATATGGTCAGTTGATGGACTTATGCATTCCTTGCTGAGTTCTCAGTATCATTCGACTCAATTTGGAACTTCGCAAGCAGAACGAATCGTTTGCCAGAAGACTCTGGGTTGGCGTTGCGGAGATAAGTTCTGATGCTCTTCTTACTATATCTGCAGATCAAGAAAGCTTGAAATCGAAGTTTAAGCAGCTAAAAGTTGGTGAGAGAAAGCTTGAAAGCCTTTTATCTGAAAAGGCCAGTCAAGCATCTCAAAGTTCTTCAGATCCTGGAGTCCTACAAACGCTTCTGTCCGTGAGATAGTTGTGGGCATGATCGATCTGATGGTTCTGGAGTCCTTAAGATCGGATTAACCTCACAGATATGGTGCTTGGATATGGTGCATCCAATCGAGTGTTGAAAGCAGGCCGAATTGCACATGTTGAGGTGTCATGCAAGGAGCGCTGCATTCAAGCTGTCCATCTGATGATACTTGAGGTTCTCGTCCAGCCCTGTGCTGAAGAGTTACAGCATAGTCCGGTGACCTCACCAATATAGTGATTGTTTAAGTTCGATGAAGCATGCAACGAGATTGCAGCATGGAAGATTGGAAAGTGACGTGCAGCTGGCAGAGCGTGAGGCATGCGCAGTAATCGTGTGCGACCATGGTTTGCTACTTGGTTTACGCGGGGTGTATACACTACACGTCCGGTGCGCCAGGCATAATCCACATACAAACTCTTTCATAACTTGCCATGCATGCGCCCCTGCGGTGTTGCATGAAGCAATCATGCATGCAGACTATATTGGCTTGGTGCCACTGCGTTCGCTGGCAGCAGTCGGATCATGTCAAATATCATGGCAGGCACGGTGCTGCCAAAGGAGGCTTTTCACAACAGCAAGCTGGGACCACAGCTACTCAAGGCAGCTATGATAGGCGATAGCTTGCAATTGCGCTGCTCTCCGCTGCAAAGCAAGAGCAATCTTGCCTAACACCAATCATCCATCGCAAGAGCCCTTCAGTGCAGGGGTTCGTATGACTACAAACCAGTCTTTCGACTGTGATAAATGGATCCGAACGTCCATGCTCGGTTCGCTGCTCCCCTTTTCTCCGTCGGAACACAAGTAGTCGCCAGCTAATGAGTGTCAGCTTGAACTCAGGAACTCCACAGCAAGACCGACATCGCCATTCGCTGCCACAAGCGCAGAGCGCACCGCACCCTGCACCAAAATGGAAGGTTGTTTCGATTTTGCAGCCCCGTGATCAAGGAGCAGCATTCTGACATATTGGAAAATTGGGCATGTGGACAGACGACCAGCCAACGCGTGGAAACCCCTTCTGTTTGACTGCAACCTCAAATCTAGAAAGGAGCGACCTCACATGGACCGTACCACCGGGAAAAACCAATTACAGTAGACTCGACTTGAATAACGAAATCTGAAGCTCTTCAAACGGCAAGGTACTTGTGAGCGATTCTATTACAAATTGAAGTTAGCCGACAAACGGCAGCTTGGTTGGCGAAACTCCCTACAAACGACGATCCATTCTATATCTTGGGCGCACCTTTAGCCATGAGCAAGCAAGAGATTTCAGAGCTTCTCCGAGGTGCAAGGAAAATGCCGCGTCCTTTTCGCCAGTCTCTCTCTCTGTCAAAGACACTGTTCCAAAATATGGCACAGATCTGGAGCCTTGTTCACAAAGCGAGCACCGCAATGTCACTGTCGCCCAAAGTGGCGTCCAGAAAACTAGAATGGGCGCACCTCCTCGAACCCCATGGACACCAGCTGGGCCACGTCCTGAGCGTCCGCTTTCTGCACGCAACATAACAACGCCCTTGTTTTGCTTCGAACGCCTAGCTTCAAATGACTCGTTGCGAAACGGTCAATCCCACCAGAAGACAAATGTTCGACCAGACTGGCGATTATTAGCTCTGGAAAGTCTGTCCTTCAGCAGGAGCACGAGTGCGGATCGTGGACGAAACATCGGCGTTGTTATACGTGCGGGAAGATGTTGCTTCATCTACGACGCAGATTTTGCCCTGGCCTTCTGACCCAGTGCCACTTTCTTTTGGCAGACTCTCAAAGTCCGCGAGTATACAGCAAAAGTGCGCAATATTTAAAAGTGACAGTCTGCTTGCAAGAAAGCCAAAGCTTTTACCTGCGAAGGTACGGCTCCGTTCGTGTCTGGTCTCCCTGGGCCAGACTGCGCCGGCGATTGCCTGCAAGGATGGATAAAAGCCAGGCTGCATGACGCGAGAACAAGATGGCCGGAAACTTTTATGAAAGATTCGGCGACTCCCAACCGTGAAACAGAGCATCGGACAGGCAATCCGGAAATGGATGAATGAAAACGTTTCCCTGAAGCCGCAGCCATAGGAGAAGATGCAAAGTACGAACTAAAAGGATCATCGAACCACAAGAATGAAGGGCCCCCTAAAGAGAGAAGTATACAAGAGGCGGAGCCTAAAAGAGAGCTTCTGAATCTAAGCGGAAACTTCCTTTTACAATCAACTTTCAAAAACAACCCTTGACACGTCCTTCGCAGCGATCAGGAGCAGGCTGAGCGGATAACTGGTCGGTCGAAAGTGGTTCCAGAGATGTAACTTCAATCTGCAAAAGTCCTAAATTTTGTAAACTCCGGCAATATGCCACAGCAAACGCTTAGGCTGACTGTACATGGGTTGTCCTTGAATTACACATTTGAAACCACAACAAAGTAGCCGAAGAATCCAGCCTGAAGAGCAAAGCTCACCGCCCCCCGTTTCCCCCCGTGTGCCCGCTCCTCGGCGGGCCCCCGTTCGTTGCGCTCTCTCGACGCCCCGGCGGAGGCGCCTGGCCTCGTCCCAGAGTTCCCCCGGGCAACGGCCCGCCCAACGTTCGACCCCGCCCAGGGAACTGCGTGCTCTGGCGAACGAGAACAGAAAAAAAGAGGCTTCAATGTGAGCTCAGAAGAAGTGGGATGAAAGCACGCTCCATTTGGTCCTTGCTTGCAAGGAATGCTAATCTCTTGCTTACTCTGAGCTAAACAAAACCGCTTAAGTTTACAAGGCTGTTATGATCGATGGAACCCTCCTTTACACGTCTCCTTGGAACAACCAAGATCGGAAAGCAGAAAAAGCTTCACGTCAGTCGTCTGCCACTTGTCACGCCTGTTGAAGCTGAGAATAAACTCCGCCGCACAGCGGGTCTGACGCTCGGTGGTAAGGGCAAAGGCACGGGAGAGAAGTCTCACCCCGTCCGTGCTCGCCGCCTGCACTGGCGCCCAGCCTTGCATACGCCGCCACATGCCTGACAGCCCACCGCTGAGGCTTCCCCAGGAGCTACCACCGCTGCCAAAGAATGAGACGCATCAAACACACGCCGCAATTGTTCCGATTCTCGTGTAACCACCTCCAAGCTGAACGGAGCTTCGACCAGAACCTCGAAAATTTTGGGTGAGGTAACTGGCCGAGATGCTAAACTATATACGGCGGGCATACTAAAGATTGGCCGGTCTAAGGTGCATCCGGTTTGTAGTAGATTATCCAATAACCTACCTGCTTTCTGAGTTAGTGATGGGCAGGGAGCTCCCTGGCCCGCTGCCCCCGACAATAAATTGCGACCGCCGCACCAGCGGTGCCTGTACCCAGACCAACAACAACGGTCAGAACCGAATCCTTGTAGCCCCTACGATAAGAGCACTCATGGCTCCTACAACACCTAAAAAATCGGTGATCGTATGACACCTCTCCACTGTCTCGACAACCAGTGAACGGAGCGGCAAAGGCGCTGTTTGCAGGCGCCATATTGAGCTTTCATCGTGCGAGAATAACCCTGGTGTTTTTCCGGAGGCCCTCACCAGAACGGAGGAGGACTCGATAGTGGAGATGGTGGACGACCCGAGCATCGCCCAGTTCAACCAGCCGTAGCTGACTGTACGTAGTAAGAAAAAGTCAGGATTACGAAGAGCAACGGTTGGTTGACATAGAACCGGGCTTCAGAGGTCAAGAACGCACTGAACCCCTGTTCTAGGCGAGATGCCCTCAGGCTGGCCTGCTCCCTTTACTTCTTGGATTTTTCGATCACCAGATTGTGCCCTCGTAGTCTTAAAGTTTTGCAGATGCCATGAGCCATCCCCACCAAGCGACCTTCCGCCATCAGAGAGCCGGGCAAAGGTCCCAAGGCCCTCTTCACTAGACGAATTAAAGAGAGGTTGGAACCCATTAGACGTCAACCTGAAAAAGGGACGAAGCATACATGAAATAGACGATGGACTTACAGGCCAGCCCCGAGAGGAGGCCGCTGAGGTGGCCGAGTAGGGAGACGTTGGGCATGAGCACCTGAAAGACCACCAGGAGAGCCCACGGGTACCTGCAAACCGGGGATGCGTCAAACCGGAACTTTGGGCGCTGGCGGACTGTGGTTAAGACGACGCCAAAGCTCGAAAGACTGGGAGAGACCATACACTCAGTCAGCTAGCGGATTCTGAGGGCAGCCTGGTAGCCGAGCACTCTGGTGTCCCTTTAGGGGGGGCTTGAAACGGGCTACATCATCATCTCAGATTTCAGCCGGCCCAACCGGTTCGCTGAACAACGCTTTGGGCAGGCTTTGGAACCGCACTTGAGGAGCAAAGGGTAGTCAGACATTCGTCGTCAGTGCAAGTATGACAATCTTCGGGCCGCTCGAAGATACATCACGCCGAGACTTCGTGATGATTTCCAAAAGACGGTGGCTTACCATTTTGCTGGCACAGTGAAGAGCCCGAAAATGCTGTACAGCAGGAAAACAGCGTCAAAGCGAATGCACTCTTTTGCTGTCTCATGGAAGTCAGATTCGAGGAAATAAAGAGGCGACCATGCCCAGTCGTTCGACGTGACCAGATGGCCGCAAGGCTTGAACATGAAGTGAACCTGAGGCCCTGCGATAAGAGATAAAATGTGGCCTCACAGCAAGAACGTGATCGCTGAGGCGTTCCTGAACAGTGGTGACAGATCGTCACTTTTGAGAACAACCACTGCTAGTGATGCTCAAGGCTGTGAACTTCGCTCTTCACATCTTCAAATCCCGCCAGTCCCCAAGCACCGTCCATAAACTCGTGAACCAACTTACGCTCGCACTGTCAAAAAATTTCTCATCTGTAATCTGCGACTTGGTTGATGGTCCTCACCTCCTGCTCTGCACCCCGCTCATGTTCGTCTCCACGACAATCATAGCAAACAGAATCCCGGAAAAGCCCACAGAGCACTGATACACGAGGTCCGGGAACTTGATGGCGGCGGCATATGCCGCCCCCGTGTGGAGTATTGCGTTGGTCACGGCAAACAGGAGGACGGCATATGCATAGCGCACGGAGCCCAGGATGCGCTCGAGGCCCGCGCCCATCGGGACGAAGGAGAGCATGTTGAAGGCGATGTGAAGGAGGCCGGAGTGGATAAGAATGGAGGAGAAGGGGCGGTAGACTGCAGAAGGGGGGGGAGAGAAAAGGGTGTGACTGGGCAGATTGGATACGATAGAAATGGGAAAAATGGGTGGACGAGAAGGGGTAATTGGATAAACATGGAGGAAGAGAAAACGTGTGAGTTTGAGAATTGGGGAAGTGGTTTGAAGGTAACTGGCAATGAACGGCGAGGAGTCACAAATCAGCCTGAGTGGAAAGAACGACATGTCTCTGAAAAGGAGAGGAGGGGCAGCGGACTTAGGAGATATAAGAAAAAGCAGGGTCGGAAAAAGGAGAAGCAAACCAGGGGAGGAGCGTAGTGCGGGACTGAGGGTAGAGAATGAAAGGAAGATGATTTTAAAAAGGGGAAACTTGACAGTAGACGTGGGCATAGGGCGTGACTAGAAAGTTGGTGAGGAGATTGGTAGTAGATGACAAGGAGTTGCAGAGTCAGGGTGATTGGAAAAACTGAGAGGCTTTTAGGACAGCGAAGAAGGGGCAACACACTGCGAATCTGTAATCGAAGGACGAGTGGGAGAAAGAGAAGCTAACGACATTGTACTGTGAATTGGAGGGGGAAAAGGGGTGATGGGGAGTGAGAGAAGATCGTCCAGGCTTGGGCCGACAAAGAGATGAAGAAAAGGGAGTAGATGGGCCCTTGCGTGAGTAGCATCTGCTTTGGCATCTCTTTGGTGTTGGACAATCACTGACCACAACAAGGTCTTTCCAACCGACGCACATAACTCTGCATGCTTCACACCCCCCCAACAATGTTCTCGGCAACTGAGTCAGGTTCAAGCGACAACTTCCGGCCCTTCAATCAAAAGATCTTCAAATCTGGAAACAAGGTTAGCAACACTCTGCACGACCAGGGGGCATAAGTTCCTGAAGCTTCGTACTTGCGGAAGCCTACAACACAAGAAATATACCCATGTGTCCCCGCCACTTATGTATTTCTGGGCGGCAATTTCGACTTGTCTTTCTTCGTATCCGCGTCAACTGTAGTACTCATAAAGTGAGAGCACGTCGTTTTTAACAACTACTGCCAGCTCGTGGGTTGAGTTACCTGGGATTGCTCACCTTCCCACTGCTCCACCACATAGAAAGGCGCCATGCACAGGTCCTTGTAATCATCAAACCCAGTAAGAATACCAACCACGTAACTGGCTACGCAAGTGATGAGGATGCAGCAGGTGATGATCGGCTGGGACGAGAGCCATGATGTGACTCGCGTAGTCAGGCTCGCCTACAAAATCAAAGTGGGGCAAATCCAATCAAGTAGAATAGCACAGTTGAATAATGCACTTTCCAATGGGCGGGGACTCGTTCTTGTCACTGGAGTCCACAATGTCAAGTGCCTGCAGTGAAGCTTTTCATGTCCGGTGCAGCTTCTCCTAAAGCGTGCACCTTTGCTTGTGGCATCAGCGAAGAAAGAATAGGGCCAAGTGTCGAAGGGCACTCACCTCCTGTACCACGTTAGCCGGCATCTTTCTCGGGTTTCAAAGCGACATGAAAGTGTAACAAAAGGCTCAAATTATGCAATTCAAAGTTGTTCCCTCAATCTGCTGCTTGCTGGCTTGCTTCCTGTCGTTGAATGCGCATACGCATCCCCCTTCATCCGCTTCAACACTTCAATTTAGATAGGTACGCCTCAAACTCAAAAGATAGAGTGCCTGCCAGTGCTGGTGCCAGCTGCCCGCGGGTGCATCATGACATTCATGAATGCTTCCTGAACGCCATCACCCTGCGCTGCGGAACGTTGGTGGTGGGTTACCCATAACAGTGTAGAAACTTATTGACGATGCCCTGCCGTTTGCTTCGTCGCGTCGTGCCGCGAAATGAGCGGCCGGCCAAGTCGGCAGTTTAGTGAGAGGCAACAGCTCTTGCCGCCTTCTACCGTTTCAGAAAACAGAGCTTTGCCAGTCGGCAAAATTCCGGTTTGGTTCTGGGGTTAACGTGGGTCGATGCAGACACGGACTTTCGTGCCTGGGGAGAAGCTGCTCACTAGCTTTGCCTCCGGAGATGCTGAACACTCCTCAATTCAACATGATGCTCTCAGCTTGATTGAAAGCTGATTGCCAGGAATGGGAGCGCCATTGAGCAGCATTTCGATTGGCACGTCGACATTCTCCAGCTGACATCTTTGCTTTTTCTCAGCTTTGCAGAGCTACCCTTGACTCACCGCTTCTACTACTAGGATTGCGGGCGAGATCCGTAGAGACCAGAAGAGCCACAGATTAATGTGCAGTCAAATATCTTAGGAGGCCAGCCTTTGGTCCGAAACTGCTGATGAAGATGTCAATAGCAGGCTGTTGTACCACCCCTCATGTACATCACGTCCCAGTCTTTGAAAATGGGATACTTTTTGTGAAAAACAAATACTGCCACTCTGCACCAGCCTCCTGTAGCCCAACTTTGCGAACACGAGAAAACTGGTCAGAGGATGGCCGGGTAGCTTTTAGCCTTTGTAATCAGGTAGCGCATGTGGGGATCAGGCAGGCGGGGCACCGGAAATGCAGACGGAGGAGGCCAGCTTTCCCAGGGGCTCACGAGGGGTACTGCTCTAACCGAAACTACAAGGCCTCCAGGGTCTGTGCTGCGTCCAGGGACCCTGCAAAAGATTTCAGTCTGCGTGATGACTTTGACCAGAGCTGGGAAGGGGATAGGGTGGTCACTCCACCAAAGAGCCAGTACGACGCCGCAGCTGAAGAAGTGGTTGAACGGACATGGGATATCTGGGACCAGCTGCCTTTCGACATCAATCAGCTGCCGTTTGACCTGAAAGGCTTCTTTGATCCATCCCCTGACAACCTGCTGGCTGTTGTGTTCACGAGCATTTTGGCTTTCATCCTTTTGCAACTGGCCTGGCAGTTTGTAGTGATCCTTGTGTCGGTGGCGTTCTATTCGATCAAGTACGCAGTTCTGGGGCTCATATTAGCTGTCATCATAGTTTACACTATCTGATTGCTCCTTAAAAGTAGGCAATGAGGGCGGGATGAGAATAAGGTCTTGCTGACCTTTGTGGGTTGTGTCACCCACTGCCTTGCAAATTCATACGACAATGATGAAAAGGATGCCCATATTCAGCGGCACTTTCCTGTCCGGTTGTGCTGCCCGTTCACAACTACTCAGTCGTCCCAGCTTATTCGTCGGAGCTTACCTGAATACGTAGATGAGGATCCTTCTTTCAGCGGTTGAAGTACTTTCATGACTTGATCCTCATGATGTGTTCCAGAAAACCGAGTCATTTTTGCACACCGTTCGGGATCCTTGACTTTTACGACTGAACCTTCAAAGGAGACTGCTAGCTAAAGAATCACTCACATTGTGCGCCTGTGTTGTCAGCTCGAATCGTATTCATTGCAGACCAACTTAGACGAATCTAGAGTACGCCGGACGTATGTGGCTGGCAGACTTCTCAATGTAGGATCGCATCATTGAGGCAGTGACCATGTTTACTCAAAAGAATTTGTGAATGCACATGAGATACATTCGAGATCTTCTGAAGAACCTTGCACAACTGTAGAACTAGGTATATGGAGGTGGTGGCCGTGTATAAAGGCAGATCAGATTCAGCAATGACACCGTGCTAATCGACTTAAGCTTCATTCTGGTTTTACGTCGGGTTAGCATGATCTGTGCATTAGCTATAGTCAATTATATATGATATAGCTACTTCAGCTGCACATGCGTACCAAGACTCATGCACCATCGTGGCGCGGCGCCGAGCATGCAGCTATATTATTCAATTTTAGTATGGATTAAGCACGTATATCGTAACTTAAAGCGTTCAAGGCCAACTTTGCGGCTCCATGATTAGTTAAAGTAAACGTCACACACTGCATCGGAATAGCTTGTAGTCGCTGCATGAGCGCGGAATCATGGCCGGTCTAGAGTTGCCGCACGTGGCTTGCATTGAAAGCAGATCGCTGCCTAGACAGATCTATCCGAACTTGACTTTGTAACGGATGCTTCAAGCGTTCAGTGATTAGCTGAAGCAAGAGAGGCATGCGCAGGTGATGATTCTCTTAAACCACCGCGTTTGCACGCCCGACTTTTAACAATTGCATGAACAATGCACATCAGTCCAGAAAATCGAACGTCCCAATGTGCCCTGCAAGTCGTGGCCACAATGAAACGACAGCAGCATGCCTCTTCGATCAAAAGTGTGTGCAACGCAACAGTAAAGCACATGGTCCTCTTGTATGGTTTCAAGGACTTGATGTCGGCTTGCACTCCAAACTGCTAAGTCAAGTGGCCACTTGATACCTCTTACTACTGCAAACAACTTGCCTTTCCAACCTCGCAACCAAAGGCCAAAAGCCCCAGCCGTACCTTTGTGATTGCACAACTTCCGATTACCTCGCAACACGCATCTGTGCACAACCCGAACTTCGCTTCCCCACGGATGCTGCAACACCACTAGGTGTTCTTCTCCAACAGTGCCAAGGCGGGGGTCAAGTAGTTGTTGGACTTGTCCGGAAGGTGAGCCACCTGCAGGCGGAGTTCGGGAGAAACTTAGAACACACACAGAACTTGGCACCGGTAGGCCCAGAATGCGCTCGTCAGTACGTAGTCGTCTCTAAGCTCCATCCAGAAGGTTGCCTCGGCGAGTGAGTTCTCCCAGGAGGCTGATGAGCAGTATTGTCACAAGAACAGAACGGCTCTCTAACTGCGAACTCACAAAACCCGTCAGCCGTACCATCGCAACCTGAACTTGCGATCTCGCCCGTCAGCTTCCAAAATTACCCGCTGCAGGGGAACGCGTTTAAGCTTTCAACACGAGTACCGAGTCCCGCTGCCACCCGGATAGAGTTAACCCTGAAAGCCGACCGACTTTCAGAAAAAGACGTGATGCCCGACTCAGCCCTGCTATTGTCCGTTCTGACGTTTTCTCCTCAAGACACCGATTGGCAAGATTCAGAACCGTAGGAGGAACCCCGGCGGCCTGTGCTTACCAGCTCGTAGAGGCCCTGCCCTTGCTCCGAGGTGTACTCGTAGCAGACCTGCGCACACGTCATACACAAAATCAGTGGCCACGCAAAGATTGGGGTCTCCCGTGTCCGAATTGTTCTTCTTGTCAATGAACAAGCAGGACAACCGCTGAGGATCCAGTTCAACTTTGATATGGAGCGGTTTGATGGGGATTAAGATGGGGATTAAGATGGGGATTAAGCTAGGCAGAGTACGAGACAGGTTCATTTTCAGACGCCTATAATGCCCAGCCTAAGATGCAAAATATACGAAAGAGGCCATTGCAAGCTGTGGGTGAGGGTCGGTTTCCTTCTTCGCCGGGTTTGCCGAGGCGTGAGAAGCGAGGCTGGTGTTGGAGGTAAAGCCGCTCACCTCGAAACTCTTGTTTCTGGCGGTACCGTCGTGAAGGGCCTTGACGCACACGTCGGCCACGTCAGCGCAGCTGATGCTCTGCACAGCCAACCCAGTTGCAAGTAAGATGCGAGGTCTAAAACCCTTTACAAATTATGATCCAAAAACTGCCGGCCACGTCCAGAGTCTGAGGCAAACGTAGAGAGCCGTCACAGTTCTGGCAATGCTGCTCCCGATCAGCCAATGTTGACTGTGGGGACCAAAGCTCTAACGCAACTCAGTTCTGGAATAGTTTGAAACGGCAGCTGGCGAGCGTCTTACCTGCGTTATCCTGTTCCCCTGGTCGAAAACGAGGGCGCGAGAACCCCCCGGCTCCTCCTGCAATCAGTTTTAGTCAGACTCGGGATCAGAGTCCGTTGGAGAAGCCAATCGTAGCTTTGAGTCATCGATGATTCCGTCAGTTCTTGTACTGGTGGCTTTTTCCTCACAACCATTGGCAGGGCGTAGGTTTGAGAGTTACAATTTGATTGCGACTTAGGCAAGCTCGCAGAGTGAGCCGCTATCAACTTTGCCGCAGCGGCGGAACAACGAATCCAGTGCTGGTCAATGTCGAACGTGGTATCGCAAGGGGCTTTCCCAAGAGGAAGCTCAAACCAGCTAGCAATGAGGCTGTGCCAGAAACAGAGCAGAATTTTAGCCCAACTCACCAGTAGGGGGCCCGGCCGCACGATAGTGTACCCGAGGCCCGAGTTCCGAAGGCTCTGCTCCCCAGCCTGCAGAACAAAAGCAGAGAAGCCCGCTCAGGCAACGAGGCAATAACCGGGAACAGCACTTTCGATCGGTATGCTTATGAGTGGCAACCAGGGTTCACCCGATCATTCGAAGGCGTTCATGCTCTCAAGACCAAGAACCAGCTTTGATACACATCGGACGGCCGTTTGACTTGGCAGACAAAACGTTCAAAGGTGGGACAGCTTGGGCTCAGGGAGGGCGTGGGTGCTGAGCGCTTCAACTCTTGTTTCAGGTTTTGGTACTTGTGACGGGGCACTCTGGTTGTTTACTGGAATGGCTCCTATGAGAGTTGCGAGTTTGTCAAGCTATGTTCGCCATCAATAGCACTGCGTGGGAATGCCCAGCTTTTAGCAAAATCCTGCAGCCAAACGCCCGGTTGCGTGGCAGACATTGACAAGCCGCGCGCACAGGCAATCAGGCACGTAAGTGCAAGTCAAGGTCTGGCGCGTTTTCAATGCGCTCCAGGAAACTTACGAGCTTCGCCCTGAGTACTTTCTCCCGGTCCTCTTCCTCCACTCCTGCGCCTGTGCACGACACCAAGATGAAATCTGGCTCCTCCCCAGCCTGCGGCAGACAAAGATTGTGAGTCGGAAGCGGGCAGGTCTGAAACATTGTCAAAGCAAGCCGAAGACTTGCACTGTCATTTAAGCTCACGCACTGCTTGTGTTATACATGCTACCTGTTACTAGATTCTCGGCCAAGCGAAAGTCGGCCTTCGCAAGGAACGCTGCTCGGAGATGAAGCGAAATGTGCCAAGCAACCTCCTTCTCTCAAATTCTTTACCACGACCAGCAGCCCCCAGCGTTTACTGCGCAACTGGGATTCGCACGCTTCCTCTATCCTCAAGGCAGCGAATGTTTCGGCGGCTTCTCGTTCTCTACCGCACCCCTTAACGGCGACTTCCAACGAAGATTCCAAGCGTGCGCTCACCGGCAGTGCTTTGATGAAGTCCACCTCGAGCTTGAACCGGTTGCTCCCGAGATCCGTCTCCGTTGCGCCTGGCACAAACTCCGGGCCCTCGCTGCTCGTGTCGATCTCCGCAATCGCCTGCATGGGGTCTACCCGCCCCGCCATGACCTTCTTCTTCTTCTGAGCAGGCGCGCCAGCCAACATCATAGGGGCCCTCTGCAGGAGATAACGAGCGTCCTGGTCGGTTGAGCGACTGAAGCGGTTCCTCAAACCAACGGAATGCAATCTTCAGTCGTTTATAAGTTTCGTTTCGTTCGCAGAGTCCCTGCTGGGCTTGTTTGTTGAACTGGAAACCTGGCGGTCAAGAAGTCATTGCAAGGAATAGTCAACCTTCAGAGGCAAGTTTGGAAGCGAATGAGTGCTCGTGATTTCGGAGACAAGCCACAGTATGGAGGGCAACGAAATTCCTCAGGCCCTAACCCCCCAGAGCTCTGCAAAGAAGCATAAGTCCAAGTGGAAGTTACAAAGGAGGCGACATCCAAGCAACTGATGGTGGTGCTTATCACATCTTCTGGGGGGGTGCCTAAGAAGACCGGAGCTCACCACTTTCTTCGGCTCAAACCGGATGGACATTCTTTTGACCTGGGCCGGGTCTAGCGGGGGCTGGTCGGGGCTTCCTGGCCGGAAGTCAGAGAAAGGCAAGCGGACCTGCAGCACAACGGGCGATTAGACAGCGCGTATCAGCAGTATGTGCGAGGAGGGATAGAGTCCGAGAAGGCCAAATCGGCGCGAAACTTGGGCTTCGAGCCCTGGTCATACGGTCAAGAATTGGAACTCTACCTCTGTGTTCCTTCAAGCCCTTTGTAACAACTCGAAATGCGCAATTTTTCGTCTGTAGCTGGAAGAGACAAACCCCATGTGCACATTCATGTGTCAGCACAACCAATCTTCTTGAAGACGGCAGTCAGATCGTGCACGCAGAAAGCATGGGTTCCGGCGCTGCACTTACCCTGGCATAGCCCACTCTAGTGGGGAACTTGTACGTGTACTCCATGGGCGGCCCCCCTTCCCATTTCTCCATTTCGAGGACGAATGTGTACGGCTTGCCGTCACCACACACGCGGATGAGCAGGCCCTCGAACCTGCGAAACCACACAGGATCATATCTCCGCATAGATAGCCTACGAATGAGCTTCCAAATGCTAGCACAATCAATCATGCTGACGTCGAAAGAACGACATGCTGGAAACACATCGAGCTGCAGGCAGTAACAATCCCCGAATGGTGTGCCGAAAGGCTTTCGCCTTGAGCGAATCATCTGATTGATTTCACAAACCCAGTCGCCTGGGCGAAGAGTAAAATATAATGTTTTCTGACTGACAATATAGAAGATGAAGACCCGAGAGAGTGTCTGGGAGCGCGGCTATCGAGGTCTGCCCAGGCAAGTTCAGCGCACAGCTCGTTCTGCTGTCTCACCGTGACAAAGAGACACCCTCCGGCAGCTTGAGCTCAGTCGTCATCTCAACAAAGCCCCCCCTAGTGTACACGTAACCTGCAAAGAGGTAGGTGAGCTCACACGAGTCCGCTAGACAAGCACGGAACGCTTGAAGTTAATCATGCACGAGAATTTGGGTGTGTCCAGCGCGCCAAACCATGAAGGACATCCGGCATTGTCGAAGAACCCTTTCACATGCAAAGAGAGTGCTCTCACGGTCAAAGGACAAGCAAACACGCAGCTCCCTTGAGAGGATTTCCTGGATGCGCACCTTGAAAGAGCCCCATGCTCCTTTCGCCCTCCCTTTCCGTCAACTCAAGTTCCGCGTCCATTCCCCCGTCGTACAGCTTGCCTAGAATGTCCTCATCCTCCACCCCGTCCCTAAGATCCCACTCATCCAGCGTCGACTCCTTCGAGAATCTCGCAAGAGTCACCTTGCTCCGTGCTGATTTGCCGGCCCGCTTCTGGGCCAACCGGTGGTTATAGTCCTGGAAAGAGGATCAGGGACATAGCTGGCTCAGATTCCTGTTGTTGCAATGAGTAACCCCTCTTTTAATCCACACCACCAGTTCAAAGGCCAGGGCTTTCGCAACAGATTGTATCTAAGCCCTGCTTCAAAAGGAGACATGACGAGCTTTTGCTTCCGGATGAGCTCTGGGTACAGTCTTAGTCATGGCACAGTGTTGCAAACTATAGTGGACATGTACAAAGGGGCAGACCTTCACAGTTGTGGAAATAACCTGAGTAACCCAATGACCACCTTCTCGACTTTCCCACATTAGCCATCTTCAAGCACCCATTGAAGTGGACAGCTCTCAAAACACAGTCCCTTTCTTATTTTAACTTATGAAAGCGGACGTTGTCCACCAGAAATACAAGTGGTGCTCCTTGCAAGAGTGGTAAAAGGCCAGTGGACCACCACACAGGATCCCGGGCGCAAGATACTCATGAAAGGAAGTATGCTTCACATGTTGGTGTTGAAGATGCGGAAAATTGCTGCTTCCAGGTACCTACCAGGAATGCCTTGGCCAGATTTGCCACCCCCTGCTGCTCCACCCGCGTCAGGTCCCCACTCAGCATCGACGTGGCGCGTGTGCAACAAATGATCTTGTTCACGCCCTCCACTGCTTTCGAAAGGGTAGTTGGATCCCCAATATCCCCCACCACGTGCTGCACCACTGTCGGCAGTTTTTCTAGCGTCGCTTCGTCGCTGCTCCGCACCAGAGCCTGCAGCATGACGATATGCAGCTGGTCGAAAGTAATTCCAGCATGTGCCATGCGATTGAAGGGTGATTGCATCTCTGCTCAAAAAGTGCGCAGCAATTTCCAATCAGCGGGGGGTGCGAGCATCGGTGATATTAACGGCACAAACTTCTCAGCACCTTCAGGATGGGCGCTAGTGGTGGCAGTTGGGAGTATGGCCCTGCATAAAGGAGTCGTTAGTTGGCGATATGTTCGAACTTCTGAGGCTTCTCACTTGATATTCTGAACTGCCTTGGAAGGCAGCTGGTTGGGTGTGGACCACAGATAGCGCCGGTAGCTGTGCCAAGATGCGGAATGTGGCTAAAACAGTCACCACAATCTGACAGTGAATTCCTTTCCATCTCACCTTGACTGTGTACCCTCTCAGCAGCAGCTTCCGGACAAGAATGCGGCCCACTCGTCCAGTGGCCCCAGCAACCAACACGGTGGTGAATGCAGCATCAGGAATGGTAAACTCGCACATGGGGCCTCCAATCTGTAGCACACATTGGGGTCACAGATGAGCATACTTACTGACGCTTCTGGTCCACCATGCACTGCCGCCAGTGACAGCTTTTAGAAGCTATCAGCGAATGTTCCAAAATGTCAATATTAGAAAATGGCAATAAGGAGACCCTTTCTTGAAAAGCAGTCATTTCACTTGCACACATTGCTCAGTAGGTTCGCCGACAATCAACATGAGGCTGTGACCTCATGGAGGATGTGCTTGAAGGGTTTAGTCCACCATGCGTTGCAAGTCTTGAGGAAAGCTTAAGTTCAAGGGGTTCAGGTGAACCAATCGAAGGCGGGCTGCATTGAAATGGAGCACACCGCCATACAGGCTGCACAAAGCTACACAATCCACAAGTATAGCACAACTCTTCTTAGAAGCATTTTCCGAAAGAGGAGCATCGCTCAGCCGGCCACTAACCAGAACTGTATCGACGTCAGAAGGGGAGGACCTCGTCAGCTGCCCAAGATCTGTCAGCCTCTTCCAGACATCATTGAAAAATTCTCGACTTCTCCGCCCCAAGCTGACGGGGTTGATGTCAGAAAGCGTGAGCTGAGCGTCCTCCTCTGTTGGTTTCGCTCTCTCCTGAACAACCTTTTCTTCCTCCTTTTCCTTGACTGCAGTGTCTGCCCCATTCTGCTCCCCGCTAGCCCGGACGCCCGGCGCCGGTTTTCGTCTCTCACTTAAACGCTGAGGAACCCCCAAATGCCTACTAGGAAACGTATGGTTCCTAAGCGAGTTTGCAGTACCCGGTTTCCTAGAGTCAACCGCAAAAGCGTTGCATTGTGAGCACCGCCGCCCCTCCAATGTGAGCTGATGAGACCAGCTCGCTGCAGGCCGCACCTTTGCTGCACTGTTGAGGGCCATTCCCGCAACCTGTACACCACTTCCTCTACTGCATTGACTAGCTATGACGAACAAAGAAACCCGGGCGGTCACTTTACAAAGAAAGACGCCATGCCCGCCGCTGCATCCCTGCTCAACCCACTGCAAATGCGGCCCAAATGCGGCCTGTGCTCTGGCTGGGCCGGAGCACAGCTGCAGCCTGCAGGGGCAACTTGCACGGGAGAGCTACCGTAGGCAGGTGGCAGTTGCAGAATGCCGCTGAGTTTACCCATGCCATCCTAGTGCGCTGCTTTGAGCCGTCCGATGGGACACTTTGAACTTGCGGCGTGCAGGATCGCCCTGTGCTTGTCCCCACATACGGCTGGTGTAGGGCACTTTCGAAGTGCGCAATGCGTTTAGGCGTACTTTTTGGGGACAGCGCGACACTGGCACCTGAACAGGAGCAGTTTCTGGTCTGGCTAGTTGCCACGTCGTCAAAGTCTTGCAACTAGAGCTGAGCCGCTTCGGAGCATGATCGGTAATAGGTAACGGTAAATGCAGCGACATTTTGTACTATTACTAATGTCAGTGTTGTTTCTCGACTTTGGACGAGCAGGCTCGCTCTAGTTTCATTTCGACCCCCTGAAATGGCGGGCTGCTGCATTCGATGATCATGCACATTGCTGCAGGGCAGGCTGTAGGGCGTCTTTCTTGAACTTCGCGTTCAATGAATGCGCCACCATTGCGCTCGCGTACAATGCTCCAAAACGTGTTCAGGCAGCTTCACCAAACCCGCCAGACTTTTTGTTCATTGTGACCACCATGTCAAAGGCAGGTTTTTACCCGTTGCTGGGAACCTGGGCATGGTGACATTTGTCCACTATCCAAAAAGCAGATGGTGTGCAGATAAAGGGTGGGCGTCAGCTCGCTGATTGTAGAATGCTTGAGATGACTTCTCGAGTGAACCTGTTGAAGTCCTGTACAATGCATGCACGGTCGTTTTTGAAGAAGAGCGGAAGTCACAACCACAAGATGCCTGGGCGCTCCCGGCTGCTTGCAACCATCCTCCTTCTGGGGGCTTTCATCTTCCTTCTCGCTAGGACATTCTCCTGGCAGAGGTTCGCTTTTGGAGCTAGTGCGGAGTCAAATTACCTGTCTGGCCTGTGCTCTGAGTTCCTGAATTGGGCTCCAGGTAGTGAGTTCCTCCCCCGAGCTCAGAGACTTTCTCTGAGTGGGTATCCAGCATCATCATTCCACAACATAGTTCTGGGAATTGTGTCAAGTGCGGACGCGTGGCCGGTCGTCAAGGGCACTGCGCTGCTGTGGTGGAGGCCAAATGTGACGAGGGGCTTTGTACTGTTGGAGGAAGGGGAGGCGGCCCTGCAATTGAAACAGCACCAGGGAGAGGAGGAGTTGATAGAGCAGAGACGTTGGTGGGAAAGAGTTCGAGAGGAAAGAGAGCAGGCAGAGGAGCAGACACGGTCAAGATTGCCAGGTGATTTCAGCATAGAAGGGGGTGGCAGCAATGAAACTATAGGCATAGATAGTACTCCGGCCAAAGAGATAGACCTGTTCAGTTTGACGAACAGCAGCCTTGCAGAAGGTTATGGTCAGGAGCCAGTTATCCAGGTTCGAGGGCCCAACAGTCCATCTGCAGACGCGCAGATGGATGCATTGACAAGTGCATTTCTAACACTAGCAGCACAGGAGTTGGCCGAGGTTCATTGGTTCGTGATGCTTGGAGACGACGCAGTTCTTGATGTTGAAAATCTGGCTGGAGTACTCAACAGGTGAGGCGTCAGCTCAATGACAAATTTCAGCATCTTTTGGAGAATACATGGAATATTTGCCATCATATTCTTATGATTCTTATCATGGAAGGTCGGTGCTCGGTATCCTGCGGTGTAAGTTGGAAAACTGAAGCTGATAGACTTGCATGAGTGTTGTCTGAGTTGTTTTCAACCACTAGAGAAGACCTTCCGTCTATTTACCACCTCTTAAAAGCAATATTTTAGCGCTTCCCGTGTGCATCTCCCTCTCTGCATCACCCATCATGTACGCATATTCGCGACAAACTGCAAAACATCCTTCAACTTTGCTTTCTTGTATCAGGTATGACCCGGCGGAACCGCGTTTGATTGGATATGACGCCTTCAGTGGCACTGCCGGACGCAGAAGCCCCTCAAATAAACCGATGTCGGGCCCCGCTTTTGCCATTAGCCTGGCCCTGGCCCGGGAGCTGATGCTGGTTCTTCCAGCCTGTTTAGAGCGGCAGACACAGCACGCCCGCAGCGACCAAAAGCTGTACGCGTGCACGGCAGGTAAGAAAAGCAAGCAATCGGTCGCGCTGAAGGAGTAAGCTTTGGTCTTGGAACGTGGAACGGTTCCGACATCAGACTTTGGGAAAAAGAAGTCGCTCTGTATGTGGAACTTGAACAGACAAAGGTCTGACACTCTTTTTCTGGTCCTGAGATTCGAAATTTGTTCAACCTTGTAACCGGAGTGGATACGAGATGCACTTTATCCTTTGCCCTCCTACCACTTACAGTCCACATCATGTAGAATAACGAACAGTATGCAGTCCTCCACTTCGATGCCTAGAGCCTTCTTCGGAAGTCGATTTGGATAGTACCTAAACACCCAAACACCAGACGATGATAGGGTCGAAGGTTCTTTCCAACAACCTGATGCATAGGCTCGAACGACTGGCCTTGTCGATGGTGAGAGATCGGAATCTAGCACGCTCAAATTTGATCAGTGGCCATACTGTGCTGCGAGCTGACTGACACCTTTTTGAATGTGTTGTGCAGAGCTTGGGGTACCGTTGATTTTCGAGCCCGGCTTCCATGCTGATGAAGAGATGACCCCTCCCCTCGAAAGACATGCCCCCGCTCCATTCGTTGGATTGACGCTCGCGCATGACTCCTTCCGAGACCGCCTATCAGGTAAGTGACCGACGCCCCGTTGGATGGTGCGCATCCACCGACCAATACGTTTCAGATCCTAAAACGTGCTCGCGCATTCCATTCACTTCGCATAACGGTCGTAGTTGTAAAAATTCCATTGAGTTGGTTTTGGCGAGGGTGAAATCCATTCAAACGATCCTTATGAGGCAGAAGGGATGATCGGCTCTGTCAACTGACTTTTGATTCAGAAAATCAATTTGATGTTACGAGCAAGATGTCTGTCACTTCGAGAAAGACGTTTCGTTTTGAGAAGTCATCAAAAAAGTACGTTGAGGACTCCTTGTGGCCTGCAAGTTGTCATACCCGAATCTTCGAGAGTATGTTCCACTTCGAGAATCCGCAGTCAGGATGATTGCGCTAGCCGTTCAGTTTCTGTCACGACGTGCGACTCTGCGGAGACCGCCAAAAACCATCTGGGAGTGCTCACCTTAACTTCGACCATGCATCTTTTCGCTCTTCAGGCGACAATCGGACGGTCGCCCTGCAGCCGATGGTCCGGTACATGCGGGAGGATCCGGCTGGGTTCCTCCAGCACGCGGTGTGTGTCGACCGGGACCTGGACCTTATGCTGTCCGTCTCCTGGGGGCGCTCCGTGAGGCTGTACCCGGGGGTGGACGGCGTGGAGGAGCTCCTCGGTCCAAACGGTGAGCTCGATGGTCATTCTTTCTGGGGCCGGACGTTTGGGACTGATATCATCTGTCCGACCCAATACATCTTTCCTACATAGAGAGATTGTTCTGAAGAGTCCGCGGAGCTGCTATCAGTAGTATGGACAGATGAGAAAGTCAAGGCCGGCGAAACGTGCCTTCTTTGTCACGTCTCCGATCTTGAAGCGGCAGAGACACCAGGCGGTTCGAGCCAATGTTTTTCTCACCGTGTCTTCACTCTGTGCCACTTTCATATCCGCCCTCGCTAGGTCGATGCCAGTTCCGAGGCACGTCCTGAATCACGTGTTTCATTGTCGGAATAGCCTTTGTCGTTACAGTCGAGGCTTTCCATTCAGCGTTTCCAATTTTCCCTCCGCGCATCTGTTTTGTGTCTTAGCAATCATTGAAGCTCTTTCTTGGATTCCACGCGACCTGAAATTCGTTCCTACAACTGAGGAAGATGTATGTAACCCGTACTTTCGTCTCGCAGGCCCGGCGAGTCAAACGGAAGCAGGGGAAGCTGACCCGTGCAGAGCGCCTGCACTGCTAGCGGCAGAGGACGTCAAGCGGCTGAAGGGGAGCGGGAACACGCTCCGCTTCGAGAGCCTGTATATGCGCAGTCAATTGGGTGGCGAAAAAGCGGACCGGTCTAAGTGCAAATCACTGCATGCGAAAATCCAGTCCGTCAGAATCATACGGAAAGCAGAGATGTTTGCATCCGGTAGCATGTACGCGGGACCGGGTGCCGGTCCGCACCTTAGGAGACAGTGCTGTCGGTATGCTTTCACGGATGGTTCGCGAACAATCCTGAACGTTGGTTTGAGTGCCTGCCTAGCGGGGCAGACTCTCACGCAAGAGCCCGATCGTTGGGCAAGCCCTCTGTAACATTGGTGGAATCTGATCACTCGGCACTGCGATAGCCCTTCGACTGTGGGGCACCGTTAGATGGACGCAGGTAACGTTGCGATGGTATTGGCTCATGGAATGTGATAGCACCTTGTTCTCGACAATAGGGTGTACTTGCCTGTGAGCGCAGGAAGGAGCAGCAACATCGAGATCTGTATAGAACGCAGCTAGACTAAGCAGTTCTCTGTAGTAAGCGACAGCTTCGATCGGATGAAGGATCTGATATGGCTGCAACAAGAGTGTAATGCAACAGTAGCAAGTAGTGTTCAAGGCTTGCTCGACAAGTCCCTATCTTGGAATAAGCAAGTCTCTTGGATCTTGACAGCACCAAAGACAGCCAAGAGCCTACGTCGCTCTCAGTGATCCTGGAGGCAGGCCCGAGTCAAAAGCGATTGCAGCCTAGTCTGGTAGTTCAATAATGGTGAAGGTACCTGACTGTTTGCAGGGGCCTGCTTGAGACAATCTAATCGTGCAATGCATGGACCTGACTCAGTGATCGTCCGACGAGTCGAACCTTTACGATTCCTGTCGATTCAAAGTTCCAGAGTAGCTGTAGCTACCGAGTAAGGCTCTTCCTGACCCCACGCGTATGTGACTGCACGGAGTGCCACAAATGCCCCATGATTGCATGCATGTGCATATATGCTTCAGTACACATTGACACTTGGGTTCTGTATATACTGCGCCATCATTGCATGGCAGGGGCGACTTGAATTGTTACTCAACATACATCATGAAAATCATTGCATTAATTCAAATTTGAAAGTTGCATCGCCACGCGCATGTCTGGTACGTATGCCATGACTGCATACAGACTCTATATAGTATCATTACCACGTACGTACTGCGCAGCTAGTGACAAACTGCACATCTGCGTACATGCAGGCCGGTATACTACTACTGAGTAGCTACGAAGTAAATGAATCGTGAACCGTGTCATTTACCTGATACGGCTGAGCTTGAGAACCTTTCACGCACGACGCACATACTCAGCTACCTGAGTTTCCTCATGGATAACTGATTGATCAACAAAGTGCACAAGTATCTCATACTTTCTTTGCCCGCCAATGCAAAGCAAAGTCCTCATCTTCGTCATCGCTCCCTGAACTAAGCTCTTCTTCCTCGAGCTTTCCATTTGCTTGCTGTACAGCAGCCGCTGCCGCAGCTTTCTCCCTTGCTTTGGCTTCCTTTTGTCGCTTAAGGTCCTGTATATGCTGCAGAAATGATCTGCAGAAGCAGGGCGCCAGTTCAACCCACAGAAACGGATTCGCTGACCGTTCTCAAACTCAGGACGATACACGTACAGGCATATCAGACCCGATCAACAAAGGAAGTGAAATGCTCCCATTGAAAATGAACCAGAGTCCGTCGATAGCACGTGCAACAAGGACGAGCGTGCTCTAAGCCAGGTCATGTCGAAAGCTGATCATCATTCTGAACAACCGTCTATGAGCAGACCAGCCAGTGGCGGATTGAGTGCCTGGCCCATCGCGGTATCTCAAGAACCAAGTCGGAATGCATCTTAGCATCCCATTAAGTCCGCATGACAGCTTCATTTCAGCAAGGACTTTCAGGACAAGCTTGGCCTAGTCTTGGAAAGGAGTACGACTTGCCACACCGACTGCATGCTCACTCACCTTTGCTCAATAACCTCCCTTTCCTCCCTCTCGTCTGCAGCTTCGGCCTGTACGGGAAAGGGCAGTCTTGATTTCGTCTATCGAAATGGCGCTAATCGAAAAATGACGGGTCGATCTCAAGGGATGCATTCCCCGTTCCAAGACATCTTAGCATGATAAGGGGACAGTGCTGTAAGGCTTCGACAAAGCGCCCCCCATCAAACAGCGTAGCTTGGCTTTCAGAAACGAAAAGGTGCTTCTCATAGAGTCCCGACGCTCAAGTTTCAAACCTCTACATATAGACTACCTTTTTGGCAGGAAAGACTAGCCTTCTTGCGAGAAAGACTACCGCTTCCCTCCCTTTTTTAAATCACTTGTCATAAGTCCCGCTTTTAAGACTTATTATCTTGCTTTTGAACTGGGAGCCGGTGGTACCAGTCACTGTTTTTGGAAAACGTGTGGTATCGCCAACGCTCACCTCCTCTTCTTCCTGTCTCACGTCCACCTCTGCTATGTTGACTTGCACCGACTTCTGAAACTCTTTCCACTCCTCACTGCGAAACAGAAAAGTAGACTGATTTTGAGAGACGCGAGACAGGTCTCGTTCGGCTCAACGGAATAAAATGACAGCTTTCAAGCAGACAATCCAGATCGTTCAGAAGCGATCTCCGTCCTTGCGTCACATGTCAAACAAGCGCAACCACCACGAGCACTCTCTGCGGCAAAACAAACATCGAACCTTTGTCCCTCTGCAAGCCAAGACATTATCATGGTCCACTGCAGGAGAAAGGCTGGGCCAGTGGCTCACTTGATGTCGAGCTTCGGAGCTTCTTCCCCCCGCGCTTTGTGGTCCTTCTCCTTGTCGTCAAAGAAGCCCTTGGGTAAAACGCCTTTCTGTCCCGGATCTTTCTTCTGCTGGTCAACGGTTCGGGTTTGTGTTGAGTCTATGCGCCTGGCTCCAGGTTCTGCCCCATTTGAAGCTGAAGGCCCCGCTTTGCCGCCATCACCGTCAAAAAACCCAGGGGGAACAGCATTGGGGGTGGTACTGGGCTCCGCTGGCCGTCTAGTACTGTTGGAGGCTTTGGCAGGTGGAGCAGGCTTCTCAGAGGCCCCTGCAAACGGCAAATAAGTCTGACCTGGTTCAAGAAGCAGGCCACATACTCGGTACAGAGATTAAAGTACATGGCGCCTCAAGGGTATTGCAACTTAACCAACGATGATAGAGACACTAATGCCGCCCTGAGCCTGGATTATTATGCCTATTTGGCTTTGGGTGGACCAACTCAGGAAGCCTCTCTGATGGATTCTACACCAATGCGCATTTTAGAATTCCAAGAGTCCAACTATCTTACCACCTTTTGACAGCTTGCTTTTGGGGGTGTCAAAGAAGTCCGACGGCAAATCAGACGCCTTGCGCGCGCTTCCAGGCTGCGGCGTTGCGGCTGGTGCAGTCTGGGCTTGTTTGGAGGCTGCCTTGCTCTTCAGCCTGGCCACCGTCTGCATCGAGGCCCTCAACGTGTCACACCCAAATACGGACATGATGAATGGAATGATCAGCATCTTCCAAAGTTTGATATCGCGACTTTAGCACCTGGTCAACTGCTGAGGGGGTGAACGGGAATCCCAGAGCGCCAGATTTAAATTGATATAGACTTACCTCTTTATGCTGCCTGGACACCAAGTGCGTATTCCAAGCAACCTCGGACTTGACCACTGTGTTGCACAGTTTGCACACAATCTGACCAAGGTCGTTGTACCTGCATCACGGATGCGCCAGGTCAGCTTACAACTCTTTCAGCTTCTGAAGTTCGATTCCTTGTTTTCTCAACTTCTTGCAATGCATGAGGGAGAACAAACTCTTACACTTCCGTGAGAAACTACATTGATCAATCAACACAAAATAAGGTTCCCGAAATTCCCTCTCACCTGACAAGGGGGTGGTCGAGCCGCTGTTTCCGCTCTGCAGCTGTCCCTTTCATCAGCAGACGCAGGGCCTCTTTCCGATCCATACTGAAGAAACTCTGACACAACTTCCGTCCAGGAGCGAGTTTCAACAGCTGGCGCCAGCACCAGTCAAGCGTGCCTCCAAGTCCTCTTCCCAGCACACTCCTGAAAGCCAGAGAGACAGTCTCATCCAGCGCAACGCCAGCTGCCGCCTTTCCAAACTGCTCATGCAAGAAAGTTTTTGGCTCTGCTCTTTCCTCGGGCTCTGAGACTGCGCTGCGGGACCCCCTTGGAATACGGTATCAGATAATACCTGGCGGTAATCCGTCGAAACACAATTTCAAGCTTCTACCCAGCTTCTACCCGGAGCTTCTACCTACTTATTGCGAGAAGCTCAGATGCATTTTCTTCCAATCTGCAACCATTGCAAAACGTAGCCGGCTGCTTCTACCAGCCGCTTCTTGATAACAACATGTGGCCAAGATGTAACCATATCAAGCATATAACTACTGTCGTATAAAAGACATTGTTGCGAGATTTTCTCAGTAAGTTCTGCCAATTTGAGGTTAATAAAAGGAAGTGCTAGGTATTGAGTCTGCAGATTAGGGTTCAGCACGGCGCCATTCATTGGAAACAATCCGACTCCGAGGCCAATTGTCTAGCTCTAGCTAGCTTGGAGGCGCTGTAGCCTGTGGATAATGTATCCTGAGGCTAGGGCAAGCGATTGCCTCAGAGCACTACGTCAGGCCCAAGCAGCTTCTTAACTCTGAGGTGACTATGCTGCCCATCTGATAGACAACAAAGATGGCGGGTGAAGTGCTATCGCCAAGCGCCACGCCCACGGCGAAAGCAAGCAGCGAGGGGGTTGCTGCTGATGGACAGCTCGCCACGAGGAAGGAGCTCTCTGTGGCCGTGTTTGATCGACCAGATTTCAATACCATCGACTTCATCAATCAGATCTTCCCCAATGGTAACTTTCTAGCAATCAGTGCGTTGAGGGCTGATTGGCAAGCCACCACCAATGCTGGATGACATCCATCAGTCTCTCTTTGGATGCGAAAGCTAGGTTGCTTGTAGGACTACAACATAACCCCAATTCCCTGGTGCCTGATTGCTGTTTGGCATAAGCAGTTTTCAAAGAAACCTGGGTTTCTCGTGATCTAGAGCCCTTGTAACGAAAGCCTTTAAAGAACCGCTCGCTTTGTGGTCTCCGCGGTTATTAGCTTGGTGCGGGTGTCTGTGCATCAACCAACCCCAACCTGTTTCTTTGCAGAAGCGTCGCTTGTGGCTGTTGACCCCCTCATTCACAAGCTCCGCTTCAAGATTCGCCGCGTGGATGCAGAAATCCTGGCTGCTGTCCGCCAGCAGGTGTGGAACACCTTGAAACCCTCTCACCACATTCAACGGAACTCCTTATCATTCTTGACCAGGTTGGAGCAATTGCCCCCACTTGGTTCATGACTACTGCTCTTGAGTGCAAGGCCAGGGGCGTTGGGCTGTGGCAAGATTCGAGGATGGTTGGGTAGTGCTGACTAACTTACCGTCCATTCTGCTTTGCTTGCAGAGCTCGTCAGGATCAAAAGCGAAAGAGGATCTTGCAAGCGCAATGACCGCTATTCAGGTGCGTCTCATTTCTTCCAGTCCCCTGTCAAAGTACATTTTGGGTCTATCATACCTGGACACGGCGACGGCTGGCATCGTGGAAGTTGATTCTGGCAACAGGGATTCTTTGCCCCACATGCACTTCTTTGAACCTCGTGGTGTCAAACTGCTGTGGTACCGATAATCTTTGAGCTCTTCGCAGGAGCTGTACACTAAAGTGCGGGAGATCAAAGCGAAGGCGGAACAGAGTGAGGTGATGGTACAAGAGATCTGCCGCGACATCAAGAAGCTCGACTACGCAAAGAAACACATCACCACCACCATTACTGCGCTCCACCGACTCTCCATGCTGGGTAAGGTTCTTGAACCAACTGTCGACTTCATCAAAGGCTGCAGGTTCTTCCGAGACAATCTTTTCATCACATAAGAATCATGCACGTGCCTGATTGAGTTCGCGGTTGACATCTGTTGAAAGCCATGTTCCCAGATGAATGCATTCTTCGTCTTGTGCAGTCTCTGCGGTGGATCAATTGCAGTACATGGCGGCAAAGAGGCAGTACAAAGATGCTGCGGGGCAACTCGAGGTAGGCCTAAAGCCCTGCGGCATGTTGGCTAATAACTCTCAAGTTTTCAATTCGAAGAAACTCTGGAAGCTCTTCATCGAAACAACTGCAATTGAATCTATGAGAGCTCTACTTTTAAAGCCATGTAGGTCAAGGAGAAGTCAGACAAGACTGTCGACCTACAACGTGATGCACACCTTCTGGGCAAACTCAAGCGGGGTATACTGGCTGTTCTCATTCTTGATCTCGTCCGCCTCTTTCGTTATCCAGGCCGTGAACCAGCTCGTGAGCCACTTCCAGGCCTACCAAGAGATCCCCAAGATCTCGGAGCTGCGCTCCAAGTTTGACAACGTGAAGCAGACCCTCAAGTCCCACATCTTCTCCGACTTCTCCAGGTGCGCCACGAGTTTTGGGACGCTCTGTTGGCCACTCTCGAAGTGCTTCGAAGTCTTCAAGTCTGACACTATCGCAGAGCTTCGATCCGGTTTTCGATCGGATATGTCCACATTTTGTTGCATTTCCGGGAGTTCGACGGGCTTGGGACCTTGCTGAAAGCTTTGAATACCACCGAGTTCTTCCTAATGTACGCCGTTCTGACTCGATCTCGGACTTTGGAGCACATCTTGCGGCTCTTCATGCTAACATCACGCCGGACGAGTTCTTCAGCTTCGATGACTTGCCATCGTCCTATGCGGCTCTAAATTTCGGTGCATAACCCCCCCCCTTTTGCCCCAGTTTGAACACGACGAACCTGAAGGAGAACCCGCAGCTGCAGCAGCAGCTGGCGGACTCGTGCCTGGTGGTCGACGCACTGGACGCTGCAGTGAAAGAAGAGCTCATCCAGAACATCTGCAGCAAGGAGTTGAACGCATACCAGCAGATCTTCCAAGGGACGGGTATGGATACGTTGACGAAAACCTGGCCGCTTTGCTCCGAAATTAGGGTCTTCTGTCGTACGTACCGCTTTTTAATGTCGACGACCTCACATTGCTTGCAACAATTTTCTAATTTGACTGCTTCGCGGGTTTTTTCAACCCTCAGATATTGCTTCGGCTTCTCTTGCCCATGAATGAACCGAAGCTTTCTGACCGCACCTTCGTATGCCGCTCCGCTGTTAGGCCGTACAGGCTAGGGCCCTAGGAGAATCTTGGTGAAGTCGCCAAGCACCGTTGTGACGTCACGAAGCGCCTTCCTGAGCCGAACTAAGATCTGCGAGCCGTCCCTTTCTTTGATTCTCGACACCAATTTCGAGATTTTGCCTCACCCCTCCCGCCCTTGTTTCCCTGCAGTGGAGGTGGCGAAACTAGAGAAGGCGGAGCGGCGGTACGCGTGGATCAAGCGCGAGCTGCGCGCCAAGGAGGACGTGTGGGCCATCTTCCCGCACTCGTGGCGCGTGCCCTACCTGCTCTGCATGCAGTTCTGCAAGGTCACCAGGTGAGCCGGCGAGAAGGCACGGTGTCTGCAAACTTTGCAAACGGGACTGGATGCTCTGAGTTACAACAAATCGGAGCCCTCACTATCCAAGAAAAGCACTTCTTAATCTGTACAACTCTCACTCTTGTTCCTCAACGGCCGGCTGACGGTTGTCAAGTCGACTCGACTTTTTCCAAGGCCTAATCGCTTTGACAGGCCTTGATTCTTAGGTTTGCAACTGTGCGACCGAAAGCCTCTTCCTGTTCCCCTTGGAATCTCTTCCAAGCTAGGACCATCCTCTGAGGCTGCGGCTGACGACGGTCTTCTTTTTGTGGCTGCAGGGCGCAGCTGATGGAGATTTTGGACATGCAGAAGGACAAGTCGGACGTTGGCACGCTCCTGCAGGCGCTGCAGCGAACGCTCGAGTTCGAGGAGGAGCTGGCGGAGCGCTTCGGGGGCACCGGTGCCGGGAAGGTCGACGAAGGTCAGCGATCGAATTTAAGCATGCCCGCTGTCTACCCCAAAAATGGGGCGTGGACGCTGCTTGTGTACTGGTCGATCGGTCTGCCGACTCAACGACCTTCATGAGATTTGTCTCCTGGCTTTCCGCTGTCCTCGTTGTTTTCATAGTTTCCAACCTCCCGCTATGGCGTCCATGAAGAAAGGAAGTCTCTCCACAAGTGCCAGAGGCTAGAGGTCGATCGGCATGCTTGCAGTCGGCAGCAGTTGAAGCAGGTGAAGCGCAGTCCTCATACGGGTTCACCTCTGCTGATCAGATGCTCAAGCAATGCACATCGGTTCGATCGCACTTTGAGGATATTACCCGCTCTTAGCGAGACTTGCATGTTACCTGCTTTTAGCGAAATTTAGCATGTCCGTGTTTTCGGAGCAGAGGGTGGCGGTACGGACGAGGAGGGCGACGAGGACGACGGCTCGAACGCGGCGCAGAAGGTGAAGGGCAAGTACCGGAAGCAAAACGAACCAGGGGAGGGCGAAGAAGGAGAGCGGACGTTGGCGCACGTAGTGAGCGGACTCATCGATGGCTCTACCGCGTTGTTTTCAGTCGTTGTTTGCACCTTGGGTCGTCCTTGCGTTCCCGGCTCACCAGTGACACGCTGTCCGAATCCTCAAGTAAAAATGGATCGAAAGGTTTGTGTAAAGTAAAGAAACAGCTCTGTCGGCCGCAACCGTCTCTTACAAGAACAGAACAACAAGCGCAAGCGCCTGGTCAGGATTTTCGAGCTTCTTCCGCCTTGCACCGCAACACCTAAAGGATCCCCTTTCGCTCCTCTGCTTGAACTTGCGCCAGCAGCATTGCTACTCTGTGCTGGACCCGATTCCAATTTCAATCAGCGGCGGCAAACGCCCCTCTTCTCATGTCTCTTCTATTCAGGATTTGTGAGCAATTAGTAAGAGGAAGCTCCTGATTTGGCACTGAAAGCATAAGCCTCGATATAACCTGCTCCGTGCTTGTACCCAGCTTAATACCAGGGTAACTCTACCCGTTCCAGCTGGCGAGCTTAGGGTTTCGAACGGTTACTACTCAGGTGCTGAAGCTTGATGTTTTCCTTCCCCAGGCAGGCCTGCCGTTCAGTTTCCGGGGCACCATCTCGTCGTGCTTCGAGCCGTACATGGGCGTCTACGTGTCGCTCGAGGAGACGACGCTGCTAGAGCTGGTGGACAAGCAGATTGCGGACGAGACGTGGGAGGCGGAGCCGGGCAGCCAGTCCAAGATCCTGCCCAGCAGCGCGCAAGTCTTCCTGCACATCAAGAAGAGCCTCAAGCGCTGCACCGCGCTCACGCGCAGCCAGACGCTCTTCAACCTGTTCAAGGTAAGGGCCGCCCTGTGGAGTTGATTGGTTTTCGATGCAAGTACCGCGAGGCGTGCGATGGCGGGGCGGTACGAGGAGGGGCGTTCTCGTGCCTAGTCTCACTGTACAGTCTTTAAGCAGTAGGAGTGGCTGCTTCACGCGACTGAGTATCTGGTATGAAGTGGCTTGGTTTACAGAGGCCCCAGGGTTTGGTCTCACTCTGGAGTTCGGATACACAGTAAGTAGAAGAATACCTGATGAGAGCCCTCCGGCACAAGCGATAGGGAAAGCGATTGCCCAAACGAGCCGCCAGAGCCGCGGTCGATGCTCAGCTTATTAGCTCGCGCATTTTACTCCGTGGAAGATGAGTGTACCAAGAATTGTCTCTTCTTCCTTGTGCTCCATCTGCTACTGACCCCTGCGCGCCCTGGCATTCTCCGTATGCAGACGTTCCAGAAAGTGTTGAAAGCCTACGCCACAAAGCTGGGGAACCGGCTGCCAAAGACGTCCGGCAGCCTCATGGCAGCGGCCACGGGGACGGACTGGCAAGTCAAGGTGGGCCACGTGGCGAACTCCCCGCCACTCAGTACACAAAACTTCGAAAGTCGGCCTGCAGAAAGTGCTTGCATGTGCCGAATTACCTCTCCGTCTCATTCGGCCGGCAACGTCAATGACTTGCTGCCAGTTTGTCTTGGTTGGACTAGAGCCTACCGCACTTCGTGGTTTTTGAAGGTGACAGTAGTCTCGTTTAGCCAGCTGGAATTTTTGAGAGTGCGAGCGAGCGGCACGGGCTGAGCTGGCGTGTTCTGCGATGCGCAGGTGACGGAGAAGGACGAGCGGGTGGTGTGCTACATCATCAACACGGGGGAGTACTGCAGCGAGACGGTGAGCCGCAAGCTTCGTTTTTTGAGAGCCGCAAGCTTTGTTTTTTTGAGAGCCGCAAGCTTCGTTTTATGAGAGCCGCAAGCTTCATTTTATCGGAGCCGCAGCTGGAGCTAGCGGAAGTTGTGAGCCATCGCAGCGACATGCTATTTTTCGGACAGTTCCCTGCAGAAGCGTTGCTATAGTTTCCACACTGGAGTCGTGTTGGGTTCGACACGATTTTTATTCGTGTTGGGATTCCCTTCAACGCGGTTTGATTCAAGCGCTTTTGCAACCAGTGGCCTCGCGCCCTGCAAGCCCAGGTAACACAAAGTATGTTACTGAAGACTTTTGCATGTTTCCTTCTCCTGCCGACATCCACTACTTCTAACCCGCCCTTCCCACCATTCCTCGTATTCCCGGCGTTCTGTCGAGGTCGGTATCTTCCCCAACCCGCCTCCTCCTTCGTTCAAGGAGGACCTTTCTGTCGAAGTCGATTACTTCTAACCAGCCTCCTCCCCGCGCTTTCGGCCTTCTCGCGAAGTGGTTTCTTTTCCAACCCGCCTCCTCCCTCGTTTCTCGGCTTCTTGTGAGCTTTGGTTACCGTTAACCCGCTTCTCTGCCAATTTTCCGGCGCAGGCGGGCCAGCTGGCGGAGAGCGTGGCCAAGGTGGTGGACGCGCAGTTCGTGGAGCAGGTGGACGTGGGCGACGTGCAGGACGAGTTCTCGGGGGTCATCACCCGGGCGCTGTCCATTTTGGTGCTGGGCATGGAGACGCGCCTCGACCAGGAGCTGGCCGCCATGACCAAGATCGCCTGGGGCACCGTCGAGGCCGTCGGGGACCAGTCCGAGTGAGTGCGCAAAAGGGTCCGGTGTGTTCTACTCTGTTTCGTTCGGGGGTGGAAGATATGGGGATAGGGAGGACTCGTCTCGCATGTGCCAACGACTTCTCTGGCAGCGGTCTATCGCCACTTGTTGGCTTTGGCTCTCGTGATCTTTTCCTGCTGCGGGTGATTGTCGATGTTTTGAGGATTCATTCTGCGGGTTCCTTGACAGTAGCTTCCGTGAGGCTTTCATATGGGCGTCAAGTCCCATGTTTGTTCATGTTCTGTTAAAATACAGACGACGCATTTCTAGTACATTGCTGGTGTAAGCAGACTCGTAGGACTGCCAGCTGCAATCTTCGCAATGTCACAGGATTGTGGTCGATTGGGCAAAGTGGTCCTGACCCTAAGGAGCGTGTTTGCTCTTCCTTTCGCAGGTACGTGAACGGCATCAGCAGCGTGTTGTCCACCAGCGTGCCCGTCATCTCGGGCCTCCTCTCCTCGCTCTACTTCCAGTACTTCATGGACAAGGTGGGCAGCCCGTGCTGACCTCAGAAGGTCACTGCTAGCACCATAGGAGTCACAAACCCTTGATTACTGCATTGAGGCTCTTGTATTTTGCGAGTAAGAGTCCGTACAGGACATCTCGCATTTCTGGTCTTTAAATGTATTACTGGCAATATTTGGTAATTCGCATCTTTTCCAAATGATCAGGCCGCTGAGCCGGAGTGAAGAAGCCAGTTCATTGCTGCGAGATTGCGTTCTCAAACCTCACAAACACAATCAAACATCGCATTCTTGCGGTTGTCGGTTGAGGGATAGAGATACCGCTACTCATACCGCTACTCGAACTCGCTGCAGCTCGCCGCTTCCTTCGCCCCTCGCTTCTACGTCAACATCTTCAAGTGCAAGCGGATCTCTGAGATGGGCGCACAGCAGGTAAGCCACCTACACCTCCGGTCCCATGGCGCTCTTGTTTCCAGAAGGATCTTTGAATCGCTTCCAGCTTGGCCGCCTGGTCCTGTGTTCATCCGGCAGCCGCTTTGCAGAACGCTGGGCAAACCGCGAGGCTTTTCACCAGGTCGAAACAGGGTGTTGCCACTTGCTGCTTTTTCAAACTGTCCGGGTGTGAAAAGTCATCGAAGCACAGAAGATCCACTGTGTTCTGTGCAGATGCTGCTGGACACCCACGCCGTCAAGACCCTGCTCCTGGAGGTCCCCCAGCTAGGAGGCCAGGTGAGCCAGGCCACCATAGTCGACGCCGCTAACACTTTTTGAGACCCTGTTAGCACTCGGTTTGAAACTTGAGGAAGTCGCCACAGTCATGCGCGTCAAGTATGTGCTGGGCAACGATGAGGACGTTGTTCCGAAGAGCCCGGATTCTTTGTGCCCGGGACAACCGTGCTTGCTGAAGGACTTATCGTTTCTCTGCTCAGATTCCTCAATGTCAGAACGATGGGATCCAAGACGTCCATAGCGTTGTCAAAGTCATCGACGCTGGTTCACCAATTGCGCTCGTCCACCCACAAGAGCGCGGGAGCACCCCTGCTGACTGGCCGCGCTGGCCCCGTGCGTGCAGTCGTCGGTCCCCGCGAGCTACAGCAAGTACGTCACCCGCGAGCTGGGCCGCGCGGAGGCGCTGCTGAAGGTCATTCTGGCGCCCGTGGAGGCCGTGGCGGACACGTTCCGGGCGCTGCTCGCGGACGGTTCCGCGTCCGACTTCCAAAAGGTTCTCGACCTAAAGGTATGGATTGAGGCTAGAATTGCCGCCGAGCTGGTTCCGAAAGTTGCTCGAGGACACAAGAGAGCGGTTGCGTTGAGCCAGAACGGTTGAGTGGTTGGGCTGGCGCAGATGCCTGAGGAGTAAAGGCAGCTGCCGGTTTGGCTGCATCGTTCCACCATCGAAGGAATTTTGCTTTCGTCCTGTCTGAAGACACTCTTTGCGTACAGCAGTTGCTTCTTATTGACAGTTCGGGTCACTTTTCTATATGGGCCAACGAAACGGATTCAAATCGGGCTTCTCGGGAGCGGATTGTCTTGCACGTCCTCGTTTGGGACTGAGCACCTTCGTCATGGCATCCAGCACGCCGTAGCAAATCGTGACTTCTTCACTGCAGGGTCTCAAGAAGAACGAGCAGCAGCCGCTGCTAGACCAGTTCAACCGCCGCGTTGGGTCCTCCTCTCCCGCTCCGTCTACTGCTACTGCACCCCCCAGTCAGTCGTCGCCCCTGGTTCCGACGTCATCAGGGGCAGCTGCTTTTGCCCAGTCTGCCCGGCCCGCCATGGAGAAGGCAGCCGCCATCGGGCGGGGCGCAATGGCGCAATCTGCCGCTGCAGCTGCAGCCGCCGTGTCGAGCAATAGCCTCAAGCGCATCTTCGCGCTTGCGGATGCGGCCAAGGACAGCACCGGGAAAAAGGAGGGGACCTTTAGAAACCTGTTTAACAAACAGCCTCAACCTGGGATGAAGTGACCGAAGCGTCCCAAGGTGCGAAGTCGAAGCCACCCGCCAGTCTCACGGAGGAGTCCATCGCGCTCATATTCTCACCATCACCACCTTCACTATGGCAAGCCAATCATCAATAGCGTCGCTTGTCGCTTGACTCTGCTCAAAGATAATGTGATGGGCCAATTGCATGGCTAATCTGTCCGTTCACCAGACGGTCGATGAAAATCTTACAGGCTTAGGTCTAAGTGGACTTGACCCGACGTTGCCACATGTTATAAATCGCCGACTTGCAAGAATGTACGTGTCGCTTATGTGAGTCATGCATTCACTATACCTTCGATCTGAGGTTTAGTACATGTCAATTAAGCAGTTGTTGACCGGGTCCCAATTTGATTCCTAAATATATGGCCACATGCAAAAGTTCATGATCCCACGTCTAACCAAGGATGCATGTGTACGTCATGCGCCAGGCGTCGCGATCGTACATTCACAGCTATACACGAGGGTTCATATACATAGTACAAGTTGATTGTTCGTTTGTGCATGAGGTGTCGGATAGGTTTCGTTAATTTGTCGCATGTGGCGTGGCATGCCACCCTGTACATAACAATCAGATGGCACATGGTCCGCAGTCTCAATCTTGATCTTGCGCGCATGTCATAGGCATCCGCAACCAGGCTTTGTTAAATAACGACGGCAGTTCACTTCAACATCGAATGCCTGCTGGATTTCACTGCATTGATGCGAAGCAGGCGAAATAGCAAATATCAATCATGAGTGCATCTGACTCTGCATGAGCTGCTTTGCAACATGCAATTACTATCATCAAAAATTAGTCAACCATGTATATGTGAGAATTCTGCCTAAGGACTTGGCATCAAACCAATACTATCTATCAGTTTGCAATCAAGATCATCTCAGTGATGCAAGGAAAACGAAGCTGAAAGAGGCATAGCACTTTGTCAATTGCTGATAGAGTTGAAAAAGGCAGTGCAACAAAACAAGAAGGTGGATGTAATTAGATTGAATACTATTGTACCGCAACCAAATAAGAAAGGCGTTCTTGGATCTACTGCTCAGCGAACAAATGCAAGACTGTCAACAGCCCACCAGATTAGAACAAGTCAAGCTCGACACAGGACACTTCATCATCTAATGGAGTTTGGCTCTACTAGGCAAGCCAGGCAACTACAATGCTGTTTCTGCAAGATCCTTCAATGGTGAGTCTTGAAGTGAACTCTTCTAATAACTTATGAAAACCAAGTCTCCTAACTCAACGGGGACAGCCGCTAATGCCACACCATAAGTTGGGCCTCTTGTACAAGAGAGATTAGAATAATTCCACAAGGCAACTACTTTTCCAAAACTGACCGCACCCATTTGATTGAAGCGTTTCATCAGCTCCTTTGCTCCTTTGCATATTTCATACTGGATCGGTATGGTCAGGAAACTTGATGGAGAGCCCCCACATTGTGTCCAAAAAGATACAGCTTGAGGATCTCTCAAGAGTCAATTCCAAGGGCGTACCTCCCATCTTCTTCCTTTGAGACAGTGTGCAAGACCAGGTCCGACAGGTCGTGGCCCCAAATCCCATACTGACCTTCTGTTGTGTCCCTGTTCATCATGCCTGGGACATGACCCGCGACCTCTGGGCTCGTCCTGTCTTCCTCGGTGTAGATCCGCTGGTACAATGCTGAAATGGCGTGCGCTAGCGCAGCCCGCGTGAAGTGTTGTGCACCGTCAAAGGGCTTGACCTCAAATTCAAACTCATCTTTCAGCGGGTAATCTGCAATTACACGGATGCTGCTCTCATTGATCACCACTTCCTCAGCATCTCTCAGGTTGGCTATGTCATTGGTGGGGTCTGCCAAGGAAATGTAAGGAGAAGTTTCATCAGGCTCATTAGGACGGACCACTTGAAATTTGATATCCGCCATCTTAACTACCGTAGGTAATTTAAAAGCCAAGACCTTGCAATTACTTACTGGCCTACACCAACTGAGAAGCTTGAAGCAAACTTGACGAGATTTGAATGAAGTATCTACAGTCTTCTAAGTTTTGTTTGCAAGGACTTCTTCATTTTATCAGCCATCTTTCAGAGACTGAGGGCACCAGTGGCAGGAGTAATAGAACGCTGGAGCCTGGCCTAGCACAAGAGATCACATACGTAGTTTAGGCTGACCCTGGATTGACCAGCTGGGCGTTTAGCAGTTCGGTGCATGACCTTCTGCTGACGGCACGAAGAACGGCTTTACCTGCTTCCACAGCCAGGCAGGAAAAGCCAGCCTTTCTAATGGGTATTAACCCTCACAACTTCAAGAGCCGGTTCCTCGTCTAAAGCAGTCTTTTGTGAGAAATTTATCGCACCGATTGCGAAAAAGCTCCACTGCGGGTGTGGTCGCTTGAAGGTAGGTAATACAGGGTTTGTTCCTGGCACGAGATCTGCAAGGCTGCTCTGTGAGCAGTGCTGTGCTTTGTGGGTATGCTGTGTGCGGTATGCTGACATTTAGGTCAGTAGGTAGAAGTTTCAGAACCCCTTCTGAACAGCTTTAGAGGGCCATAGGTGGTGACGGGAATGGGCGCGGACTCGACTTTTAACTGCCACCGCTCACAAGCTAGCACCAGCGAGCCTTTTTGGTAACGGTCGACCATCGATGGCTGCCCGCCATCTCCTCGGCGTCCTTCGGTCGCTGACGGCAAATCCTGGGGAGCATCTGTCTCATGCTGCTGCGGCCCGAGCATATGCTTCTTCTGCTCTGCTGCGCACCAGCCCCGCCTCCGCCTTTCTAGGCATCCAGTCTGCCTGGGATCGAGCGTTCAGCACGGACAATGCGTCGAGCAGTGCGCAAGGGTTGGGAGCAAGAGAACGGCGGAGAGCCAAAGAACGTTCTCGCACAGCTGTCCAGCCAGGAGGGGTCAAAGAGCGCGTCCCTTTTGAGCTGCAAGAGGGCGGCGGCAAAGGCGATCAGGACCTGGACCTTCAGGAACCGACGGGGATCTTTCACATCTACGACCGCGAGGAGCCGAATGAGAAGGACGAGGACGATCCAGGGGTGCCGTGGGGAACGATCTCGCTGACGGGGCCGCCGCCGGACTACCTGTCGCCCAGTCTGAGCACCAAATCGAAGAATGCAATCTATGCAGCGTACAAGGAGGACCCGAGCGAGAAGACGGTGGCCAAGCTGGCGGCCGACTATAAGATCCTGAAGCAGCGTGTGCAAGTAAGAGAATGAATCCCGTGCCTGTTCGAATACGAGCTCCTGTGCTGTCATGGCATTCCACAGGCTAGCCGAACCAGCCCCGAATGCTGACACCTCGCTAGTGGTTCCTCGCTTGTGCTTTCCAGACAAACAGCAGCTTCTCTGTGATTCTCCGAAGGAGCCCCAAATGCTTCTGCGAGCCCCAAATGCTTCTGCCTAGATGGTGGCTGCACCGCCACGGGTTTGGTCATTCAATGTGCTATTCCAAAGGTGCCACTCTTTGTCTGAGCATTCCTGGAAACACAGTACCTCTAGTCGATCTGCAGTTCATCAGCAGATTAGCCGCCCCATCAATTTGACACTCCCTATTGCTGTTTCTGTGTCAAAAGTATCTCGGGTTTTGCTGCTTTCATAAGGCACTCTTCGACTTTGCCAAGCTTGGGCCAGAATGACTTTAGAACACCATTTGGGCGTTCTCTGATTGGTATGGCGACCTTCTTGGATTAGTACGGCTACCTCAGAGAGACAAAAAGCGTTCTCTACGTTGCAGGCCATTCTTTTCTTGAAGGAACGGGAGGAGGTTTGGGAGAAGGAGGTCCTGGAGAAGCAGGACGATGAAACCAAGGAGATGTTCAAGGAGATGGATGAAGTGTTTGACTCGTAAGCCACCAATCAACTGTGTCAGCTTCTTGGGATTTTATTGGGAAGAAGTTGGTAGTGTTGTGGCCATGGTCATGGCCTGGTTAAAGGAAGCGTAGTATCGTCATATGAGAACCATAAGGCTGCCCTGCTTTTGCACAGTAAGTACTTTTGTGTGTCTTGACTAATGAAAGAGTGATTTTTCGTAGCAGACCTTTGAAATGCAAGGTACATGCGAATTGAGAATTGCTATTGTTGTCTGAAAGATCAGCTTGATAAGATACTTCTCTTCTCCCTTATGAATTGTGCACCTTTCTGAGTGCTTTCGTGCACTAGGAGCAGCTGGGGCAGCGCCTTAGGGGCATCTGGGCGTAAAGTCTTGCTGTTATCGGTTCGCTTGTATTGTCGTCATGGCCAAGAATTAGAAGGTTGGCAAGAAGTGGGGTTCCTGCATGACCGATTGCCTTAAGTGTCCGTCCGGTTTGAATACGTTCTCGAAGTTAGTTGTCAAAGTCGGCTCTGATTGTGGACAAGACATGATTGACCTTCGAACAGTCACAGAAGAACGAACTCGGGCTTTGCTTCATCGTTTCAAAGGATGGCTCGAAGAGCTAACGCCCAACACGACACTCCGCTGCAGGGAGGCGTCGGAACGAGGCGGAGGTGAGCGGTTGTGGCTGCCGATGGCCACTCGGATGAAACCAAAACTGGTGGTCGAGAACGACGAGTACGAAGCGGACGCCGTCGTATCGACCAGCGGCATGTCGTGGGATAAGGCCTCGGAGCGCTACGAGGGGATCGAGTACCTGGAGTTTCTGGAGCGCCTGCAATTCAACCGGAGACTGGTGAGCGACGCCGCACTTTTTGACTTTGCACGTCTGTTGCCTGGTTCTTGGAAAGTGAGCAGAACATTCACTTCGGAACTTGCAGGGTGCTTCTTGACTGTGCTCTTGTACATGACGCTCTAGTAAGTATGGTGTGCCCTTTGTCGAACGGATCGGGAAGAGGTATCTGATGGGGCTGTCTCGGAAGCCCACTACCGAAGAGCTCGGAATCCGTTGAATCGAGGGTATCCAAGTGTACCTATGTCGAGCCCCTTACGGCGACGACACAGAAGCTGAACTCCGCTGTTTCCAACTCGGGTGGTTCCCTGATCTCATCTCTTACGGCTCTGTTCTCTCTTACAGGGCGAAGTCAAAGCAAAAGCAGAGGACCGGAAGCGACCGGATGAGGGGTGGACGTTTCTGATTGAGGAGCTAGGCAAAGAAGGGAAGAGAGGAAAGGGCGGGGGAAAGCGCTTCGTCGCAAAAGCGGATGGGACCCGCAGGCCGCTGAACGACCTAGAGAAGCTGATGATGAAGAGGGAGACGCCCAAACGACGGAAGTTTGACTTCTTGTGAGGGTTGTGAGGCTGACCTGGACGAACGGGACTGGGTTTGATCGTTACAATTAGTCTCCGATTAGTCTGCCAGTGCCACGTTCATCACTTTCATTGCAGTTCCGTACCTCGAAGGTGCAATTGTTGCGGAACTCATTCCGCAAGTTCTCACCCGCTGTGGGCTGGATTGAAGGTCGATTGGCCTGGACGCCACACAACGCGCATTGAGCAGTACAATGCGAATGTATTGCTGTGGCCAATATTAGGAAAACAGTGAAGCTGCGTTGTTCAGAGTACTAATTGCTGGCTTAACTTAACACTGTGACATGCAGAGTCTGACGCCGTCATTCGGGGCACGGCGCCCACAGATGACGTCTTACTACAGATGTGCGGATAATCGATGCAAATGTCCAACGTTTGCGTGCTCATGCGTTTGCTTGAGCCGGTTGCAATCGGCAAAGGGTGCAGTGCATGCGAACATGCATGGAGCAAAGATCGCCGTGGCCGCCAGTGACTCAGAGCTGCGGGTGTGCACACAATCCTCGCTACATACTTTGCGCCATATCAACCACCGCACCATTGACGTGCAATCGCAGTGACAGCATACACCACTCAATCCAAGATTTGCTCGATCTCTTGCAATGCATGTCCACGGTTTGGTCCAGCAAACTCGTGGACGTCATCAACTTGCATGTAGAGGGCCTGTGGACGCCGTGGCAATCAGCTCTTGCCAACCGAGACGGTACGCCCGCATAAGCCCATCCGCTTACATTATTTCGAGGAGACTTGTGAAGAATCGACAACCATTGCATGACAGGTGCGGTCTATACGCGATGCCCAAAACACCACTTGTCGCACCCTCCGCCTGCATCTGACGGGCATCTAACCTTTACACCGACTCGGTGCATGCGTGACGATCTTGTTTGTGCTGCACTGTTGCACATAAATGATTAAGAACATACGAACCTGGACGAGATCGGCCAAGATGGCGCATACCCTTTCGTGCCTTGATGCCTTGCAGCTTATCGGCCATTTTCTCTCATCTAGCTGCACCCTTTGCTGATGAACGGTGGTGCAAAACCGTATGTGCGACAGCAAAACAGTACCAGTGATTGTTGCTTACAAACTCTGATCGACTCACAAAGAGAGTGTACCACGTCGCACCTTTCAGAACTGCCATGAGTACGCTGTCAAAGCCTAATTTCCCGAATAGGAGCACTGCCTCCGGTGTCCAGAAGCCCAATCCTTAACCTGCAGGATTTGGAGGAGACAGATTCGTGCACGCTTCTCCCCAATGGGCGTCCATAAACGGCAAGTAAGGCTCTACGGAGTTTGGACCCAAGAGATAGAAACACGTGCTTCATCGCGCTTGCCGCAAGGCACTTGGTGAGTTTGATACGTGATGCGGAGTTTGGTGCGTGCTCACCTGACACTTTTTGGAGCAGTAGCGAGCCGATCCACACCTGCCGCATTTGTGGAAAGTATTCTTGCTCTCTTCGACGACTTTGCCCTCGCATCCCTGCAGACGAACAGTCACGGAGTTTGGCAAGAGATACGGATACAATAAGAGCAGCGCATACTGTGTGCACAAATGCAGATTCCTGGACAGGTCTGGCAGACGCTTAGAGAAGTCCGGTTCGCCGCCTCAACCATACCGGCTCAAGGAAAGGCCGTAAAAAAGTTGAAAGGGGCGTCGTTTCGAGGCCCCTCTCTTGAACGTAGGTATTCATAATCCGTTCGTAGCAGTGCGGGGGCAGACCACCTGTACGCATGTACGCAACTGGACGGTGTCGCGTTGTTCCGCGTAAAGGCAGATGAGAAGACCCGCTCTTCGCGGCTCACCGGATTGCTGCACGCCTTCAGACGAAACCCGCGCGCCAATTCCTTCCAAAGCCTGCCAACCGCTGCCTCCAGCTGGACCCACGTGTCCCTGGCCGCTTCGGACGGCGCCACTCTCCGCAAAGCGCGCAGGACCCGCAACACGTCCGCGCAGGCGGCCGCGGCCCCCGCGCGCGCGGCCTCCAGCAGCGTGTCCTTGCGCAGCGCCGCCGAGGTCTCCGGCAGGCTGTCCAAGGCGTCCAGAACGGTGGCGAGCAGCTCCATTAGGTTGTTGTGCGCGACCTTCAGCTCGCAAATCATGTCTAACGACGCGGCCGCGTCGCTCGCGCGAGAGCGCGGCGGATCCGAGTCGTCCACGCGCCGCGGCCCGAAGACGGCCGTGAGGCTGCCGGGCACCAGGCGCAGGGAGTGCACGACGACTTCGATCTGCGGCAGCACCGCGCACTGGACCACCACCCGGTTGCGGCAGCACGCGTGCAGGACGGATAGGATCGCCGACGTGACCCCGAAGAAGCTCGTCTCGGAACGCACCGCGTGGCGCAAGTGCTCCAGCGCAAGGCGGCTGAGCAAGCGGTGCCCCTTGTTGAACACCCCGCTCACGTTCACACATGGCCCGGCTGTCGTAGCCGCCGGCGTCAGGGGGATCCCCCTCGCTGCTCGGCCGCCACAGGTACTCCTCTGCATCAACGTCTGTGCGCTCTGCAGCTCCCTGCCAGGGGCCCCTGTCGCCGAACAGGAGCGCAAAGGTCTTGAGATTGCTCAGCGTCACCCAGCCGATGGATGACGTGGCCGTGAAAGGAAACAGCTTGATGGCGGAGATGGCCAGATCGACGTAGAGGATCTGCATCCGCTCCAGGAGCTCCCGCCGGCGTGCAATCTCCATATGCGACAGCAGGCCTAGCACGTGGTTCATCGCTTCTTCCACCAGGGATCCCCCGCGCGAAAGCAGGTCCTCGCACCACTGTAGAAGCCGCACGCCTGTGGTGAGAAACAGCTCGCGCGAAGACCGCTCCTTCTCGTCCAGCTCGGGGAGCACGGCCACGAGAAGGTTGACCCCGCCTAAGATGACCGCAGCCTCCTTGTGCTCTCTTTGTGTCGCCGCTCTTGCCGCCTGAATGTCGCTCACTTCAGAAACAGTCAGCGCGAGGATCTTGAAAACGTTGTCTACGAGCCCCTCGGCCACAAGCGCCTCCGCGCTCGCACGCGCGCACCCTTCCAATCTCTCTGCACCTGTTTGGAGGAGGGACCCCGCCTGCTTCCACTTCTTCCTCTGGACGAGCGCAATCGCCTCATGAAAGTCTACCCTGTTGGCGGCGCCTGGCGAGCTCCTTTTGCGTGAAAGGAGCTCGCGAGAAAGGAGCTCCGCCTTCTCGCCCTTCTCGAGACTCAGTTCTTCCAGAGCACTGTGCAAGAAGGCGACCCTGTCGCCTAAGCGTGCCAAGATATGGGGGCGCACAATTGCGTGAGAGTTCAGATATGGGACCATCTTCTGGTTCACCACCCGAGTGAAGAGCTCCAGCCTCATCTGGATCCCCGGAAGCTCTTTCAGGCCTCGCTCGACAATGATGCAAAGAAGGCGGCCGCCGATGTCGAGTAGAGTCTCGAGTGTAAACGGACCGAAGTCGGGAGGCATTGCCTCCCGGAGAAGGCTGTCCCAGGTCTGGTCGACGAAGGAGAACAGATCGGCGATCCACACCCCGGTCGCCGCCCCCGCAGCGTTTTGCAGGATGGAGTCCGGGAAAGCGTGCAGAGCGAAGACGATTTGCTGGATGCTGAAGGCAACGCTCGAGAGCTGGCGGAAGCCTGAGACACGGGCCACTCCAGCTCCCACTTCCGGCGGAAGATTGCGAGGAACTGGCGGAACAGGTCCGGGATTCGCGCGGAATCCCGGAAGTGCGGGCTGGCCTTGAGCAGGTTACATGTGAGGAAGGCGAAGTTGAACTCAATGTTCCGGGCGGAGTCTTGCTCGTTGGGAGGGCATGGCGTCAACGCAATCAGACGGTTGACGAAGCGGCAGAGGCAGGGCACAATCTCGGAGCGGCCCAGCTGTAGAGCAACGAAAGGCTTGTCAGATTCTCGCCACAAATTGGACATTGATAGTACGAGGAAAAACGACGTCGTAGAAAAGCTTGCAAGGAAAACATAGTGGTGCAACCCGTTTGATTGCTACAAGTCTGTAACAACCGGCGTCTTGCCGGTTCTCATCTATCACCCTCGAGAATACACTTCTGAGCTTCGCATCGCCGTTACGAACACGTGCTCCTTAAAGCTAAGAGCCGTGAACTTGGTAATAAGAACCTGTGAAACAAAGCGAGGCATGTCATTTGGAGAATTCAGAAACAAGATATGGAGCATTACATGCTCGGAAAATTCATCAACGCTGCTGAGCTTTGAAATGCACCGCAGGTGAGCCTCCAATCGGTGATTGCTCCTTGCTTCGTCCAAACGATCCAACAGGGCCTTTACAAAAGTTTCATTCTTTAGAAGGTGGGTGACCTGTAAACAAGGAAAACCGGGGTGTCGGCAGTGCAACAAATCTACCGCGTTTCACGTGATTGATACGACCATGATCGTACATCAAACCTTAAAGCTTCATACTGGATGCAAATCGTAGAGGACAAAGAAGCCTGCAAGCCCGCAAAATAAAACTATGATCAAAACTGACAAAACCCTAGCATGAAGAATATGATGACGGGCGTTTTCTGGAGGACAAAGAGGCCTGCGACTCGTATCACCTCGAAATGCTGGATGAAAGAACACGAGCAGTCACATGAATATCAATGGTGCTTTCCGCTCCAACTTACTGCTTTGAACTCCGTTGAGGGTTTGACTTTCATCTGGTTCTGCTCCTTTTCTGAGATCACACTCAGGGAGCCAAGCGTGTCAGCGACGCGAGTGAAGTCTTCCAGGGCCTTAGAAGCATCCTTTGAAAGGGTGTCTTCAATCTGCTTCACCAGGCCAGCCACAGCCTGCACACGAAGCAACCAACACAAAGTTTGCTCCTACGAACTAGAAGCAATATTATTATGCTACCCGGATCCTTGGGCTAAACAACATGATCAGAAGGTGGTGTTTGATGATCGGCTGCACAACCGAGAACTCTCTCACATGTCTCAATCCTTCTTCAATTTCATTTACGCAGATTTATGGACGTCATGAAGCTTCAAGCACACTTTCTCAAGCAGCGGAAGCGGGCCGTAAAATGAATTCTGTATGCATGGCTTACCTTCCTTTTCTTCGACATTCTGGCGGCGAATCCTTCTGACGCTCCTGCTGCTGTGGCCTTGATTCTCTAGTGCCGCTTCCGTCTTGCATATGCAAAAAGGAGCGCCTCGCTACAACCCTGAAAAGCCGGTGGACAGGGACTTGGACGTGATCTTGACTGCGACCCTGGAGGCTGGAGGCTGCTGAGGACCGCAACTAGGAGCCTCCAAAAGCGTCCGTAGAGGTTTCGAAAGACTTCAGGACCCTGCTTGGTTGACAATCGATCGATCCAGTTGACGGTACAAGTGGGAAGCAAAAGCTAGCCTTGATGAGTCGACGTGACGATTCGACGTGACGATGCATCCTTCTCACGGCTACAGTAGTCGAAGCCTACGGCACAGACGCTCGCTTCTTCGCTTTCTTTGACTACCATGATTGCGCTGTCGTCGTCACGTCATGTCAATCGACTTTGTAATCTTACTTTGTGCTCCGCATCTTCCTCCTCGAGTAGACCGATCTTACAGCTTCTCCCGATCAACCTGCCAAATTTAGTGTCATCTAATCTACACTAATTTCACTCTATCTCAGACTGACTAAGTTAGTATGAAATCTCCACTAAAACTAGCAGGTTGCTCGGAAGAAGCTGTACTAATATCACGAGAAGAGACTGGAACGATGACCTTGGATTCCTGACCGTCGAGACCAAGCTGCAGAGGATTTCCAGATTAAACCAGTCCTTTTGGCACACCTTGACTGATATTAGCATACGTGCCACGTCTTCAGATTGGATACTCAAAAGATCCACGTTTGCATCAGATGCCACAATGTGACGTGACAAGCCCAAAGGCCCGAGCAACTCTTAATTTGACTCGAGACTTTGAAAGGTATACCATGTCTTTCCAATGCATTTTGACCTCTTCGTCTGGAAAGTAGCGGGAGGCGCTTCTTTCTCCAGTTTCAGGACTTCTTGAAAGATGTGTTCAGCCGCAACAAGAAGATAGCGTAGGAGCAGATTAAGAGACGGGAGCGACGTTTGCAGAGCGGATCGGAGCTCTTCACAGATAAGGCTACGGCAGCAGGCCGAGCCGCAGGAGAATCTACCGCCAAAATGGCTAAGAAAACGAAGGTGAGCTATGGATACCGTAATTTTCTTACAGCTCGAAGATTCTGGCGCTTAAGGTTCAGTCTATTCTTGAATCTTCGTGATATACATCCATGTCTTTGCAAGCAAAGGTTGGGGAGTTCTTTTGATATGATGTGACCCGGGACATCAAGTTTGAGGTCTGCCTGCACTTCTCAGCCGGTGTTCACACGAAACTGGGGCACTATACCACATCTCCCGCGCTTATCTCGTGTCTTGTTTGATCCGTGTGCAGCGCGCTGTGGCTGACTTGGTGAATCATATTGAAGATATTTTCGAAAGGAATGCTCTAGAGGGCCAAGAGGAGTTCAGCGGCATCGTTGACAAGCTTGGGTCATATCCAAGTGCCATCTCAGAGGAGGAGCAGAACCAATTGAAAATCAAGCCCTCAAAGGAGTTCAAAGCAGTAAGTTGAAGCAGAAGTGAGAACCTTGAAATTCTGCATGTGACCGCTTGTGACCCTTCATTGAGCACTTAAGATAAAGACGAGTGATACCATCTATTTATCGGCCAAGTCACGTTGCCTATCCTTCTTGCATGTTCGGTCCTTGTCAACCTTGAGCAGGTTCTCATTATTGCGCGTTTGTATTCTCTGGTGTCTGATCCAGAAGAATCGATTGCTTTACAATCAGCCCTTTTGACACTCTTTTGCGTACCTGTACAGATCACCCGTTTGCTGAAGACAGAAACATTTGTAGAAGCCCTGTTGGGTAACCTGGACAACGCCACCAGCAACCACCAGCTGGAGGCTCACCTGCGGTGTGTTACGAAGCTTAGCAGCGTTTTCAACTTTGCAGAGCAGGTAATGCTTCAAATCCTACTCTGTAGGATCTATTCCTATGCATGTCTGCGTAGAACCTCCAGATCACCACTCCAAAACTCCTCGACTTGGAAAGAAGATTCGCGCAAGCGGCAACGCGAAGCTCAGGACTCGAGTCTCTCTTTCTATGAAGACACATTTTCAAGGGTCACGGACCGCAACCCGCAAGAGGCCTTACGTTAACAGAGGTATTCGTAAACAAGATGCACCACCAGAAAAGACTCGTCAGAAGCTCTTCGACGAACGTTCCCTGAGCCCTGCTGGCAGTCATACCCGGGTCCAGGGACGAACTCTGATTTGCCTGTCGTCGGTCTACAGCTAGGCCGCTCCGAGAGTGCGCCCTGCCTTCTGCGGTTGGCCGACCGACTGATCGCGCAGACGCCATGCCCTCCCGAAGAGCAAGAGTCCGCCCGAAACGTCGAGTTTTACTTCGCCTTCGTCACGAGTAACCTGCTCAAGGCCAGCCTGGACTTCCGCGAGTCCGGGTGCATCCCGGACCTCGTCCACCAGTTTCAAGCAGTTTTCCGCCGGAAGTGGGAATTGGAGTGGCCCGGTGTCACAGGCGTCCACCAGCTCTCGAGCGTCGCCTTCAGCATCCAGCAAGTCGTGTTCGCTCTGCAAGCATTCGCGGAGTCCGTTCTGCAAAGCGTGGCGCAGGCGGTGACCGGGGAGTGGATCGCCGACCTGTTTTGCTTCATTGACCAGACGTGGGACAGACTTCTCCGCGAAGCAATGCCGCCAGACGTCGGTCCCGTCACGCTCGAGACTCTGGTTGACAGCTGCGGGCGGCTGCTTGTTGTCCTTGTCGACGGAGACTTCAAGGAACTTCCAGGGGTCCAAACGAGGCTGGAGCACTTTGCTCGTGTGGTGAACCTGAAGCTGATTCCTCGTTTGAAATCAGACATAGTCGTCAGCCCCCATATCCTGCCACGCGTGGGCCATAGAGTCGCATTCTTGCTCGGTGCTTTGAAAAGCCTTTCTCTCGAGAAGGGCGACGAAACGGAGGGGGAAAGAAGCTCGCCAGGCGCTGGCAACACGGTGGACTTTTCTGAGGCGATCGCGCTTGTCCAAAGTGGAAATTGGCAACAGGCGGGATCCCTCCTCAATTCCACCGCAAGAAGGTTGGAAGAGCATGGCACGCGCGCACGAGCGGAGGCGCTGGTGGCCAAAGGCTTCGTGGAAAGCGTTTTCAAGATTTTGGCGCTGGCTTTGCCCGAAGAGAGCGTCGATCGAACGGCCATCGCGGCGACAGAAGGACGGTCCCAGAAGTCTGCGTTCATCTTAGGCGGGGTCAACCTTCTTGTGGCCGTGCTTCCAGAGCTGGACGAGACGAAACCGTCTTCGCGAAAGCTGTTCCTCACGACAGGGGTGCGGCTTCTGCAGTGGTGCGAGGACCTGCTTTCGCGCGAGGGATCCCTGGACGAAGACGCGATGAACCGCGTGCTGGGCCTGCTGACGCAAATGGAGATCGCACGTCGGCGGGAGCTCTCGGAGCGGATGCAGATCCTGTACGTCGATCTGGCCATCTCCGCGATCAAGCTGTATCCCTTCACGGCCACGTCGCACATCGGCTGGGCGACGCTAAAGAACCTCAAAACCTTCACGCTCAAGTTCGGCGAGAGAAGCCCAGGGCGGGGAGCTGCAGAGCGCACCGACGTCAATGCAGAGGAGTACCTGTGGCGGCCGAGCAGCGAGGAGGATCCCTCCGACGCCGGCGCCTACAACAGCCGGGCTATGTGGAACATGAGCGGGGTGTTCAACAAGGAGCGCCGCCTGCTGAGCCGCCTCGCGCTGGAGCACTTGCGCCACGCGGTGCGTTCCGAGACGAGCTTCTTCGGCGTCGCGGCGGCGATTCTGTCCGTCCTGCACGCGTGCTGCCGCGACCGGCTGGTGGTCCAGTGCGCGGTACTGCCGCGCATCGAAACTATCGTGCACTCCCTCCACCTGGTGCACGGCAGCCTCGTGGCCGTCTTTGGGCCGCTCTGCGCGGACGACCCGCCTCGGGAGCCCGGGCGCGACGAGGCCGCGACGTTGGATATGATGTGCGAGTTGGAGGTTGCGCATGATGACCTGACGGAACTGATCGCCACGATCTTGGACGCCTTGAAAAACCTGCCGGGACCAATGGTTATCGTGCGCGATGGCACGCTGCTGGAGGCCGCGTGCGCGGGGGCCGCGGCCGCGTGCGCGGGGGTGCTGCGGGACCTGCGCGCTTTGCAGAGAGTCGCGCCGTTCGAAGCGGCCGAGGAGACATGGGTCCAGCTGGAGGGCGCTCAAATTTGGTCTGGAGGTGTGCCATAATTCGGTGAGCAGGTCAGAGCGTCTGCTGATTTGTCCTTAGGCGGACCAGCGCGACAGGACACTGATGCGTTTGCGAGATTCTTAAATTTACACAAGTTCCTGCAAATGAAGACGTTCGGCTTCTGAATTGAGGGGTCAAAGGCAACATCTCAACCACCGGGGAAAGGTCTGGTTTCAAGTTGTATGTAAACCTTCCCTTGAGCGCCCCTGATGTATTTCGCGAAGCGGACAGTCGGTTTTGAGCGGTGCAACCGTACATAGAGATTGCACCTGCCGCATTTGCATCTCCTGCCCAACGGCGGGAAACTTTTCTCTGCAGAGATGCATGGGCAAGATCGTCGAAGAAAGCAAGAATACATTCAGCAAATGCGGCAAGTGTGGTCTGGCTCGCTACTGCTCGAAAGAGTGTCAGGTGAGCACGTCCCTGCAAAACATCAGGCTTTTGATATGTGATGAGAAACTGAACAGACTCGAACAAGCCCGGTTCCCAATCGCGCATCGTGAAAACGGGTTTGCCCTTTGAAGACGCCTGATCATGACGAAGAACTATGCTAACTGACCTTGGTTGTGTATTGACTCTGCAGGTCCTGGATTGGGCTTCTGGGCATCGGGGGCAATGCTCCGGTCGGACCAATTAGTAGTTTACAGCGTACTTACGACGACACCAAGGGGACATGAAAGTGGCCGTACACTGTTCTAGAGGAATTGGATTGCTTCTAGAGTCTCATCAATGTGCGGCGACTTTGGGCGCATGCATGGCGCTTCACCGTGCCTGTTCTCTTTTTGGCCGGCTTTGCATTCCGTAACGCTTTCTCTGCGACTCGGAAATAGATTGGATGTACGTAGGCTCTTTCTGAACGCAGCTGCTCGTAATGTGTGTACGTGGGCTCTGCAGCGGCAAGCCCTTGCCAGAGCAATCTGGCAGGGCTGGCCGCCACACATAAACGGGCTGGATTATAGCTTTACACTGCATGACAATTAAACAATTCAGTGACAGCGGATATTAATAGTGCTAAATGAAACTGTATCTCGATGAGTGTGTCTGTACGTATTTTGGCGCAATTTGCTTCAATACAATGATACGTTTCGACTCGCTTCGCACATGGTATTGGCGTGATCACATGATGGTGCGTAGTAATGTTATTCGACACTGTGTCCTGCGTACTCATATACGCACGTAAAGTGACATCAATTCTTGCAATAAGTTCAGAAGTTTAATTATCCTCACATGCGCATATGCATGGCGCGGAGCGATCTGCACTGGGTGACTTGACTTCATGGACTCAGATTGGCGGCCCGGGCAGGCCCCGAACCTGCCTGCCATGTGTATGTCATCCTTCTGGCCGGGCGGCTTGAAAATGCGGCAAGATGACAACTCCATCCTTCTCACCTTAAACACGGCGTGTGACTCGGACGGTATTTTGGATGGCTCAGTGGCGATGCTTGAGTAGCGAGACTTACAGTCAAGTGTTTGAACCGCCACGGATGTAAGTATTAGCAAAAAGTCCAACGACCAGTATCACGATGCTTATGCGCACAATCATTTTTCGACTTTCAGCTGCTCGTCGAGCTCGGTAAATTTTCGGTAGAAAGCTTTGAAGTGCCGGTAACAAATATCTACGTCCTTCGTGCCGCACATCTCTCGCACACTGTGCATCGACAACTGGGGCATGCCAACATCGATCGTCCTGATGCCTACCCCCGAGGACAGGATGGGCCCGATCGTCGAACCGCAGCCCATGTCGTTCCGAACTACGAAATCTTGCGTCGGGATGCCTTCTCTCTTTGCAAGTTCCCGGAAAAGGAACGCCGTCACCGCGGTGGTCGCATACCGCTGAAGGGAAAAGACATCAGGCGTTAAGAACTGACCCGTCAGCGGATACTTTTCAAGGCCTTGAATGAGCTTCTAGCATAACTTGCCGTGACTGGGCTGCCACACCAGCCCGTTCCGTTCTTATGAAAGAAGTCTGTTACTTCAGATACTGCGGCTGACGGCTGAGCCTTGTAATCCCGCTTTTGTACCACAGCTGATCCTACGACATCCTTCCCTCCCAACAAGGATGCCAAAGCTTTCCCCATTTTAAAAACGCAGAAAGAGGCCCTGTAACCGCTTCTTACACAAGCGCTGAGCTCACCTGGTTGGCGTTGTGCTTGATGACGAGGCCCTCGTGCATTTTGGGCTGGTGGTGCTCCTCGTGGCGCTCCGGGTAGTTGGGGTGCAGCGCGTGCGCCATGTCCGCGGACACCAGGAAGCTCCGCCGGATCGCGCGCCACTCCACGCCCTCCGCGCGCTCGCTGCCCGCCAGCAGCGTCGCCACGCGCTTCATGGCCTGGAACATCGTCGGGCTGCCCGCGCCCTGCGCGCTGTCGGACCCCACCTGGGCGGGATGGAGAGTGCGGGTTAATGAATAGGGAGCACAGGTGCTTGCGAAAGCCACACTACATAGAACTCTCAGCTCCTGATCTGACACTTGAAAGGCACAGAGAACCGCGCTTGCCAATGTGAGGGGTGGCAGTCCGGGAGCTTTAAAGGCAGGCCAGGAGCTTCTTGGCGACACAACAATCGCCGAAGCCATCTTTTTGGAAAATCTCTCAAATTGTACTACCCATCCAGCTCGCAACGGTCACCTGCAGTACAACTGCCAAGGTTTGAAGAAACCGCCTCAAAGACGGAATCTTTCTCGCGGCTCACCTCCTCATTGTCGAAGAGCGCCACCATCTGCACGCTCTTCTCCTGCGCGAGCCACTCGCCATCGGCCACGGTGTCGATCAACGCGCGGAGCGCGCAGTACGATGAGGCCAGGTTGTCCAGCCGGCCTGCGAGAACAGCAAGGCATCGCGCATCAGCATCACTTTGAGAACACGCTCTGCAGGCGGCCTCTAAACCAACATTCTAAGTATGAGTACCAATGAGGGAAGCCATCCCGCTCTCACGCACTCCTGGAGCCCAGACTGCCAGTCTTGTAACCGCTCCTCGACACGTGGCACGAGCTGAGGCATCTCAAGTGCGCCCCAGGGCTCCAAAACATAAAAGCAACGACTCGAAGGCCTCACCGGAGTAGATGAACTCCTTCCTGGCTCCAGCAATGACGCTGGGCTGCGTGTCGCACACGTGCAGGTCGAAGTCCGCGATCTCTTCCGGGTCCACCTTCAGCTCGTCCGCCAAGATCTGTGTGTTGCGATAAGTGGTCACTTCCATATCTCGAAAAGGAAACATGCCGTTCGACTTTACTGCTTGACTGTACGAGGTCACCATGCGCTGCTTTTTGCAGCTGGTGACTCTAAGGTGTCGGCTAAGCCAGGGAAATCCTAAAAGCAGGCCACCTTCGAGTTTCAGATCGAAAGTAAGCAGGAGGCGCTGAAATGCCATTGACTCGTGAAATAAACCACAAAGAAGCTACTTCCTATAAGAAGATATGCCCGCTTTCGATCTCGCTGCCCCCTCAGAACCCACATACTTCGAGACTAAGCAAAACCAAATGCTGAGGCTATTTAGCTGACCAGCAACGAAGAGACCGAGACAAGAGTTGTTCTAACGCAATTTCTTTCGCATCCCACCTGCAGCAGCAGCGGGTGGTGCGCGTTCTTCTTCCCTCCGTCGTCCTTCTTCCCGCCCGCTTCGTCCTTCTTCCCATCGACCTCAGCCTTGATGGCGGTGGCCAGCACGGGCGCGAGGTGCGTCTCCAAGTTGGGCTTGAACCCCTCCGTGTTCACGTTGCGGTCCAGGTGGATCGCCAGCGTCGGGATGCGCATGATCGGGCGCGACACCTGAACCAGCTCGTGCGAGAGGCGGCCGTCCTTGCGCCGCAGCAGGACACGGCCAGCCACGCTGCAGCAAAGAAACAGTTTAAGAGAGGGGGGAGGAAAACGAGGGACCAAGAAGCAATAAAGCAAGGATGATCGTTGTGTTTCGGCCCTGTGAAATTTGTTGGGAGTGTGGTCGACCGGACCAGAGAGGCCGCAAAATTAAAGAGCCTTCAACTCAGTTGACACTGGCATATGCAGCGACTGGCAAGAAGAGGGTAAACAGCCTTTGCAGGCCTCTAAACTAATCTGTTTTGAGAAAGAGAATTAGGCTGGTCCATTAGGATGGTGATTTCTTCATCAGCAGGTTTGAACTAAGGTGGTCTTCAGCCCCAAATTTTGTAGGCAAGAGAAAACCTTCATTAAGGTGCACAACAAAAGGAACGATCCAATGCACCAGGGTCAAAGTTCTGAGAGCAATTAGTATTGCCAACAAAGGATCCTTACAGATGCCGTTGAGCGGACCAAGTGCAAGGACAAGAACAAACCAGGTTATCAATCTAACCTAGTTTCCAACAAAGTCCAATCTGACCACCCTCTATCCTTGAGAGCAGCAGAAACTGCCTACAAAGTCTGAGCTTGACACCATCACTTGCCTGAGGTCACGATCGAACCAGGTGTACCAGAGGCCCCCTCCATACGTTTGCACCCCCACGTTGAGGAACCCGTGCTTGGAGGACAGGGACACCGGCTTCAACTTGGGGCAAGGACTGCACGAGAAACGCACGGCATGTAAGTCGACTGGTTGGCAACTGCCGACGTGCTGTGACAAGTGAATCCAGTCAGCCATCACAGCCGGTGGTGGCGGAGGGGGCATTGGAGTTCCTGGATGGAGAGGTGGACTGAGTGTCCCTCGCCTATAGCACAATGCTTATGCCAAGGAAGGCTAGGGATTCACTCAGAACACAAGTGGCGGAAGCCTTGCCATGAACGTAAAAGAAAATTTTGACAAAAGGAGATTGCTTTTTTTCAAAATTGAGTCCAAAACCAGTACGTCTTGCATATGTAAACAAGGCTGAAGACGGGCGTGCAGGTTGCACCACCGCTTTTGAAGTCACCCAACAATCAGAAATGCAGACACAGGCTTACCTGTCCGTGTGAGCTGCAATGATGTTGAAGCCATTCCCAGCTTTGTAGGCTCCTCCTACGGTGAATGCGATGACAGCAGATGCGTTGCGCGTGAAGAAGTATTTGCCCCCAGGCTTGACAACCCACTCAGCTTCTTCTGACAACTGGGGACAAGGAGGCAGACAGCGAGAAAGACCCAGATCAGTGTTGAAGCAAGATACATGTCCTCAGTACCCTGATGCCTGTTCCTCCAAAGTGCAAGCCTGCTTGTTCCTTTACTGGAACCGGATTCACATACATATTGGTCTGCACCACTGGTGCCAGAGCAGGTGGTGTGAAGGCGCCAATTTCAATCAATCTGCACGTCAGAAGAACCTCAACCTTGGCTGGTGCAAGCAATTGCCAGCAATTATACCACCACACGCTTGATGGGGCCCATCCTCACCTGCTCGAAGCCTGCCTTCACAAGCATCTCCTTGCTGACCGCTGTGGCATGGAATGATGTCCAGGATGCATTCAAATAATCCACCAAATCCTGCGCTATGTCACCCTTTGCACCATCGGAGCCAGTTGGTTCCCCCATCGCTCCTGCCTGCATCCGAAAATTATATCTCCTTCTCTGTCCAGCAGACACCGCTACTTTTTCTAGTTGCCCTAGCTGGCCTAGACGTGATGATGACAGGTCCAACGGCCTGCAGCTATGTCTTATCCCCAACTTATCTGTTCGTCTCTTTCCTTCTTTCCTGAGATTCTCAATCGAAGGATTGACAAGGACGGGGCAGAAGAGAGGGGGTGGAAGCGCAGAGCGCTGCACCTGTTGGGGATTGACAAGAGCACCCCTGGAATTGCTTGGACGCACAGCGAGGAAAGAGTTCAGGGTCTGACAGCATGTCAAGGTTGCCCTCGGGAAGCGCTGGCTTACCTGCATTGCCACGAGTCAGGAGCTGAAGTCCTGACAGTCTACGTGTACGTAAAACTAGGTATATTGCCACTGAACAGAGAGAAGAATTCGGGCACGAAGAAGAGAATTGCTCAATTACATTGACAGCAAATTGCAATGCAATGTTGAGCTCTTGTAGTACTGTACTAGTACTACCAACTACCGTAGTACTAGTATAGCGCGAGAAAGCTGAAATGCTTCAACTTTTCCTTCGATGTTGATTGGTTGATATTTGCCACGTCAGTTCCTCTTCAAATACTTTCGCGAACTGTGAGCCTCCAGATTTGCCTGCTAAGAATGCTGTTGCTGGCAGCATTGCCCGATCTGCCTGCCCTAGGGTCGACCACGAATGTCCCTTTACAGTTTACTATTAGATTCACCATCAGGAAGGCAGACGAGCAAAAGCCTCAGGAGGAGGGCGGCATTTCCTTGGTCCGTAGGTATGGCTCTCACTGGGGCAGCCATGGAGGACGGAGCTCTCCCGATGCTCATTGCTCCGCCCGCCCTCTCGACTGCCCCGCTGGAGGTGCCCCATCGCCTGCTGATGGGCCCCGGCCCTTCCAACGTGCCGGCCAGAGTGCTGGCGGCCGCGGGCCTACCGCTTTTGGGACACATGCACCCGCAGGTGAGACCCCTGAATACCTTCTCAAAATCTGACGACTTCATGCACCGCGTTGGTCAGATCTATTGCGGTGCGTATTTGGTGCTATTTACTGGCTGTCTTGGGCCCAATGCAACGGCCAGGTGACTGGCCCCTGAAATGTGCACTTTCTATGCACCACATTGGTCAGATCTGTTCGAAGGAGTGTTTGACACTGTTTGCTGCGGGTTTGGGCTCTGCAGGCCAGGGGTGGTGCCACCTTGGACCACTTCTGAGCAGCAATGCCGCCAGCAAAGGCTCTCTTTCCTGCTCTTCTGAAACTCTGCCCAGGCATACATTTGCAAGATCTAGGCTCCTGATTGACTCCTTTTCTTGAGAGACAAGTATGCATGGTGCGAACGAGTATTTGCTCACTTGCCGGTTCCGGGAAGTCAACCCACTTAAGGGAGCCGGTGTGGTAGCGCCAGTTCGCTAGCTGTTAGGCAGATGTGGCCTCGATCTGCGTGCCAAGTATTTGAAATGCCACCACTGAGATTGAAGGCTACATGTGAAGGCTACATTAGACAGCTTTTTCTTTCCTCAAGCAACTTGCAACCGACTTGCAAAGTTGAGGACTTGGTTGTTGGTAAGTGTTGGCCACGCCTGCGATGGTTGCTAGTTGTCGAGCTCTGACTGTTCCTGTCCAGCACTCCGTAGCCAGTTTGCAAGCGAACGGTCCTCTTTCTCCCGGTTCTAGTTCCTCAGCCAGCTGTCATGGAGAGGCAGCTAGTGCCAGTGGTCCCATCACTTGGCAGATTCCACATTCACTGCCTGCTCCATAACAATCAGTTGTTCCATACTCAAGAAGTGCTTGTTGTCGTCTCATACGCCCAACACATGTATTTGCTCATTCACAAGGTGCACAACGCCCCTTAAAGCGATCAGCTACTGGATATAATCTTCAACTCCCTCTCTTGGAGAAGTCTCTTTGAAGTCAAGGGAAGCACTCAGGGTTTTCGCCTACCTTTCAGTTCTGAATATCTTCATTCCATCTCCGGCAGTACCTCAAGATCATGGACGAGTGCCAGGCCTGGCTGCGCTACGCCTTCCAGACGACCAACGAGCTCACGCTCGCAGTCAGCGGCTCAGGCCACGCCGCAATGGAGGCCGGCATCGCCAACCTCGTGGAAGCGGGGGACCCCGTTCTAGTTGCCGAGAACGGGCTCTGGGGGGAGCGCGTGTCCGACATTGCGGACCGCTATGGGGCGGAAGTGAAGACGACGAAGGTGGCGGGGGGGGAGGTATTCACACTGGGGCAGATTGAGGAGGAGCTGCGCAGGCACCGGCCGAAGCTGCTGTTCCTGTGCCACGGGGACTCGTCGACAGGGGCGCTGCAGCCCTTGGTGGGCATGGGGGAGCTGTGCCACAAGTACGGGTGAGTATCAAGGGCCAAGCGGCTTAAGTTACAGAGAGTGGTATCGCAGGTTCAGTTATATTCCAGGGTTAGCGTCGACTTGGATTGAGGACAACTGTAGCATGGGGCTGGATAATGTTGGGAAAGGCAGTGAGCATTGTACATGCTCAGCCGCAATCATGCGCGTGCGAGCTGCAGTCCTTCTCTGCAGAAGTGGGCTCCTAGCTCGGGGTGCAATCATGAGCGATGCGAGCGAGTATCTACCTTCCAGAACTGCTGCCTCCGAAAACACCCACTACTTTGGTCCGATCGTGTGGTTTGGATAAACTGCGTTTTCTGATGGCTCCGCCGGCATCTCTGCAGGTGTCTGCTCTTTGTCGACTGCATCACCACGATCGGGGGGGTGCCCGTCTTCATCGACAAGTAAGGCGTTTGAAAACTACGCGTGATCAGTGTCTGGAGCCTGCTTGGTAAAAGAATTTCGAGAACGATTGAACGCTCTTCCTGTGAAGGTGCAATCGCCGACGGCGTGCTATCACCATGTCGATGTTGTATTCAGTAGAACCACGAGTCAGATGGTTTAGCAACTCTGTTTTGGTTCCAATGGATGCCTCACAGTCTCTCTGCACAGTTGGTCCTTTTCCCCAGATCGCAGGGAAAAATCAGTATCAATAACCGGCCTTCTTACGTGACACAGACTGCCGAGTTCTTTCCCAATAATTTCCCTGACCAGCCGCAAATACTCATCGGCTCTGACACTTCTTACCTTTCCAGATGGGGCATCGACGTTGCATACACTGGCGCACAAAAGGTGTTGAACGTGCCCCCTGGTGCGAGCCCCATCACGTTCAGCCCGCGGGCTGTCCAGAGGATTGCATCGCGGCACTCCAAAGTCGGGAGCTTCTACTTGGACATGACCCTAGTGGGCCGCTACTGGGGTGTAGGGGGCCCGCGGATCTACCATCACACGGGGCTGGTAAGAACGCCGACAGAAGGTCGGACTGCTGACTTCGCTTGAGGAGGCGTCTGAATTTATCTGCCGTCGCTGCTGAGACACACAAAACAAAGATTCCAGAAGGCCTGCGTGCAGGGCAGTTCTTTCGTGCTGCTTGATTGGAAGCTCCTCCTCACAGGTTGTTTCCCTTTGAACTCGTTTCCAAGTTCGGAGCTGGCAGCCTTGGCCACCGCGCCTCCTTGTGCAAGTTCCTGCTACACAAGACCGACCTCAACTTTATCCTCGGCACTTCACTCCGTGACCTCTGAAACTTCTTTCAGGTCACGCTGCTTGTCTGACGTCACCCTCTTGTTTCCCGCCCCGTCCCCAGATCAGCAACGTGTACGTGTTGCGGGAGGGCCTCGCCCTGTTGGCTGAGGAGGGCTTGGAGGCGGCCTGGGCGCGGCACCGCCAGAGCGTCGACACGTTGCACGCGGGGCTGGAGCGCATGGGCCTGCAGCTCTTCGTTAAAGAAAAGGCCCACCGACTGCCCACCGTGAGTGCTGCCGGCCGAACTCGAACTTACCGTTTCTTCGCTTTGCGGCTGAATGTTCAACTGCTATTGAAGGATGGAAGGTAAGCAGGGACTGTGACAGAATCATGGACTCAGTGAGATGACTCCAAACTATGGTCCGAGTTGCCAGGCCGCGATTAATAGCGTTGCTTGCTGGTGTCGCGAGCGGCTTGGTGCGACCTCCCAAGGAAGGTGGCTCATGTACAAGTTTCTTCTTAGCGCCATTTTGGCAAAAGGCTTCGTTCGCTTTATTGCCATGCTGTCCGAGGGGCTCTGATATCCTTCTGTCGACGCCGTTAGGGGGACTTCAGCCTCGACGCGAAATGCTTGTGTCTCTTCCATCAATCTGGCCAGGAGTTACAGCAGTGAGGCGGTCTCCTTATTTACTCGCAGTCCGTTTCTCAACGTCCGACTTCTGTCACACTTTCACGTCCACGTCCGCATGTCCTGAGCGTCAAAGCTTGACTTCAGTCGCATTGGCTGTGCCAGGTGTCGACGGTCTGCGTGCCGGCCGGGGTCAAGTGGGACGCCGTTTCCAAGTTTATCATGGAGAAATACTCGATGGAGATTGCGGGCGGGCTAGGCCCGACGGCCGGCAAGGTGTGGCGGATCGGCCTCATGGGGGCCAACGCCAATCCCGCCAACGTCACACTCGTCCTGGCCGCCATGGAGGACGCATTGCGCCACGTGGGCTTCCTGAGACGGTCTGCGTTGTGAGACTTGCGGATGTACCAAAAGTCTATAAAGGATGGACTATTGTCCACGGTTTTAGATAGCGATGGGAAATGTGAGCCCCTCAGCAGGTGCTCGTAAAAGTCATTGGTTGTGGGCAGCACGTATTGATTTGGGACGCCGTATTGGCGTCCCTGAGTTGGCCGAAATGAAAGGTCCAGGGCGACAGGAAGCGGCCCTGGATGGGTCTGAGCTTGTCGGATTTGATCGTTTTGTGTAAGGAACAAACCTTAGTTTAGGCGTATTTGAGACGCCTTCATTCTGCGGATGGAGGCGACTGCCAGCCAGACGGTCAGTAGAAAAATGAGTGACCCACGGACCATTAGCCCGGCACTGATTGAAAACAAGTCAACGCCAACCATGAAAACCATTTGTGACACTGATTGCAGTTATGAAAATGACTTGGTGAAAATAATATGTCGTTAGGTAGCTTCAATATTTCTTATAAGCAGCAAGGTGATATGCATTACGATTAATGCAAGTGCGCCGCATTTATACCATATAGATCCATTCTGGCCCCATTGACCACATCCTGCAGTACATGGGCTGCAGGCTGGCTCGTGAAATGTTTGACTGCATGCATGAAATGCAACATCGATCCACTAAGTTCCAAATGGCGGTTCGGCGGCTCCGGGTTCGACATGCCAGTCCAGTATGTATACTGGAGTGAATGATTGTGGGCGGCTGGACTGTGGTAACTCCAATATGTCGGGGTCGAAGATAGAGCTAGGACGGTGGCTGATTGCCGGGCTCTGGCCTCCGGCGCGCCGCCTGCAGCATTTGCTCCATAGCATCTTGTGGCAACGGTCGCGATACTGCTGGCGCAGGCGCCTCAGCACGCCCGCAGTTATATGTATACATTGCCGTGTTCATGAGTGTTTCGAGTTCAAATATGTCCACATAGAGCTTCCATATGCGTCGCTTACTCCGAGCCCTGCTTCGCCTGCATCAATCGTAATGCATTGATTGCCGCAAGTCACCGGTCCGTGTACAATACAGATCTTCAAAACCATTCCTTCGACTTCAGGTCATAGAAGAGCAGCTTGTCTAGACCAGTTGCTCTCAACTTGGCTTGAAATCTGAAACTGGCAGAGGTAATGGCTTTGCCTCTTAGCCAATTTTGATACAAATCTTCTGTACATCATATTACACTTACAGATTCCCACCTCACCTTGCTGAAATGACTTTCCACGAAAGGGCAGGCCGCTGCCCCACATGCTAACAAGGTGGATGGCAAAGCTCTTGAATTAACCTTGTTGCATCCCCGCAAGCTCTATCGGGAACCGCAGCCCCTCTCTCCATGCTCGTCCCGCTAGCTGGCCGGCGCCGAGATGCTGTCAAGCCGGCGCGCGGCCACCGTGAACCAAAAAAGCAGCGTTGCTTTCATGGCCATCACCCGCACCTGCTGCAGCGTGAGCGTGCCGCTGCACTGCACCGCACGCTGACCCCCCTCGATCCTCGTCTTTGCAACACTGACCTCGCTTGACGGGCCCCCTACGCTGGCCAGCGGTGCGTCCGCGGTGCTTACCAGGGGACAGGATAGATGCTCCAGGGGATGGGCTAGGCACTGAAGTGCACAATTCTCGATGGTGAGGCGGCCGCCCTTGTGTAAGAGACAGCTGCCCAGTTCAGCCCGGACGGTCAGGTTGGCGAGGCGGCTGTTGGCATGGAAGATGAGCGCGCTATCGCTGCCACGAGTGCAGGAGAGGACGGTGTCGTCCTGGGAGCGGCCGCCGCCCACCTGGCAGGAACGAAGAGTCCTGGTTGGAATATTGCCAAGCCAGAGAAGAGGGTCAAAAGTTAAGTGGCGATTTGATGACGGAAACGCAAGTTACTAAAAGTAGAACATAAGTATCAATGCTTCGAAGGACAAGGGGGTGACTGGACTGACATAGATACTGGTAGATGACTTGGTATTACTCACCCGTCGGCAGGCCCTCGCACCTGGGGACCATACAAAAAAGTCGCTTGATGGGCCGACGGGCAAGATGCGTGCGTCAAATCAATAAGAACGGACCTCCGCCCAATCAGTCGCGTTTTGGCCCGATCTAAGACATATGGATTTCCTACTTAACAGGACAGGCATTTTATGGGCTAAGTCGTCGATGAGATACTTGACCACCGCAGAATGTCCCCAACAGTAAGGTTAGGCCACAATATCCAAGTCCAAACAGTGCGCGAGACTTACCAGGCACAGGGGTTTGCTGATCCTCAGGTTGGACGCCCGATGTTTCTGCCCTGGGGCAATCTCGATAGTATCACCCGGTCTTGCTGCCGCCACTGCTGCATCCAACGTCCCAAAGACGGCAAGGTCGTTCTCTGATGGCTGTAGTTGTGGCCCCACCCTTAGCCACATGCGGGGATCGCTGGCCAAACCATGCCACCGCTTACATACCCTGGTGGCGGCGAAACGGTCTGCAGGGGCACAATGAAACAGTCAGTGGCTGTGCCCAAACCATTATGGGCTCGAATATGTTTCCTCGTATCAGCAGACAGACTGTAGCACCGTAAAGATCTAGAAGGAGTCAGCTACATCTTGAAGCTTACCAGAGAACTACAGGCACTGTGCTATCATCTCCACGGCCCTCAAATGCCACACCCATGTCACCTAATGTTGAAGTGCGCCCGCCTGCCGACGTCATAGTGGGAAAAAGAGGCATCAGCAACAGCAGAACGAGAGCAACACAAACTGCCCGGTTGAGTATACTCAACCAGCTGCCAAACGCTCACCGGGCATAGGTGATAGGAACGCAAAGATCTTGAGGAGGCAACCATCATCGAGGGCGTCGATCAGCGTCTGCGGCTGTGTTGCCCAGCAATCAGATGCAACAAAATCACATCTAGCTCGTTTGACACTCACGGGGGCACCTGCCTCCCCGCCCATCACCACCAATGCTTTGAGGAGAAAGTAGGTCTCAGGTATGGCCTGATGCCCCTCTATCTCTTCCACTGTCAGACTAGCAATGGCATGAAGCGACAGCTCCACCGACGACCGAGTGCCCAGGAGTGGAATTCACCTGATTATCATTGTGCGCGCAGCATCCATTGGCATGGGTCTAGTGACCGATTGGGGGTGCCAATCTACTCAAATCTGAGCCCCCCCGCCGTGGAGGGGAACGATCGTGCACAGGCCTTGTCCGGGCGATGCCGACATATAAAAGGTTATAAAGTACGTAGATCTACTCAAAGGTACGATGTCAACAAGGCCTCTCTGAGAAGCAGGACCTGGGGCCTGCAAACCAAGTGCATGCCGCCCTGCCCAGCAAATGCCAAACGCAGACCACACCTGTCGTAGCTTGTAAGTTGTATCATCGCAATTTGCATGGTTTTCAGGAGAGGAGACTCTCCTCTCCTGTGAGCTGTGCATTCTACACTGTACTATGAAACAGAGGCTAGAGCACAACAGGGCGTCCTTCGAACCGCTTTGAATGCTTTGACTGAAGGGAAGTTGCAATGGGGGGCAGTGATCCTCTTCTTCAGCATCTGCTGCAGCAGCAGGCAGCGCTTCCTCGCCGCCCCAGCCCTGCTGAGCTCCAAGCCGCACGCCAAGGCATTGCAGCAATTGACCAGAGACTGGCCACCAACCTGGAGGAGCTGCTGGCGCAGCTGCCCCCTGATGGCATTGACTCTACCAACTTCAAGAAGCTTCAGGTGATTTACTGGATTTTACAGCGGAACGACAACAGAGTTTCTTGCACTTAGTTGCGGTTTATCCTAGCTCTGACATCCGTCCACCTGTGACAGAGGGTCTGAGTTGGACGTCACAATCAGGTCAATTGCTTTGGCTTTATTTAGCTCCAAGGGATGATTGTTTGCAGCATTGGAAAAGTGACTTTGCTGCCCCTTCGCTAATCTGTGTGCCTGTATGCACGTTCCTTTTGGTGGATCGTAGGCTGACATTGCATGCAGTGTTCTTGGGGTTGACATGCTCAGTCTTCTTAAAATGGGCGTTGTTCACTGTTGGGGATCCCCCTGGCATTACGGGCTTAATGACGTTCCCTCATGCCATTCCCTCTTCCCCTGTATCAGTCCGTGCGAATTGATGCCCTTCTTGAGACCCCTCGATACTGGATTGGGGCCTCTTTGGAATGTACTGAAAGATGCCCCTTGCATGCAGGCTCTGAAGGAGGACTCCGCTCGCAAGACCGCCGACGCAGAGCGTGCGCCTCTGCAGGAGGTTCTCGACCTTGATGCGCAGCACCAGCACTACCAGCGCCTCATCGCCCAGGAAGAGGAGGCTCTGGTCAGCCAAACCCGTGCAAAGCCCGGGGCTAACCAGCCTGAGCCCTCCGGCAGTCAGAGTTTGGCCAATCAGGAGGAGGCGCGGACCACCAAGCTGCTGCAGGCGATTCAGAGGGCGCAGGAGAAGAGCTCGAAGAGTCTGGACTTGAGCGAGGGCTTCCAGGGCTCCCTGACGTGGCTGCCGGAATCGCTGGGGCACTTGACGGAGCTTACAGAGTTGGACATATCGGGGCAGCAGCTGCAGGTGAGGGGAAAGCTAATTGCACTGAGGAGAGGGGTTCCGGGTCGCTCCTTTCCATGTTTGCACAGGCTGATTGTCGAGAAGCCAGAAGTCTGCGTTCCTACGAACGTTGTTGAAACTCTTTGTTCGCAGCATCTGCCTCTTGAGACCATCCGCTTTTAGCCTTTTCCTGCCACAAGAAGAGGTTTGCAATGAGGACGATATCTGGCTGGGCTACCTTCCCTCAGAACTTTGTTTGGACCGTTTTCCGAGAGCTTTGTGAGGTGGATAGCGGGTCTTATATTTAACAATATGGGGAATCTCTGTGGCCCCTCCCTGCAGACAATTCCGGAAGCGTTGGCCGGCCTGTCCGGGTTGCGTAGCCTGAACCTGCGGTCCAACAAGCTGCGTGCGCTGCCCGACTCCGTGGGGCTGCTGACAAGCCTCACTTCCCTGGACGTGTCAAGCAACGACCTACACGACTTGCCCTCCACATTGGGCCGGTGCAGGCAAGTCTCCGTTCTGCTTCTGCTAAAGAGTGACCCGCGAGCTGCATCTGCCCCCGAAATATCACATTATTGGTTCTCCAAACCAGATTAACAGCTCAACTTCTTAACTCCCTTGATTTCTCAGTAGACGGTAGAGTTAGATTGCCGTACAGACCGCATTCTGTCGCAGATCTTTCATTCAAAATTGTGGTTCATAAATCGTTGGTGACATTGTCCATTCCGTAGTTCTCAGCCGGGACGAGGACTGGTTATTTTCGTCTCCGACTCCTTCGGCAGCAATCATCTCGTGGGAGAAAGTTTGTCTGATAGGCGCGCTTGACTGCACAAAGGGCCTCAAGGCTTCGTCCCTCTGTTTGCAGCTCCCTTGAGGTGCTCCTTCTCGACTTCAACCAGCTGCCGGCCCTCCCCGAGGCCCTCTTCCACGACCTCCCGAACCTGCGCCGGCTGTCGGCCCACCTGAACAAGCTGCGCTCACTGCCGGCCTCCATCGGACGGCTCTCTTCGCTCGAGGAGTTGGACGTGCACTTCAACCAGCTGCAACACATCCCGGACGAGATCGGCGCTTGCCGCAGGCTACGCGTTCTGAACCTGAGCTCCAACTTCGCTTCGCTCGAGCGCGTGCCTGACGAGATTGGGAGTTTGGTGGTTCTGGAGACGCTGGACCTGAGCAACAACCAGCTGGACACGCTGCCGCTCTCCTTCGGCAGGTAAGGACTTTTGACGTCTGGATTCTGTCAAGTTGGCGGCAAAGTTCGCGGAGCTTCGCCTATTTTCATTGGTGCGTCGGAGGCCACACTGAAGTCATGGAAGGAAAGCATAGGCTTCGGTTGGCCAACGTGGACATATGCCGTGGTCATGCCCAGGCGGACGGCCTCGGTCAACGTGAGGAAAAGCCGTGGAGCTACAAGGCTCTCAGTTGGCCACTCGGAGTCTATGTTCTCTCAGCATCATGTCAGACACAGCTAGTGTGGCGTCCCCGCACACGAAAGTTTGTCTGGTTCCTTTCTAGTAAAGTCCTTTCTGCCTCCTAGCTTATCTCTGCGGGTTCTTGCGAGCAGCTTCAGAAATGAATGTCCGTTGTCATTGGTTTGTACAAACGGCCAGGTTGGCAGGATTGTGCATAAACTGGCTATCCGGGATTTGTACAAGCTCTCAGTTCCGTCGTTCGTCCTTCCCTGCCCCTTGGCAGGCTGCGCAAGCTTCGAACGCTGCTGCTGGAGGGTAACCCGCTGAAGGACCCCCCCAGCCCGATCGTCACCAAGGGCGCGCAAGCAGTGGTCGAGTACCTGGCGCTACAGCAGCGATTAGCAGAATCTGCGGAGCAGGGGGGTGCCGCTTTTGGATGGTTCAACGGCTGGCTGGGAGGGGTGGCTGGGTTAGGGCTGGTGGAATGGCTCCAAGGTTTGTTGGGGGGGGTCAACCGGATGCTGACCACTTCAACGGGGGCCTGGCTGCTGGGGTGGACTCAGACCCCCGGCCCGAGAAGGATCCAGGAGCCGGAGGGGAGACCGCTGGAAGAGTTGTGAGGGGCCCGGAGAGGGCGGATGTGTCTGAGAGAAATCGTTACATAAGCATAAGTGGTCTGAAGGAGCTAGCGGGTGTGTGGCACTTTGCAAAACGTATCAAAAGTCACAAATGTTGTATCATACTAGAAGCGGGTCGTTCTGGATGTACATTATTACTAGTGGTCTTGATACACTGCTTGGCTATCAAACTTGTACAGCTTTTCTCGAGTCTTTTGTCGTTCAATTGCAAACTAGAGGCCTCATGACCCTTTGTTCGTTACACTAGGCGCACTCTTTTGGGCAAGTTGCATGGCCGCGTCACAAGAAGAGAGCGTTAAACATACAATTGAGAGGTTGTCGCATGATATTGCTGGAATGGGCACACGTGACATTGGTACCAGCAGGAGGACTCGATGTCAAAATGCATGGTCTTGGATTGTTAATGTTTGCAAACATCTCAGAACATTGACTTTACAAGTGGACAACTAGGTAAACCTTCCATTATCTACACGGGACTTTGCATGCCACGGTCGATCCAATACTTATCTGTGCAACATCTCAGCCGGCTTGATGGCATATATCTATCGGCTCATAAGACATGCCACCTTAATTTGTCATGCAAATAGCTGCTGTCAATGCAATCGGTTGGCAGGTCCTGTATATATAGAAAATGATTGCGCTCCCCTTCGCGAGTTATTTCGCAATTCCATGCACATGTGGTCATGCGGTCATCTGCTAGCAATCTCTTTGCTCATGAATCGACGTACACATGCACTGGCACTGTTGTTATCCCGAGCATAGGTATGCGATTACTGTACACAACAACTGATGTCATGGTGCTGCCAGATGGTAGCAAGATGCAGGGGCGATGCCATGCAGACTCAAAACAACATCAGAAAGTACTCTGCTACTCAGCACTGCAGCCGGGTAAGCTGCACATTCTCCAATGCGTCCCACAGTTTTGCATTCTCGCAGTCAAGGATTTCATGCAACTCTTCATCTGCCGGACTTGCACCACCATGAGAGGGCATCTTGTACCTTTGCATACTTGCCGCAGTTGGTTTGACTTGCTGCATTTTGGTGCCCAAATACTGGCACGCGAAAATTGAGTTTGCCTGGTGCTTATAGTCAAGAGGGGGCAACACTTCCTCTTGCATGAGCGAGCATGCTTGCAGCCGCAGAACCAAAGCAACTTCCCTCATAAAGATAGCAGAATCAAAGTACACGGACAATCAGCACAAAAAGCTGTAATCTCCTTCCCAATTATCAGTAAACCAAGCAGCATGCCTTGATATCCTCTAACAACCTAGGACATTTAGCTTCCAGTATAAGGTTGCCGGCTCAGCCCAGGCAGCTGCACATGCCATTATCTGAAGCTTGCCAAAGATCGACCACCTCAAATCGCAGACTCCAGCAGGCTGCTGTGTCCAAAATCAGGAGCCAAGGAAAAAGGCTACGGGCTTGCTAACTCAACCTGCTTGAATTGAGCAAAGACTCAGTCAGGTTGACAATCAAGAGCCTGGACACACTGAAGTTGAGTGTTCTTCTAACATCAGGTGGGGGCTTCAATTGTTGTTGACACAAGTAGCCCTCTAGCAAGGGATGGCCCAGCCACCTTTTCTATGAACGCAGAGGCAAGATTCGAGATCAAGTGGCCTTGACAAGCAGCACGAGCGGATCATAGTAGACATGTTGAGAACCTTGAGAAATGCAGGATGATGTTGACAACTCGCTCACTAATAGGAATGCAAGATGGTATTGACAACTCGCTCACTCATAGTAATTGGCAAGTCGTTCTGTAGCTGCATTCAAAAAATTACCGGTCTGTCTGCACTAGCATGCTGATCGTCCTAGATTACATCTATACAGTGTTTGGCGACTCAAGTCCCCTCTACCTCTTATTTTTACCCTCTTCTTCAGTGGGTTTACGTTACCTGGATAAGAATGCTCAACACGCCCCTGCCTTCCTCTGACCCCAGTGCAATCCGTCCCAACTCCCCACCTACTTTCTTGTCCACTCATGCAGAGATCACCGTTGATGCTGTATTGATCTGTAATGGCATCACGCTGGAGTGCTGCTTCAACCCGTCTAGTATCATGGCCTCCCTGGCCGCCTGCAGGCCCCTGGGCCTGAGCCCTTTCTCTACCTGTTTCGTCTCTATCCAGTCCCTAAGGTGCAGCTCCCCAGGCCAGTGTTCTGGGATAGGCACTACTCCAACTAGCTCGGACGGCAACAACCGCTTTCCGTGCTGGTCACGGGGGAGCACAAGGAGGCCTCCATTTGGACTACCAGCGTTGGCCTCAGGCATTTGACTTCGCTGCTGCCCCCTGTACTCATTGCCTTGATTCTTTCCCGCCCGGACCATGAAAGCATTCTCCCTAGCTGCCAAAGCAGTGGAATGGCCAGTCACCGCTGCATTCCGCATCTTTCGCTCTGTTGCACCCCTCCATTCGTGACCCTCCTGTGCAAACGACATCCCTGAGAGCACTGACTCCGATTGGCTACTTCTGAGTGAGCACGCGGCTGCTTGATCTCCCTCTACCTGGGTGACAGTGGTGCTGCCAGTCCCAGACCCTGTCTCCCCCTCGTCACTGTCACTTTCAGGTTTCACTCTCTTTGCTGCTGGCTCCGGGCTCAACTCCAAGCAGAAGCTCTTGCGCCTCCCCGTCCCTCCTTCCTCCATTGGACTCCCCAGGGGAGAGCTGCATTCTTGCACCCCCTCGCTAGCATTATCATTGCCAGAGGCTCCCCAGCATTCCTCATTCCCCCAACGCACCTCCTGCTCCTCTGAATGTGTCATCGCGTCCACATTTGCTGTGCAAGCGACCTGACTACGCACAAGGAGCTGGACTACTAGTGCCAATGCAGGTCAGGAACCACCCCAGACAGCCAATGCAGAGCGGCAGGCGCCCTCTTTGCATGCAGTCGATGCCAACGAGATGACTGGCTGATAGTGGAACTCCTGTGTGCAGTCTTCTCCAGTCTTCTGTGGCCGCTCAATCAGTCCTGAGTGACTCGTCTGCAGATCTGCAGTCACCGTCTCTCTCTGCTGAACCAGGAATTTGGAAGACGGCCAATTTTGAACCAGGCAGGTCAGGACGTGGCACATTTTGGACTCCCGGAAACGCTCTGATCACGGAAAAATCTGAACCAGAGGTTTGCGATTTCGGAGCACCAAATCTTTTGCTGAAAAGTGATTGGCTAAACTTGATTTTCTGAGGTAATGTTTGCGTCACTGGAAGATTTGGGTGGTTATGCTCGGTCCTATAGCGGTTCGTCCCCTCGTCCGCGAAGGTAAGTACCGCAACTAGGAGAGGCGAGATTTGAAGTGAGGAGAGCCTAGAGGGCCAACA